AGAAAAAGGCTGGAACAACCTAGAACATAAAGTCAGGTTCTCACATGATGACAGATGTATAAATGGGGCTTAACTTTGTGATTAAGAAGTTCAGATAGCTTTCTTTTTGTTTGAAGAGAAATTTTAAGTCTTCTAACAGTTTGTTAGTATAGCAACTTTACCTTCCAGAAGTTTTCAAGGCTCTGGAGACTAAGAAAGGGAAGGTTTTGTTATAGAGAATACGTTCCTGAATTATTTTAGTTCAAGCTCAAGTGGGCTAAGCCTCTATATATCCATAAATATTTACATCCTTTAAGAGGTATCCAAGAAAAGTCAGATTGTTAATCCTGACACCCAACCCACCTCCACCCCCCAGCAGAAAAGACATGTCTATACTGGGTTAAGCAAAGTTGGTAGTGTGGTTGCAATTCCTGAGTTATTACATAGTGGACAGGCCATATCATGTGACCAGAATAGCTTAGTGCACCTTTTACTAGGTGACCTGAGTCATGAGGTTCTTTGACAATTTCCAAGGATCTTCTCTGTGTCATTGAATCTAACAGTTTCCTCTTGATCCCAACAGCCATTTTCAGTCTAATCAAAATGTTAGCCTGGGAACGGTCCTTCATTTTTGAGTGAGGACTGTGAATGCCACTTCTTTATCATTTTTGCCCAAAAAAAGGGCAAAAGGTTTTCTATGCATAAATCAAGAGCTCTCCACTCTGCAGCTGATAATTGTAATGTCTTTAAACATCTGGACATTAAGAGTTCAGGAAATCTTTTGGTTTAGGGTGTACCCTTCAGCCATGGTTACTATGTAAATTCATTTTAAAAAGAGCCCACTACAAATACCTGCTATATAAAGTTACACAAGGCATCTCCATGGCAGCCACAGTTGCTTGAGGCAAGCTTCTCTAGGAAAGGGAACGAGGGCAGAGAAGCAGCACCCCTGAGCTAAGGCAGGGAGATTTTATAGACCGTAGGCAGGAGGTGATGACATACCAGCCAGAAGTGGGAACTGTCCCCATGTATGGTCAAAGGCTAAGCCCCTGGGCAGGCACTTAGGTGGGCTGGTCATGTCAGCAATGACTGCCAGAAATGCAGAACTAGGTTTTGGGTACGGCTTTTTTTGTTCAGAGTGTTTTAGTGTGGGCAGGATTGTGGGAAGTAGGGCAGATGGGGTTTTTCAGCTTATGCAGGTACAAGCTAGAAGCTCCAACCAAACACAATCAATATTTGAACTTAGAACCATTCAAACAATAATTTTGAAACATAGAAAATTTAAGCATACATGCATGATTTTTTTTAGATTTCTTTTTATTTATTCCTTGTGTCTTTCACATCATGCTTCTCAGTCTCACCCATTTCCCCATCCCTTCATTTGTATCCTCTTCCCTTGAACACCCCCCCACACACACAAAGGTAAAGTAATATTTAAGAGAAAAAAGAAAAGACAAAAGGAACAAAAATCTCATCATGGAAGTTTTAGTGTGACCCAGTAAACCATTTTGTTCATAGATTTTTACTTGCAAGTGTTCCATGCAAAGAGTCCTTGGTCTGGTTTGAGGCCTCTGGTTTCTGCTACACTACCGATGCTGGGCCCTCACTGGGACTCCTCTTGGCTATCCTGCTGTTGCCCTGTGTTGTAGAGATCCTGCAGCCTTGGGTCTACAGGCCCAGTGCTTTCTTGTGCTCCTGCAGGTCATAGATGGGGTGGATGCTGAGGTGGGCCAACTCGTAATCCTGGTTCTGGGCCTCTGTCATCAGGGTGTGCTCTACCATGCTGCCCAGTTGAGGGGCAGGGCTTGATTTCCTAAGTGCTGTGGCTGGTAATGTGGAGGGGAGGCTCGTCTGTAGCAGGTGGCAAAGTTCTAGGGGTAAAGAGGGGACATCTCTCCACCGCCCACACTGACGCTACATGCATCATTTTTATGCATGAAAAAGCATGTTTCATCCTTGACGAACTTCATGACTCATACACTGGTTTTTCATTATCTGTCCTTTTCTGTTTTGGGACGATCTCTTACTTTTAAAACAAAATGTTTTACATGCTCCATTTTAAAATGGATTTAAATCCCTGTTCACCCACTTTCTCTTTAAGGCCTTTCAAAAACATATTTCTGTACCTAAAAGTTATCTTATCTCTCCTCTTACTTGATGTTTCATTCCTGACTTACTATTCTTTACAAAATTTCTGTATTTCGAAAAACATAATAATATTTTAATGGAAACCCAAGTAACTGTACTTAGACAGAGAAAAGGCATTGAAACTGCATCTTAAACATCTGATATAAATAAAAGCATATATTAACAGCTGTGACATTCCTATCTTTTCTTCCTGATAAGTTTATTTGTTTATGGTTTTTTTGAGGCAGAATTTTACTGCGTAGCTTTAGCTAGTCTGGTGCTTGGTACATAGCCTCAGACTGGCCTTCAACTCTTTCTTGGTACTTATCTTTCTTCAGCTTCCTGAGTACTTGGACCACAAATGGGTACCATCACACTAGTGATTAATAAGATTATTTTTTGTTAAAATATTTTGTATTTTTTAAGGTGGGAAATAGTGACCCAGGACCTCATGCCTAGTAGGCAAGTGTTCTACATACAGCTAAGCCACATCCCATTCCAGTAAGTTTAAATTAATTTGTTAGATGTTTTCAAGTTTCCTGCCTTAAGAAGAATCTGGATTAAGTCTATATTTACAAGATGATTTGGAACCCTGCCAAAACTGTGTATGCAAAAGTGTGCCTTCAGATAATGCATAGTAATCATTAAAATAAATGTGTAGCTTTTATTACCCATCATCTTTAATTCCAAATATGCGCTCCCAAAGGTATTATTCTTAATGAAAACAAGGTAGAAGATTCCCATATAAAAGACATCCCACTTAATCTATCGCTGATAAAACCTTGACAACAAAATAAAACTGCTCCAAAGTGAAGCTTGTGGTAAAGACTTGAAGCAAAAATTTTTCCTGTATGAAGAACTAACCAGCAAAAGGGAAACTCCCTAGCAACTGGAAATATCTTTGTAAAGGTGTGTGTGTGTGTGTGTGTGTGTGTGTGTGTGTGTGTGTGTGATGATGATTATGATGATGATGATGATAATGATGATGATGATGTCTGCCAAGGTCTAAAAAGGGTACTGGGTCCCTTGGAGATGAAATTACAGGCAATTGAAAACACGAGAAAAGTTTAAAGAAGGAAAGAAAGGAAGGAAGGAAGGAAGGAAGGAAGGAAGGAAGGAAGGAAGGAAGGAAGGCAGGAAGGAAGGAAGGAAAAGTAACATGCAAATCGAAATACTGGTACCAAGGAACTTAGTAACTACTAAGAAAACTCACCACCAGAGCCTCTGAATACCCACTGATGTGCCACCAAGGGGGTGTCAATGGCGGTGGGAGTCCTTTGCTGTCCTTTGCTACTACCTGCTGCAGCCTGAGAGTTGTTTTTGCCTCCTCTGTGGAGATGCTGAGATTCCTTACTAAAATGTCAAACAATTGTATTTTCGGGTGAATTAATATGAAATAGTTTTGGAGGTTTTTGGAAGTGTTTCAGCATAGATGTCAGTATGGGTAGAATGCTATAAGGTGGAGAGATGAGTATGGATGGAAGGAGACAAGGGAAGGGGGAGATGAGCTGCCATGCTGGGAAGGGAAGGGAGGTATTAGCAGGGGTGCAGGGAAAGGAAGGGAGATTTGAGCAGAGGTGGGGGAAAGGGAGGGAGACTTGAGAAGGGAGAGAGGAGGGAGGGAGGAGATGAGCAGGAGCAGAGAGAGGCAGTCAGAGAGTGATGGAGAGCACATGTAGGAAAAGGATAGTGCACACACAAGGTAGGTTTGCCAAGGTAGTATAGCCAGAATTAATTACTTCTTATGTATCTACTGTGGGAAAGTTCCCAATTAGAGACTAGGGCTGCCTTGATTTTTCCCAAAAAGGATATTTCCAGTAAATAGCATAGTGTTTTGTTTTGTTTTGTTTTTGAATTACACCAAAGGCAGTAAATCTAGTGACAATGGAAGGTTTTGGATTTGCTTTGTTGTTGCCTTCTTCAAAATTCAGTGTTTTTTCTTTTATTAAAGATAGATTTTTATACATCATAATTTGATTATAGTTTCCTCTGCCCCTATTCCTTTCAGTTCCTCCCCACCTCCCCTCTCAACCAGATCCACACCCTTTCTATGTCTCTCATTAGCAAGGAATAAGAATAAGATAAAATAATATAAAACAAAAACAAGCACAGTATAATAGAACAACTAAAGAAGAAAAAGATTCAATGAGAAGCACATGAATTGCATGTAGATGCAGAGACACACATATTACTACATAAGCGTCCATAAAAACACAAAACTGGAAGCCATAATATATAAACAAAGAATGCCCTGACTTAACATTATGTGGCACAGAGCCTCCTAAGATACCTTGAGTCCATTTTGTGTTGCCCATCTACTGCTGGACATGGAGTCTACCCTTAAGAGTGGTTTGTTTCCCCAGTGAGACTCCCTTGGAGAAAACTAAGTTTTCATTTACAACTTATTACCAAATGGAAATAGCTTCCGGTTTAGGGATGAGGTCATGTTTCCACTTCTTTTGGCTCTGGCCCTGGGTTTCTTGATAGCCACAGTAAAGGCATCATTCACCTAGTTAATGTATTTCATATTCCTACTTTCTTTCTGCAAGAGTCCTTTGTTTAAGATACCCAGGTATCCCAAATGTAATGCAGTTTAGTTTCACTGAAACTGAAATAAGATATTTTCACCACTTTGTGCACAATTCTTGGCTCTTTCCTTTATCAAATTCTAAGATGATATATTTGGAATAAGTTAACTTTTTAATCTGACATGTAATTATTATTAATTTTTTTTCTGTCGGTGGAAGTTGAGTTGATAACACGTATTTTTTTCTTTGTTTATAGCTTCTCATGATCCAAGTGTCTCAGGACTAGGATTGCTGAGCTTGTATCCCTGGTTTATCCATCAGATTTTTAACACCATATTTTACATGTATAATTCTGTTTTGAAACAGGTGCCATAAGCTCGTCTGAGTACACTACATCTGAACCACCCAGTACTCCAGGTAATTTTATTTATGGCTTTGGGTGTTTGAAAAAAAACTAGACACATTCGCATGTAAATGTAAGAGACTTTGAAAGGTAGGTTCTGTTAGTTACTAATTTACCAGGGCCTGATATCACCACGTCACTGTGTTTACAATATTGAATCTCTAAGGTTTCCAGAGGAAAAGATTTAGGAGATCCATGACGTGTTTAAAGGACTTTTATGGTGAGGAGAAAAGTTACGTTTTAAGGGGAATTTTAATAAAGGAAAGATTCACTTCTCCGTTATCACTTTAAAAATATTTATAAACTATTCTAAATAAATTAGGAATACAATCTATGCCCTTGAAATCTGAGTAAAGCTAATGTATGGTAAGAGAGTGGTTAAACAACTCATAAGCAGACACTAAAAGCATTGTGGAAAAGTATGTAAAATTGTTCATGAAATACCTACTTTTGTTATCATTGTCATCCTGACTTTTATGATTGACCCTGAGATTTTCTTACCTCATTACTTATCTAGATAAAAGGGTCAATAGAAATACACAAGTAGATTTGAAATTTCAAGGTACTTGTTCCCCTTTGATCTAGGGAAATTACATTTGCTAGTACTAAAGAATAGTGGTGGACTAAACTGCTTGCTTGTTTTGTGACTTCTGATAAAGATTTGCTTATAGTATTTTATTTTACCAGCAGAGTAGACAGCTGTATAATAGATACAATGTGTTAGTGGTTGGGCATGATCCAAAAAGAATTGTCCCTAAGGATTTCAGAACACACAATGACTGATAGGGCCCAGAAACAAAAGTGGATTTCAGAGATAATCATCCATATGAATTTGACAAATCCTAGCTCTCAAGAGCAAATTTACATATTCAGGATAAGGAATTGCACCTTGACAACAACAGCATTTAACTTTCCATATCCTTTTAAATTTGTTTTAATATTAAATATATAAATATGTTAAATATGTAAATCAATGTATGTTTAACTTGAAATGTTATTTATACCTTGTGTTGAATAGAAAAGGGATCCCATATTCCAGAAGCAACTCCCACATACTCAGAAGCACATGAAGTTACTGGTAAGTGAACATAACTTGGATGTCCATTCATGAGTTTAATCTAACCCAGTACCTGATATAGGTCATAAAGTAACTAAAATCACCTGTTTGACCACTGTATGTTTGAATGATATCATATTCACACTATTTTCTTCTAGTGCCCAGGAATCCAGCCTATGACATAATATGTGTGCACATACATACACGTTTCTACTTAAAAATTGTAATCTAATTTTTTCACTCATTTGTAATAAATGGTGCCACATTCACATAGGATAAAAATCTTTCTACTAAAAGTGAAATGAATGAGGAAGCATCAGCTCTCTTCCCTCCCTTCTTCATATTAGACACAACATCCTTTTTTCCCATTAAAAACAGATGTTTTGATTAGAGTTGTGTCTTAGCCAGACTAATCATTTCAGGCATCTCATGGGACCTGTTACCATTTACCTTTCAGTTTTGTAGAAGTCGTAAAAAACAGTTAGTGACTGGGCATATTAAACCTTATTATGATTTTTTGGTACCTAACTATAAGAAGCAGTTGGAAGGTATGCTTATTGGTCCAAACAGTGAATTTCTTCTGTTATTACTGCTAGGTGAAACGTTTACTTGGGGCAATGGCGAATACAAAGCTCTGAACGGCCGCATCTTCTCCTTTGAGTCTTCGTGCACATACACTTTCTGCCGTGACTGTGCTGAATCTGGAGGAGACTTCAATATTGAGATCAAAAGGCACAGTAACAGTGAGATTGAAGAAATAAAAGCTCTGATTGATGATGTTGGCATCTCAGTTTTGAATAATACTATTTTTGTTAATGACGAAAGGTAAATAACAGAATGTACCACCTAAGAATGACAGAATAGCTTGAAGTATGAGCCAAAACCAAGCAGACACAAAAGCCAAGTTAAGCAGGAGTGTATGACAGGTCCCTCTTTCATTGTGTGTCTGTCGCAAGTTAGAACACAACTGGTGGTGTGTTTCACAATGGTTCTGCACCTAGATTTGGTGTAAAATGTAGATTCCATGAAACAGATACCACCAGAACATTGCCATTTTCATCGATGTAGTCTAAGTATGCTAAATACAAAGGTGAAACATCACAAATTAGAAGTTGAACAGATCACACAGCTCCTAGATTATTATTTTTCAGAAGTTAGCAACTTAGATTTCAAAGAGACAGACTCTTTGGTAACTTTCTGAGATAAGAAACGGAGAGGCAATAGATACTCTACTTGTGAATATTCTAAACTATTTGATTTTTTTCCCTGACACCCAACCAACATACTGTTTATTTTTCCAAAGGACCAAGACTATAATAGTTATTACTCTACAGACCATGTTACAGTAGTACTAGTCTCACCACTTGTGCATACTTGTTCTTATTTATGCTTTCAGGGTACAGGTGCCATACACCAATAAGATGATCCACATTAAAAAACAAGGGAATCACCATGCTCTGAATAGCCGCAGAAAAACCCTTTCTCTAAGGTGGAGCAAGAAAAAACTATCAGTAAGTCGACCAGTGATTTTCTTTCAACTTTCTGGGGTTTGGTCTTTGGCTTTAGTTATAAAAATAAACACAGAAGGAAAGAATAAAGCAAGACTTGCTGATTTCTCTTTTTATGTTCACTATGCTGAGCCTTATTTTGCCTGACAGTCAAATTACCTCAAATGCAGCCCCCTCGGATGGCCACTGATGGGGCATATTGTGCATATAAAGGAAAGCACACATGATTTTACGGGATTCCTAAGTGTGCAAATGAGTAGGTCTCTGAATCTACATCTGTTTCTTGTGCCTTTCCTTGGGCTCTTCTTCTTCTACTTGCTTGTTTTGTGATATTTCAATGTGTTAGTTTTTTATTTAACATATGCTATATTATATTATACTTATTATATTATATTGTATTGTTATATTATCCCTTAGAAGCCTGTTTGCTTTATAATGAGAGACAGAAAGAGTGTGAATCAAGTTGGAAGGGGAGTTGGGTAGGAAATGGGAGACTAGAGGGAGGTGTAACTGTACTCAGAATATATTATGTGAGAAGAAAATCTATTTTCAATAAAAGGGAAAAATCTGCCTATTGGTGATGGCACGTGCCTTTAATCCCAGCACTAAGGAGGCAGAGACAGGTGGATATCTGTGATTCTGAGACCAGCCTGGTCTACAAAGTGAGTTCCAGGACATTCAGGGCTGTAACCTAGAGAATCTCTGTCTTGAATCGCCGCTCCCCCCATAAAAAAATCTTTCTGAGGACACAATCCGTACCTGAGTCAGACTTGTTCCAAGTTTGAGTTACAGTTTCTTTTAGACCAACTGACCAGTATACTCAGGACTGAATAGGAGGAGACCCTGCCCTTTGGCTTGGTTAAAGTTGTCGAAATATCTTTGATATTTTATGGAAATATCAATGTTATTTGTTTTTGCAGCTCACTCTCTATAGCCAGTATACAACTTGTGGTCTTTGTGGCAACTTCAACAGCACTCCAGGTAAGATTCGGCAGATTGTTCCTAAGAAAACTACTTTCTAGAAGAAAACATAAAATTTTCTTATTTAAATAAATTTACTAACAATTTGCATTCCTCTAAAGGATGAGAAACAGAATCAAAATATTTTTATGTTGCCAAGAATATATGTAGCTTACAAATAAAGTACAAATGAGTATCTCAAAGTCATGCTTTGATTTGCAGGTGAAGATATTAATGAGCACATTGCCAATAGTAAAATTTCCAATGACTGTCCCAGCGCTTTGAGTAGGAACAATGAAGTTTGTGAGGATGGAGTACAGGTAGGTAATCTGGTTTCCTCCTCTAGCAATTTCAGCACTATTCCTCCTGAATTATTTAAATAAAATTTATTGTGTATTTTAAGGTCTATAACATGATATTGTGTATTGTAAGATCTATAGCATTGCTTTCACACCCTTGGGCTGGCTCAGCTGCTCCCCTACGATAGGGCCAGCTCTAGTTTGCTACCCACATCGGGGACAGGACCCCTGTTTGTTGCAGCTGTTAAGGGGCAGGACTAGCCCTGCCACTTTTGTGATTCTGGGTCAGCTCTCTTGCCTGCCACAGGTAGCATGGAGCCAAGTGGGGAAGGACATCTTTCCCTTACCCATGCCACCACATGGCAGATGAGTGGGAGTGCAGTGGGGAGGTCAGCTTACCTACAGGCCAACAACAGGGTCAGCTCTAATGGACTACCCAGCAGGGATGCAGATCCCACTCACCTGTGGGTAGCAGCCTTTGAGGGGCAAGGCTAGTTCTTTGACATTTGTAAGCCTGGAACCAGTTTTCTCACCCCCGCATGGGTGGCAATGGGTAAGTGGGGAGGGGCACAGTGGCATCTTTCTCTCACTCATACCACCACACGGCAGATGAAGGGAGGTGGCAGGGCCAGCTCTCCTGCTCTCCTGCCCTCAGACTTGAGTCACCTGAGTCCCCAACAATATTTTAATGAAATCTACTTTGCTTTACAGTATTGTGACAAGATTATTGGAACTTACTTTGAGAACTGTGCGAAGGTTTCCCCTTTATCCAGTGAGTACAAAAAGGTGTGCGTCGATGAGTATTGTCGAACTGGAGGTGGCAAGGACACTACATGTGACACCTACTCGGAACTGGCCCAACTGTGTGCTTATGATGGTCCTGGTGCCTTTGAACACTGGAGAGATGATTCTGCTGTAGTTTGTGGTAAGCGCCTTTTTTCCTAACAATAGTAGGTTACAAAAAATACCGTTTTATGAACTCACATTATATCTTAAGCTGTATCTCAAAACGGTTTCCTTGAATGATTCTAAGGCCCAGAAAGTGAGAGCTAAGTAGGTCTTCTCTCTAACATGTGTTTGTGAGGAGATTGAGGCTCATTTTGTGATATGGCTTACCATGTTGCAGAATTTTTGTGTTAAGGTTTTAATTAATATGATCATCAGCAAACCTAAGGGGAGAAATTTAAATCCTATAAAAAGTAGCTGATATTTAATAGTCTACTCTTGAAGTGTTTTCTTTTTAAATATTTGTAAAATGTAATATGAGCTTTATACATACAGAAGTACAGTTTATACTTTTATGCTTGGGTTAATCTTTATAGAATTGCATATCAAATTTAACATGGAATGAAATTAAATGATACCATTTACTTTCCCTCTAAATTAAAAACCACTCAGTGAAATAATGCTTGAGAAATTGGCATCATTTAGTTCTACGGAGTGTCTATAAAGATTGATTTGTATCTTGGAAAGCAGAGCCAATGAGTCCCATTTAAAGGATTGTTAGAGAACATTTACTCTGTTTGTTTTCCTTTAATTTACAAGTACACATATTTCTGTATATCTTCAGAAAAGCAACAGTGTCCAGGAAAGCACATCTACAAAGAATGTGGACCTTCAAACCCTCCAACTTGCTCTAACGTGGCTCCTTTTCAAGACAGTGAGTGCGTGAGTGGCTGCACCTGCCCAGAAGGTAAGTTACTTGTGAGTATAGTCACATCAACACAGCAAAACTAAACAAAGTACAGCCAGCTGTAGGTACAAAACACAGTTGCAACAGGTGGATTATTTGTATGGGTCCTCAAAGCTAATATGTGTTTTTATCTCTGAGTACTGAGTGTTCCCAAATTTCACAGACTACAATGGGCTTAGTAGATCCTGTCTCTATGTCTCTATGGGACAGTAACTCGGCCTCTGAAGACTTTCATCTACGTTCTTGCCAGTTCAAATAAAAAAATGATCACTTATATGAAGAAAATCGTCTTTCAGGGCACACTTGCACTTGTCTTAGAAATAGTTCCAAAAAATGGCTACTGTTGTTAACGAATTCACCGAGGTTCGTATAATTTTGAGACTACATCCATATGTGTATTCTAGGTTATCTATTGGACGACATTGGAGAGAAAGGAAAGTGTGTATTAAAGGAAAAATGTCCCTGTGAATCTAATGGAAAAGTGTATAAGTCAGGAGAAGTCCGACAAGGTCCCTGTGGTTCTCAGTGGTATGTGTGTGCTTTTCAATTATATTTTATGGACATTAAGAACATATGAAGGCTTTTATTCACACTTAAAGTTATTTAAATTTTATTAGGCAAAAATGATGCTTCTTAGGATTATAACATACCATGGGGAAAAATGAAACAAGCTAACAAACAAACAAACAAAAAAAGCAATTGTCAGTGTTTTTAAATTCCTGGCATGTTACTCTTACAGATTGGAGGCAATACATCAATTTCTCAGGAATCCTCAGAAACCTTAAAATTATGATGATTGAACCTACTTCTACTAATCTTCACACTCTACTATTTGGATAGCTAAACTTGTGTTTAAAGCACAATACACTAGGTTTAGTAGAGCTTACGAAGAACTACAGGAATATTTAAACATTTAAAAACATAATTTAAAGTTAAGGTCTCCAGTATGTGAACAGGCCCTCACATATGGACACTGGTCACAGGATCATGTATTGAGAATGTGTTAGATCTTGAGAGGTCATACAAAGGACTTGCACAAAATACAGTATATAGGAACTCATTAGTAAGCAGTTTGGTTTTTTATTGCCTTTCTTGTTCCCCTTAACGTTATACTTTAATCACATTACATGTGTTTACAGCTATGCATGTATCCACTATAGGCTAAGATCTGAATATGAGGGTAAACATGTGGGTATCTTTCTGTCTGAGATTTGGTAACTTCACTTAATATTACTAGACACTCTAATTCTCTCCATTTTCTGTGCTATAGTGAATGAAACAACAATGAATGTGGGGGAGCAAATGTCTCTATTGCAGGGAATGGAGGTCTCTGGGTCTATGGCTGGGAGTGCGATAACGGGGCCATATGGTAGTTCTAATTTTTATGTTTTGAGAAGTAACATCTTTTAAGGCTCCATCTCCACACCTCTATACAACACTGCAAAGTACAAGTTTACACTGTAGTTTTTACCAGTTGCCTTCCTGCTAATAATGCAGCACATAGACAAACCCCTGAAATCCAGTGTCGAAGATTTTACAAATATGTTTAATTCATGAAGCTATTATTTTTACTCAAAGAAATTAACTATAATAGTATCAGCAATGATCCGATGCCTTCTCAGGGCTGCTGGTGGGTGGGGAATGACCTGATAGGGCTTGCTCATGTGTCATCTCCAGGTGTGACGTGTCATCTCCGGGTGTGATGCTCTAATGCTGTGGTGTTTGTTCAGCATGCAGAAGATGTGACCTCTGACTTACCTTTGCATTCCACAGCACATGCCAAGAAGCTAAGTGGTCTTGCACCAAAGCTCTATGTCCTGGGATATGTAAAGTGGAAGGGAGCTTAATTACCACTTTCGATGATAATACATTTAACCACCCTGGAGATTGTCACTTCGTGGCAGTCCACGTAAGTACTTGCCTATAAGCAGCTGTGAAAACTGAGCAAGTTCACAACTAATTTAAAGCACAATTCATTTTATGCTACTCATTTGGGGTAATTTCATACATGTGTACAATGTATTTAAAGCATATCTACTTCCCACTTTCCCCTTCCAGATAACACTCCCCCTCCCTATATCAACTTCTTTTCCTTCTCCTCCTTCTCCTTGTCTTCTTTATAATGAAGTGAGTTCAATTACTGCTGTCATTATGCACATGGGTATTAGTTATCCACTGGAACATGGGCAACCTACTAAAGAAAACTGATTCCTTCTCTCTTAGCAAGCTTTCAGTAGCTCCTTAGCCAAGAGTGGAACCTTGGAAGCTTCTTCTCTCTTTATACAAGAATGTTGACAGAGTGATGCTGCTTGGTCTTGTGCAGACAGCCACCGCTGTTATGTGTTCATCAGTGAAATGACGCTGTCATGTCCAGAAGGCATTAGTTTGTATAAGTCTTTTACAACTTCTAGATTTTACGATTTTTACTTCCACCTCTTCTGTAATGTTTCTTGAGCCTTCTTGGGGAAGGGTTGTGACATGAATATTTCATTTAGGGATAATACTTCTGTAGTCATGTTTTGTACTTTGGCCAGTTTGGATCTCTGAATTAACTACTAACTACTTGCAAAAACAGGCTTCTTTGATGAGAGTTGAAAACTAGTCTAATCTATAGGTATAAGGGTAGATACTTAGAAGGAGTGCTTGATATAGCTTAATTATAATAGTAGTAGGCTCTCCCCAAGGATGTATAATCTCCCCAGATCAGGTTAGAATACCAGGCATGAGTTCCCATTTCCTGCCTGGCTGATTGGATATCACAGGGTTCACATCTGTACAAGACTGTTGGTGACTTTATTCTTCCAACAGCTTTATAGTTCCTTCTGACAATAGGAAATCTAGCTAGCAGGGAGAAAGCAGCTTTTATCCTGAGTTACTGTATAAATAATAATAATTAATTCAGCCTTTGAGTTATTAATTATATATTTCAGTGTCTGTTTTCTATCACAAATCAACATCAATAACATTATATATTATTGTTATATCATGGACGCTCTGAAAATTCCTCACACAAATAAAATTCAACAAGTAAAATCTTAATTTGCAAACAACCCTCTATGTACCTAAGAAAGTCATTGTACTCTTCTGCTTGTCTGTGTATACTTAATAGTTTTTCCACATACTCTGTACCTGTGTGTCTGAGAAGCATCTTTGTCATTATTCCCTGAAATTTACTTTTAGCCTTGATTATACAATGTGGTCCATTGTAGGATAACTGCTGTGTGTACATTTAGACTCTTGTTAGTCCTGAACTCTTAAGTAATCTGAAGTCTAATAATAGGACAGTTCCATTTTGTAGCTCCTGCTTTCAGTGGGCATGAGAAAAATACAAATTGTGCTTCATCTTTCTGGCAAGAGGTGAAGGTGAACTGCATTTGTATACTGCAAAGAGAGAGGAGTGGGTTTAACACTGGACAGTTGCACCAATTGTAGCTCCTACTACTGCGGATCTGCTTTCTTCAGTGATGACTCCTGTGTGCCAAACATTGTCTCTTTTCTTTCTTTCTATGCTCCTTTTGTTCACTCTGTGCGGACAAAGGATGGGGAAAGAGAAACCCACAAATGCACACAAAATATGTGCTGCTTTCAGAAACCTGCATGTCAGAGCTAGAAGTCTCATGACATTTCACACCAAAATTACAGCTTTCCAGGTTAAAAACATCTTGAATTGTATCTACGCAGGTACTATAGACTACCCAGGGATTCAAAAGCCATTTTGCCTTTAATTCCTGACAACCCCCTCAAAGCACCACAATTATATTGGGTGCAAGAGTGAAGATAACAGAAAAAAATGTAGTAAAATGTCCATGTACAGCGCATAGATTCCTCATGACACCCGGACTACTTATAAAATCTTGTCTGCTCCTGTGGATACACCAGGGGCTGGAAGAAATTTCTAGATTCTGAACAGATTGTATAGAGAAACTGTGCAGATTTAAGTTCTTTGTGAATAAATCACAGAAACATCATGTGAGAAAATTCTTGAACAAAAATAATTGTTTTACAGAATGAAAATATTTCCATCAGTGTTGAGCTTCGTCCATGTGACGGTGGTCAGACAGGATCGTGTCTAGAGAGTGTTACGCTTCTCCAAAACTCTGTAAGTATTTACCTTCTGAAGGTTTAGCCAGAGTAAAATCACATCTCTGATTTCACAAAGTAAAAATCTGGAGAGGGCTAAGGGGTTGGCTCAGTAAGGAGGAAAGCTGGGATCTGAGGTTCCATGTCAAGGACCTTGGAATAGCTGGGTGTGACTACATATGCCCATAACCACAAGCCTCTGAGTCAAAGCAAGGAGGGTCCCTGGGGCTTACTGACCATCTAGCCTAGCCAAAACTCAGTGAGATCCAGGTTCAGCAAGAGGCCCTTTCTCATTGGAATAAGTTAAGGAGTGACAGAGCAAGATACCCAATGCCTTGTTCTGACTTCTGCAAGAAAATACATAGGTATATGCACCCACTCACACACATACACGCATGCGCACATGCACACACACATGCACACATACACACACACACACACATACACACACACACACACACACACACACACTGGATAGATGGTTCAGTGGATACTTCTTCTGGGTTTCATCCCTAGCACCATGTAAGAAAAAAGGGTGTTGAGTTTGTCTGTAATTCCGGGACAGAGGATGAAAAGACAGAGTGGGCCCCTGAGGCTTGCTGATCAGCTAGTCTTGAGAAATTGACAAACTTCAGATTCAGTAAGAGGCTCAAAAGAACAAGGTGGCAATTTAGGAAGACACCTGATACAAGTCTGTGACCTCCATCCTCCCATTGATCTTCCCCCCTATGTCAGTGGCCTTCACCCCTTCCCACATGCACAAAAGGAGTGTGAATTTTGAAGAACAATGACCTTGTTATGTAAATGAAGTCTATGAATAGGATTCCAGAATAACAATTCTATTTCTAGAAGAGTTGGAAAGAGCCAAGACCCTAAAGTATGACCATAGTGAGCATAAATAGACAATATGTGTGATGGGCAGGTCCATCGTGGCTGTTCATTACATATCCACTGGACTTTTAAAGGTCTTGCGTCAAACTACATGCTGGTACTTACAAATGGTTCCCATCTTGGTTTTAGTTTCCTTGTCTTAAATTGCGTAGACAAGCATTTCTTTCCAGGGTCGATATGGGAAGTATGAAGCATAGTATAAGAAAGGCTTTAAAAATATTCATACTTCTATGCTATAGAACTCAACAGGTTTTAGTGACCTGAAAATTCAGCTTCCTGTAGCACACTAAACCTATTCTGGGCTAACAAAGTATTTTAAACATTAGTCTGTTTCAGGTAGTAGATTTGTATTCAACAGCGATGGGACAGTCACAAAGGATGGAGTTAGAATTAAAGGTTATTACTATTCAGGTAAGGTTAACAACAGTATTAAAAAAACACATGTAAGATACATTTATTTACTCAGTTTCTAAAACCGACACACTAATTTTTATGTTATATTATTATTCCACAGATGATGTACAGATCTTCAATGCATCCTCTTTATACATGCAAGCAGAGGTGCTCTCTCTTCTAAAAATGCAGATACAAATAGCTCCTGCCATGCAATTGTATTTGTCCATGGCCCCCGATGCATTCACAGATACTGTCGGTGAGCCCTCCAAATGCTTTTATTCCCCAGTTTCAGGAATCGCTCATTTAATGTGGCAATGTAATGCTACAAAATGGCCTCTTACATTCTAAGAGACTGGAACTTTTGCTGGATCTCTCAGCCAAAGTTAATAATACACCTTGAGGTCACTTAGGACATAAGACTGCTATCCTACTATGTGCTTAGTCTGTTTGTTTAACCTGTGCTTAAGAGAATAATGTAACAGTCAAACTTTGTTCATCACAGAAACAAAACCAAAGGATGTTTCATAATTCATGCATTTAAAATTTTGGAAACAAGGCTAGAGAAATGGGACTGGAGAAATGACTTAGTTTAGTGGTTTAGACCTCTTGTTGCTCTTGCAGAGGACCCATGTTCAATTCCCAGCACTCACATGATAGCTCAAAACCATCAGTAATCCCACTTCCAGGTGTTTTGATGCTCTCTCTCCTGCCTTCATGGGTCCCAAGCATGCATGTTGTACACTTACATGCATGCATGCAATACACACATAAGTATGAAATGAAATCTAAAAATATTTAAGAGCTGTTATTTAATTAACATTTTGAAAGTATGTTTTATATGTACTTTTATTAGTCGTGTGTATGTTAAGACCTTGGCATGTAGCTGAATAAATGAAAACACAGTATGTATAGCATTAAACTTCAAAGGCAAGTGATATTAGTATTTGTCTTTAGAATACATCACATGCTCTTTTATTTTCCTGAAGTTTCCCATCATAAAAATGAGCTCCTCTTTACAGTCATAAGTGATAAACAAATAAATGGCAAATCCCACAAAAGGATTAATGCATGCATGGTACAAGCTTTATGCTATACCTTTATTTTGAAATGCAATATATTTTCATATGTATATATAAAGAATATATGTGGATTGGACAGCCCTGGCATGGAAGCCAATAGCCTTATGGTGATTCATCTTTCTAAAGTTACCCTGACAAATACAGAGTAGTACCGTTTATGGCACATGGTTTTCTATGTTCCGGAATTTCAGTGAAATACCAATGAATGAAGTCTGAAGAGACATAAGATTTTACTTAATGTGTGACAACATTAACTAAACACAATTCAAGTATTTCTTACAGTGTTTTCAAAAAACAATCAAAAGGCTGAGTAGGTGAAAATGCTAACCTTCGTTCTGTGATGTTAACGTCATGCAGGTCTTTGTGGTTCCTACAACAATAAAGCTGAAGATGATTTCATGTCAAGCCAGAAAATTCTGGAGAGTACAGCTCAGGCGTTTGCTAATTCCTGGGAGATGATGTCTTGCTCTAAGGGGAGCCCCTCTTCCTGCTTCAGTATCGAAACAGGTAATAGCCATTGAGAATCAAACTGTGATATATAGTTGGTGCTAGTACTTGCAGACTTATACCTACAATCATATGAGCACATCACATCACCTTGCCTCTAGCTAGCATTTGCTATACTGTCCCAGTTTTAGAAGAAATGGAGAAGTAGTCTGGCTTGAGTATGTGTCTAGAAAACCCATTTTTCATTGGTAACTCATTTCTGTTGTCTTTTATTGTACTCTCTATTTCCTACACTACTACAGAACAATAGGGTTAGAGGAGGGTTTAGAAATTATTCAGTTTATTCATTTTCCTTTATTTAATGGTGAGAAAAGATCATTGGTTTTCAGTGATGTACATCCAAACTGCTTAGCCACTTGGACAGCGACACAGTTCTTACTACAGCCTAACACATGTATGACTCCCGTTTTAGCCTGTTAAAGGCTTTCAGCAATAATAGTTTTGCTTATTCCCATACAAACTAGCGAAGGGCAGATGTGGCCACTGTCTGTATTAATACAGGTTAGATGACAGAGGGCAGAGGCCCCGGGATATCCTAGGGATCACAGATGATGATGCAATCCAAGCACTTGAAAACCAGTGACACTAAGGGTCCTCCTGGGGTAGTGGCAGTTTTCACAGGTGTTCCACATCCCTCCTTTTGTACATAAGAAATGCAATGGAGGCAAGGTTACAATTTGTTAATGTGTTGACCAGTTGTTTTGAAATGATGTGTGTGTGTGTATGTATGCATGTATTTGAAACAGTTTGATCAAATTTGTACTATTTTAAATGACTAAGGCAGCCCCATATGGAAATATCACCCACTAATTCTGAATTGAAAACTAGTTGGTAGAAGTATATTTGGGGAGGCTTAGTAGTTGTGTTATTTAGTTTGGGATAATTGCAGTGAAAGGATTATGAGATTACACAAAAAGTGCATTTCTCACAGGGAACAAAGAGAATTTGTGTTCAGGAGAAGAGAGGTCAGCACTTTGTAGTATATAAAATAAATCTGTAGTTTATATTGTAGTATACAAAATAAATCTGTTTTTCGGTGTATTATATTTGAATTAATAACGTAAATTAAACTGGACTTTGAGAAGATGTTATTAATAGTGATAGTTTCAGAAAAAAAGTGTAGTGACAGCTTGTGGCTGATTTGCCAGCATATTTAGTCACCATTGGTTACTGTGTCTCTCTTGGAGTTCAGACTCCTCTGTCCTTAACATCATCATGGAAATTATTTGCTATCACCTCCCTTTCTATGAAACTTCGAGTTGTATACTTAGTATGAGGTAAATATTTGTAAATAAACAAATATCAGTTAGATGCTTTTCAAAAAGTGCATTTAGTTTATTGATCCCAGTGTTGTGATGTCATGTGACAGGGGTGTAACAGAAGATTCGGCAGGTGAGTATTTGCACCCATGCACAGCAAAGGGTCACTTAAGATGTACTGTACTCCACTTTCGTTCTTTTTCATGAAGAAACCGCATTTCAGAGAAACGCTAGATGGGTTAATAGAAAAAGCCAGTAGTAATGAAGATTTTACCTTTGAGTGTGCTCTGTGTGCACTGTGTTATTTTAAACATATTGACGTTGAATCTGATGATCACTGCAGCTACTTTGAGAACAAAACTCTTGATGGAGGCAGAACTCTATGAGATATACAGCTTTCTTTTAAAGAAACTTGGTGCTACTGAGGCTAACTTTGGACTCTTTCACTTCCAGAGAAGTTTGCTGAAAGCAACTGTGGGATTCTTCTCAATTCAAGCGGGCCTTTTGCTGCCTGTCACCATACTGTGAACCCCAAGTTCTACTATGAGGTATGTGATGGTCTAGTACTGACCATCTTGATTAGAAATATTTTGGTAATTTCTAACAAAGCATGCACATCTTAAACTACTATTACTACTATTGTCAATAGATTAAAATATATGATGCTTCAAATTAGAGTAATAATTCACTTACATATTAGATAAACTAACTATACATATAATGCTGGAAAATAATTCCGAATGAAAAAAACGTTTGAAAATCTTTTCCTTTTTCCTTTTTAAAAGTGGATTAATAATTAATATTTTAAAATATTTCTGAATATCTCAAAGTTCAATTTAATTCTGGAGTCAAGAATGCCTGGATATATTAAGCTGTTTAAACTCAGGTTGCCTGTTCTGAATGACTTTATAATGTAATATATTTTTTATTTAAAGGAATGCAAAACATACACATGCTCTTGTGAAAACAGCCAAGATTGCCTGTGTACAGTTTTAGGGAACTATGTGAAAGCATGTGCTGAGAAAGAAACATACCTAGTGGGCTGGAGATCTGGACTCTGTGGTGAGTAGGGGGTGGCTGCTTCCTTCTCAGCTCCCTGTGTGCACCTGAGCTGGGGTGGAGAGTCACATGCATTGACAAACTCATACGTGATACTTTCAAAGACGATAATTTAAAAACAATTGGGGGGGGTCTCCCTTTCCCTTGTGGTCGTTGACCACCAGTCTGCAGGACAAAGGAAGCAGAGGCTGCGTGCAGGACTTAGCACAGCCTGTGAGGACAATGGAAATAGCCTTCCTGGAGAGTGCTTCCATGTTATGGCTCAGCCGCATTGCAGAGGAATATATAGATGGGGACAGCAGCTGAGGCATCACCTAATTTGGCAACATGGTCCTACCATACAACTGGAGCACAATATGTATTTATCATATCGACAGCAGGGGGCGATATTTGTAGGGAACAAAGGTCACACTTAAGTCAGGCATCCAGACTCAGAAATAGCTTCCAAATAAGGTCAAGTATCCAAGCCTAGAGACATTATCTAAATAGGGTGGGGAGGGAGTCCTACTGCCAAGGGGACCTTTCGTATTACCCAGCTCAGAGAGAGGTCTGGACGTCGTGTACTTCAACCTTAAGCAGCAGGGCCCCCCAACAAATGATCATCAGCATAACTTGAATTGTAACATTTGATTTATTCCTTTACTTAATGAATTTATATTTTTAGATGATAAGTATTTATAGGAAAATGTTAAATGACTGTATACTGAAATTTGTATAATTGTTCATTTGTAAATTAAGAGCCCCAATATTGTAGCTAAACCATTTATTATATTCTTTGAATGTGACACCATAAAGATTTAGCCTGAGAAAAGAATAGCAAACGACCAAATAATCTTCAATGGGTCACGTGTAGAGGCTAGTGCTCCATTTCCCAGTACTTGGAAGGCTGAGGCAGGAGGATTGTTATGAGTTTAAGGACAGCCTGGGCTACATAGTGTATTGCAGGTCAACCTGAGCTACATAGAAAAATCCCATCTCACAAAAGCTCAGATTTGTAGAAGTTATATCCTTTAAACTTCTCAGCACTCCATGGTTCATGTCCAATAAGCAGTAGGGCTGGTCACATTAAATTACCTCTGCCATCAATTTGGCACAGGGAAATGCCCTTCCTTTCCCATTTTCTCTAAGTGTAATGGCCTTCTTTGGTATTTGCCTTCTGCTCCTTCCACAATGAAAACCAGATAATCTTTAAAGTAAAATCATGTAAGACCTGGCTGTCTAAAACATGACAGTTGTTTCTCCTGGTTTACAGGGTCCTATAATCACAGACAGTATCCCTGGACTTAGAGTTTCCAGCCCTTGGTGTATTCTTCGTGAGAATCATGCTGTCTCCTGGCTTAGGTTGTTGTCCTGATGTAGAATTACTCTTCTCCAGGCTTTAGAACCCCTGCTGATTGACCCAATCTCCCCCCTCAGTACAGACCTTAGCTGTGCATGGAGACAGTATGCAGCTTCCTTTTTATGGTACCTGCCACGGTTGTCCTTAAAACTGGAACATAAGCCACACAAGAGCAGTGAATATTGCCTAGCCTGCCTGTGGGCTTTGTCTGAACCGCTCACTGAAAAGAGTGAATAAAAATAAACCAATGAGCAAATAGCCTTTTCTCTGTACACTCATAACTTTAATTATGAAAAATCCACTCTATTTTCATAAACATCAGTTTGAAGGAAGTCCCCTTCCTGAATGTACACACAGTAACTACTGTTCTCGTCTCTTCCCCACAGAGCTTTCTTGTCCAAGTGGCCTTGTGTTTGAATACAAAGTGAAAACTTGCAACAGCTCTTGCCGATCACTCTCACAACGAGACAGAAGCTGTGATATACAAGACATTCCAGTTGATGGATGTACTTGCCCTGATGGAACGTACCAGAACAGTGATGGAAACTGTGTTCAGAAGTCTGAGTGTGACTGTTATGTTAATGATGACATTGTGAAACCTGGCAAATCCATCCTTATTGATGACAACAGCTGGTGTGTAGTAGATTATGTAGACACTCATCTTGATACCCACAGCAGATAACATAGATGCTTGTTAGGACACTGACAAGGGGATGTGTTCTCTTCAGAACTTGCCAATATGAAGTCTCCCTCAGATCTACCATATTTTTCATTTTCCATGTATAACTGCAGCTGGCTGATGCTTCTTTTAGTCTAGAGGATCCACAATCCACTACACCATAGTGACCATACCTGGTTTGTTCTACTCTGTTTTAAATATCAGGAGAAATGTGTTCTAGCAGCTTCTATAAACAGACAATGAAAAATGGTTTCATACTCAGATAATGATCTACTGTTTTTGTCTGCAGCATTCTGCAAGCCCTTGTTAAGTACCTATATCTAGGATTTGTATTGATTGCTAGAATTACAAAAGAGAGTAATCATTGCCTTGTACACACAAAGTAAGCAAGGTGTTTGTTAGCAGGATGTAGCAGTCACTGTCTGAGGAGTCAGGGAAGCTTCCCAGAGAAGGCTGGAATTTGAGTTCTACTAAGAATGGATCATTGTTTCCAGACAAAAAATGAGAAGAATTTCTGTGGAAAGAATGATATAGCAAGTGCTCAAAAATTGTTAGGCATGGGGGCTATCGTATAAGATTATGCTAGAGGCATAGACAATGGCCAGGCTTCAGCTTAGATTCCAAGTTCACAGACATACGGTTGAGGCTCGAGCATAAGTTTTCTTTCCCTCTGTAGCTGCAGAATCGAGTGATTATGAACCACAGGCTGTCTCTCCTCAGCTATGGCATTTCTCGGTGCTAGTGACACAGACCACTGTCAACTCCTGCCAGCATCTCTGCTTTAGTTAGCTCTCCTTTCCTGTCCATTGAAATCCTCCATATCTATAACCCCTTCCCTGCTCTGTGACCAGAACATCTAAGGTAAAGCACAATGTTGGTTGGCTCATTAGCCTTCTTAGACAAATGATGACAGCCGCTGAAAGAATAGAAAGACACTTGCATGTCATTTAAGGCCATACAAGATCTGGTCCAAACCTATTTCTGTCTCTTTCCTCCATTATGTATTATCCTGTTTGCATCTACGGGAAATTGTTGGGAGCCTTTGAAGCACATCTTATTCTGTCTGCTGTCAGTTTTTCATATTCCTTGCTTGACTAGATCCTGTGGTTAAACTTTCCATTAGGTTTTCTCTGACATTCATAAAACTTGCACCTTCCTACGGTACTTGGAATGTTACAACTTATAATTTGGGCAATTTGTCTAATTGCCCTTAAATTTTAATATTTTTAATAATATTTATTTAAATTATAAACAATCTTATTTGACATATTAATCTCAGTTCCCTCTTCCTTCCATCCTTCCATGGCCCCCCACAAGCTCCATCCCACCTCCCATCCACTCCCCAGGGAGAGGGAGGCCTCCCATGGGGAATCATCAAAGTCTGTCACATCATTTAGGGTAAAGAGATAAAATATATGGTTTTCTTTTTCCAGTGTCTGCCAGGATGGAGTGCTTCTTTGCCAAACTCCCCTTGATTTGACCATACGTAAGTGGTTTCTACTGCTGTTTCAGTGTTTGCTTGTTTGACCGCCCAACCCTGCCCTCATCATTTATTTCCTGTTTGATTCTCTTCTCGCCTCACCTGTCCTCCTCTTATCTATCTATCTATCTATCTATCTATCTATCTATCTATCTATCTATCTATCTATCTACCTACCTACCTATCTATCTATCAATCCATCTATCTATTCTCTCTATCATCTATTTCTCTTTCTCTCACAAAATCCATAGGCTGGCCTTGAGAGGACAGCAATCCTTCTATGTTAGTATCCCCAATGCTGGAATTATGGGCATGTGCCTGAACTCCCTCTTCTTACCTAAGTAACTGTTAATAAAGTGGTCAAAACCAGATCAGGACCTCTTGATTGACAATGCTTGTTTTTCCTCTTGCAGAAAACTGTTCCAGAGGGGCTGAGTATGTCGACTGCAAGGATCCCAAGGCACAGAGAAGGACTGAAAGGACATGTAGCACCCGGAATATACCTGATTTTGAGGTGGGTAACACGACATCTGAGTGAAGCCTTTTAAAGCTTTAAAATTTTCCAGGTAAATAGAAACTACAATTTATAAGAAAATTAGTGTAATTGTTACGTGTATGCATGATCTGTTTCACTTGTCAAATGTGAGCCCCAGATTTACAGTGCGTACTGTATTTACGCATTTAGCTTGATGACATGATGACAGAGTATCAATTCTGTATGTTCTCTTGTAGGGAGACTTGCCATGCAAACGTGGGTGTTACTGTCCTGTAGGAATGGTCCGCAACTCTAAAGGGATATGTATATTTCCTGATGACTGTCCCTGCTCTTTTGGTGACAGAGAATATGAACAAGGAAGTGTTACTTCTGTTGGCTGCAATGAGTGGTACGTAATAAAGAATTCACAAAGCATTTAATTTTAGACATTTAGAAATGGATAGTTTGCTGTTATTTTTCTTGGGAATGAGAAAGTCATGCCTAGGGCTGTTCGAAAGAGTCAATGGCCAACTTAAGTTAGTAAAAGGTAGTATTTTATTTCTTTTTTGTTTTTGTTGTTGTTTGCAAAAAAAATCCCTTTGTGTAGCATTGCACACCATGGACATTAGACAATATGATGAAAGGTACCTATAATATTTAAGCCAAGAAACATTTTATGATTCTTTACAAACCAATAAAATATACGACTCATGGCAAAAATAATGATAATTCTTCAATTTTTTCCTTTCAGCACTTGCATAAAAGGGTCTTGGAACTGTACCCAAAATGAATGTCAAGCAACTTGCCACATCTATGGGGATGGGCATGTTAGAACCTTTGATGGAGAAAGTTACAGCTTTGATGGGCTTTGCCAGTACACATTCCTTGAGGTGATTATGTGTATATATATTATCATATTTTTTCTGTCCTTCAGAATTATTCTCAGATGCTTATGAGGACAGGGAAATTTCATTTTCAAAATTGAATTTTTTTCTTACAGCTTTTGGTATGTTTCTAGAAGGGCGAGTATTTTCCATTGTGATGATAGGTCTGGTGGCTCTGCTGATTCCTGGCTTGGCCTCATTAGATGTATGACCCTGACTACCTTTCTTTAGGTCTTGGAGTCTAAGATTCTGTATCAATAAAATGTGCATGGAAATAGCCCCTACTTGAAGCCAAATAGGGGCACTCATTGTAGTGCTCAGTGAATAATAGATCATATTATTTTAGCTGTAGCAGTAGAGATGGTGACTAGAATTTTCTTACCAAGCAAAATGACATACTTTATTGTTGTTAAGCCATTGTAAACCCAGAGGACTACCATTGCTCCTATAATGGCAGATAGAGAAGGGAAGATTAAAGTGAATTTAGCTACTTTAAACTACCTAGAGACTGTCATAACCAACAAAGGAAAAGTCTGATTTCAGAGTTTATGCTTTTTAGAGGTAATTAAGTCCCTTGATAAGGTATCATCTAATGGGTAAAGTTTGGATTGCTCTTTAATTTGTAGATTAGCTATGATCGACTATCGAACTTTATCTAAATGACTGAAGAAAAAGAACTACCCTTAGCTATTTATAGAACAAACATGATTCATACTTAGGATGCAAATACTTGTACATCTGTGGTAAAATCTGGACTTGTGTAGAAGGAATGCACTCCTTTTCAATCAAACCAGGCTAACTACAATGAACTCTTCAGGCTGCTTAGCCACGAATACAGCCAGGCTGCTGCAGTTTAGGAATTCTTCACCACAGCGTATGATGTACTGAATTTAAGAAATCATCTGTGCGATGTTGCTGCCGAAGCCAGTGCTCCCAACACTAATAAACTATTATAATTTGCTTTCAACAGGATTACTGTGGTCAAGAAAATGGCACATTCCGTATTCTAACTGAGAGTGTCCCGTGCTGTGAAAATGGGCTTACCTGCTCCAGAAAAGTCATAGTGGCTTTCCAGGTATGACAGGACTCCTCTTTGCTTGAATTCCTCCCAGATTTTAGACTTTCTAACTGAAAGGGCTCTTTGTAAAATCTTCCCTTTGATTTACAGGATCAAAACATCATCTTGCAAGATGGTAAAGTAACAGCAGTTCAAACTACCGAAAGTAAGGATTGTGAGCGCAATGGGACTGTGTACTCCATCCACACTGTTGGCCTCTACCTGATTGTGAAACTTCCAAATGGAATCATCCTGATTTGGGACAAATACACAAAAGTATCTGTTATTCTGGACCCAACGTGGCAGGTATATGCATCTCTTACAAGCTGGGGGAACTGACACTTAGAAGCAGGTTAGGGTCTCAGCTACCGTAATTAGCTACTTCTGTTCAGTTATCATTAAATACAACAAAATGACCAAATCTTGTAGGAATGTGAGTGCGATCAATTGAGGAATTCTAGTGTAACTGTCTGCTTTCTTGAGATTATCACATGATATGATTTTAAGGTAATTATATATTTTGAATCAAGTACATTTCTTATAGTAGATATTCTAAAACTATGAGCATATCTATGCATAATTACCTTTAAAGTAACAAATATAATTATTTTTCATTCTTAAAAACTTTATTATGCCAAGTAGCAATCGAGAGACAGAGGCTGGTGGAGCCCAGTGAGTTTGAGGCCAGCCTGGTCTACACAGTGAGTTTTAAGACAGCCAGTAATAGAAGAAACCTGCCCCAGAAAAAAATATTTACTATGCTTGATATTAGATCATTATCATCTATCCTCTATCTACTGCCTGTCTCTTTGATATATCCATATTTTTCAGCTCTGAAATCAGTACAACTGATTCTTTAACTTGCTATTTTCATGCATGGTCATGTAAGGTCATTTTCATGTAATTAGGTAATGTTTTTAAACACAATCTCCCTTCTGTCCCATTGCCTTTCCTCTTCTCATCCTTGGACCTCTCATTAGTCCTCACTGTCCCCTAGATGCTTTCACTTGCACTTTTACACATTGGCAATCGAAATGCTTTCATATCATCAATGGCCAGAATCTGCAATTGAAAGAAAATGTGTTTTGTGTCTTTCTGAGACTGCCTTAACTCTCAGTGCTGAATAACTTGTGTCAATTTGACACAAACTAGATTGCCTTGGAGGAAAGAACTTCAGGTGAGGAATTGCCTCCATCAGATTGGCTTGTGGTATGTCTGTGAAGCATTTTCTAGTTGCTAGTTGATACAGGAGGACCCATCCTGCTGTGGATGGTGCTATCCCTGGGCATCTGGGCCTGGGATAAATATACAACAACACTAAGCAATTCAGAGGAAGTTTCTTCCTTGGATTCCTTCAGTGATGGGCTGTGACCTGTATGATAAACACTTTCCACCTCAAATTGATTTTGATCAGTGTTTATCACAGATTAATCTGTGATTGTAACTTGATTATCTTCAGTTGCATTTGTTTTCCAGTAAAGGAACTTATTTGTTTCTCCATATTATTATTGAACATTTACATTGTGCATATGATACACATTTTCCTTTATCCATTCATCTGTTAGAATCTACATTGATCCTATTACTTAGTTGTTGTGAGTGGTGTTGTTTTTTATTTTTAAAACATTTATTTTCCATTTTACATACCAACCCAAGTTCCCCCTCCCTCCTGCCCCCCCCAAACTTTCCCCCTTACCCATCCTCTATCCACTCTGCTTTTCGTAGGGTGTAATCCCTTCCTTGGGGAGTCAACAATGTCTGATATACCAAGTTTGAGATAGGACCAAGCCCCTTCCCACTGTAGCAAGGCTGAACAATATATACCACCATAGGGAATGGGCTCCAAAAAGCCAGTTCATGCTCCTGGAATGTGTCCTAGTGCCACTGCCAGGGGCCCCTCAAAAGATCAAATCAAATAACTGTCACCTACATTCAGAGGTCTCGTTTAGTCCCATTCAGGTTCCTCAGCTGTGAACAAGGGGGGTTCAAGACCATGACGGGGAAACTTGCAGAGACAGCTGACCTGAGCTAGTGGGAGCTCATGGACTATGGAATGAGTGGTGTTTTAATAAACATTGGTGGAAAAACATCTCTGGATAGCTGAGTCACATGGAAGGTCTAGTCTTAGTATTTTGACAGACCTCCAAGCTATTTTCCCTAATGACTAATCTAGTTTATATGCCATTAGTAGTATGGGCTGCCCCTTTCCATCCATATTCTTTAGCATTTTTTGTCATTTGTCTTTTTGATGACTACTATTTTTACTGGAAGGAGGTGGATTTCAATGTAGCTTTGATTTGCATTCCTTTGGTTGCTAGTGTATTGGTAAGTTGCTCTCAGTTTTGCCCGCACCATTTGTTGAAGAGGCTGCTGGCATCCTTAAACATAGGTGGAAGTCTCTGTCCCACTCAGTCCCTTAGCCATTTAATCCCAAATAAACACACAGAGGTTTATATAAATTATAAGTTGTTTGGCCAATGGCTCAGGCTTCTTATTGGCTAGCTCTCTCTTAGTCATCAACCCATTTCTAATAATCTGTGTATCCCTACATGGTTTTGGCTTGCTGGTGATTCCCTAGCCTCTTGCTTTCGCGGCAACTACATGGAGTCTCCAGTTCTTGACTCCCTCTCAGCGTTTCACTTCCCAGAATTCTCCTAGTCTGGTAGCCCAGCCTATACTTCCTCCCTGGCTACATCCTGCCTGTCCATTGACCGAACAGCTTTATTCATCCATTGACCAATAAGAAAAACATATATTCACAGCATACAGAAGGACATCTCCCATCACTTAAATTAGCTGTGTAATTTTTTGGGGGGTTGTCTCCTCCATTGATTCATATATGTGTTTTTCTGCCAGGGCCATATTGTTTTATTGATATGATTCTGTCCTACAACTTGGAAACAGATGTAGTATAGGGTTACTTTGGCTACCCAGGGTGTCCTGTACCTTCATATGAGTATTATGATACATTTTTCTATTTATTTTAAGAATGCTATTGATATGTTTATTAGGATTACATTGGATCTGAAGATTGTTTTTGGTAGGCTGGCCATTTTCTCAATGTTATTTCTTCCAACCCATAAGTCCTCTATTGTCTAGACTTTCTCGCTTTCATCTGGTTTCTTTGTGTTTTAATGTTTTCATTGTAGAGGGAGGCTTTTCATGTCCCTGCTTATGTTTATTTCATCTTTTTATTTCTGTTCAAATTTCTTTCTCAGAATGTTTGTTAGTATGCCAGTTAGTTTTATGTCAACCTTATACAAGCTAGAGTCTTTGAAGAATAGGGAGCTTCAGTTGAGAAAATGTCTCCATAATATCCAGCTGTAGGCAAGCCTGTAAGACATTTTCTTTATTAGTGGTTGATGAGAGAGGGCCCAGCCCATTGTGCGTGGCACCACCCGTGAGCTGGTGGACCTAAATTCTATAAGAAAGAATACTGAGCAAGCCGTGAAGAGCAAGCCAATCAGTAGGACACCTTTGTGGCCTCTGCATCAGCTCCTGCCTCCAGGTTCCTGTCCTCTTTGAGTTCCTGTCCTGACTTCCTTTGATAATAAACAGTGATATGGAAGTATAAGCCAAATGAATCTTTTTCTCCCCACGTTTTAGTCATGTGTTTCATCACAGTGTTGTAGAATATTATTTTAACTGTGTTACTTTGGGTTATGCTCTGGAACATTTGTTTAATGATACAAAGATGTGCCTGATTAAATAAAATTCACCTATGGTGAGGAAGCTGGGTCAGCAACTAGCTGACAGGAAGTTATGTGGGCAAGGGTTTTATGAGGGGCGTGGAGAAAATGAGGGCTTCTGGAGAGAGGTGAGCTACTTGCTATTATGTCTCTTTTGTAGGCATTTTGACAGATTGGAAGGGACGGGTATTCTGGCACTCAGGAGTCACAGAATACTGAGTGTTACACAGCTCAGATGGAAAGGTATCCTGGAGCTTGGGAGCCAAGGACTACCACAGGCTGCAGTAAGCGTAGCAGCTTACAGCCCTGCATCAGGGAAAGGCTTGCTCAGTGTATCAGCTCTGCTCCTTAAGGAGAGGGTCTTCCAGCTGGGGATGTTTGCCCAGTGTAGCAGTTTTGCTTGGCAGGAGGTTTGGGGAGGGGGGGTTGCTACAATTTTGCTCTGCTCCTGGGAGAGTGGAGAGCCTAGTGTTGTGCTCTACCCTGGAAGGTTTCCCGGGCAGAAGTGTTAACAGCCCTGCTTGCTCTGCTCTGTCCAGGGTTGTCTCCACTCTGCTGCAAAGGTCTTCACCCAAAGCTCATGGAAGGGGTTTATTGGGAGGGAAGAATACAGGAGAGTGGCTGCCCTCTGCTACAGAGGCAGAGGACAGCTGGGTATCAAGAACAGTCACAAGCTGAACAGACACAGGGTTTATTTAGGGCTTCTTAGGGAGTGGCATTTTCCAGGGTGGAGATTGGTCAGATTTCAATGCTGAGCTCATATTCGCTAGCGCTCCTGCTCAGGGATTGGTTAGTTTTCTGCACAGGGTTAGGGTAAGATTTGGCTCTGGTTTCAGGGCCAAAGTGTATTTCTTTCTCTTGTTCTTTTTAGCCTCTTGGCTCTAGTTTTAGGGACAGGATGTATTTCTTTCACTGGCTCTGATTCCAGGGACAAAGTGTTTCTTTGGCACTGGTTTCAGGGTCAGGGTGCATTTCTTTGGTTCAGTGCCTGAGGGAATTTCCTCAGGATGTGGCTATGTGACCTAACCCTGCTGAGAGTTGTGGAATTGGAGTTGCTGATTTGGACAGCTGTGGCTTAAAAGGCAACAACAACTTAAAAAGATGACACCACAGCAACAGTAACTCTGCCTAGGATAAAATAGTATATAGGAAGACTTCTGATTTTTCACATTAGTTTTGTATTTTGCCACACTACTAATGGATCAGGGTTTTTTATTATTTTTTTTATTTTTGCAGTCTCTAGGTATACAATCATTTAATATGCAAAAAAGGGTGCTTTGACATCGTCCTTTTCTATTTGTGTCCTTTTAGTTTTGTTCTCTTTCTCTTACTATTCTAGCTAAGACTTCACATATTGTATTAAGTAAGAATGGAGAAAGTGCACACACATGTTTTGTCCCTGACAACAGTGAAAATGCATACAGTTTCCCCAGTTACTCTGATGGTTGTAGGTTCATAATATATAGTATTTGTTATTTGGGCACAAGTTTCTTCTATTGCTCCTTTTTGAGGACTTTTATCATAAAGGGATGTTGAGCTTTGTCCAAAGCCTTTTCTGCATCTATTAAGATGATCATGTGAGTTGTCCTTGTGTCAAAACTTTAATGTGTTATATTTGTTGACTGTCATATATTGCTGTATCCCTGGAATGAAGATGGACTTGATCATTCAAATGATCTTGTACTGTGACTTTTGCCCCTTTGATCAACACAGAGTAAAGTGTGCGGTCTTTGTGGAAATAACAACGGTGATCTTAAAGATGACTTCACAACAAGGCACTCTTTGGTAGCTGCCACAGCCCTGGAATTTGGAAACAGTTGGAAAACGAGTCAGGAGTGTTCAGATACAGTAACTCAAAGCTTCCCATGTGACTCGAACCCATACTGCAAAGCCTGGGCTGAGAAGAAGTGTGAGATCATCAGGGATGACACCTTCAGGGACTGCCACAACAAGGTAGCACTACTCTGAGCACCATTGCTTGCATAGGTCCTTCCCAGATGCTCATGTGCTGTGTCTGTCTAGGTGGACCCCACAACATACTACAATGCATGTATCGAAGAAGCCTGCGCATGCGACATGGAGGGGAAGTACCTTGGCTTCTGTACTGCTGTGGCAATGTATGCAGAGGCATGCAATGCAGCTGGAGTCTGTGTCTCATGGAGGAAGCCAAATCTTTGCCGTAAGTGAAGTCTGGATGTGAACCGTTTTCTCAAAGTTGTAGTGAGACAAAGCTGTTTTCTTAAGTCATTGATCTGTCTCAGATTTTCTATAAAACACATGTTCTCAAACCTATCAACCACTGATGGAAAATGAATCTCCCTGGCACTAGAGTAATGATGAGTTTGTGTATTCATGTGTCCTAGGTACAAACAAGCCTCACATACTATTCTTGGTTGAAATCTTCACATACTTTGTTTTCTTGACCCAGAAAATGGACTTGAATATGAAATTAATCTCTCCACATAGAGCCACATAAATAAGCCAGTTTTTCTCCCTGAAAGGCATGATTGGAGATGTGCTCAATAAATGAGAAGCATTGACATGAGAAACATTGCATTCCACTTCCAAGGTTTAGTGATATAGCAATCTCTTTAATTACTTTATTTGAAGACTATTTAACTTTCTCAGACTCTTCCTGAGACAGGGTATACACTGTAGCTCAGGTTGCTCCAGAACTCACTGTGTAGCCCAGACTGGCTTTGGCCTTGTAGCAATTCTTCTGGCCAAGCTACTTCTGTAATTGGATTATAGGAGTGAGCCACCATGTCTATAAGTTTTGCTTTTTGTTGTTGTCATTGATTTTCATATTTATTTTTGCACCTTAAACTTGGACATTAAAACCAGAAAACCAGAAGTCTAGATCAGCAGTTCTTAGCTTCTGGGTCATAACCCTCTTGGGGGTCAAATGACCCTTTCACGAGAGTCACCAAAGACCATTGGAAAACACACATACTTACATCACAATTCCTAACAGTAGCAAAATTACATGGAGTAGCAATAAAAATAATTCTGTTTGGGGTCACCACTACGTGAAGAATTGTATTAAAGGGTTGCAACATCAGGAAAGTTAAAAAGCCCTGGTCTAGATGAGGCTTAAAATATCTCCAAGTTAGTTGAGAAATGAAAGAGTTAGCTAAGTCTGTAAGCTGCCCCCTTTTTGTGTGTGTCCTTTTAGCCTATGTGACAATTTAGATAAGGCCAAAGAGACTTGATTGGGTGAAGGACCCATATCTAGGTCTGTCCTTAGTATCGTCTAGGATCCTTTTAAAAAGAAATCTTGGAAATTGAAAGATGAGAACCGCCATACTAGGAATGAAAATAATCTGCTTCAATTCAATCGCAGCTGTGTACTGTGACTACTACAATGCACCTGGGGAATGCAGTTGGCACTATGAACCTTGTGGCACAGTGACAGCCAAAACATGCAAGGATCAGGTCATTGGTCAGAAGTTCTCTTCACTTCTAGAAGGTAAGATGATATATTTGAAGAGTTGAGAAAATGGCACTGACTTTAAAACTAAAGAATATTAGTTTCTCCCAATTCAGTGTCTGATTTTTATAACTGAATGAAGTGGTTTTCATTTAGGCAATAGTTCTACAGAACCTTTTATATAGATGCAGAGGTCCTTTCTGGGGCAGAAGACGGTCCCATAGCCCTGCTGTTAGTCTTTATTCTTGTCGTGGGATGACACGCATGTCTGAAAAAGCAGTGTCAGAAAGCAACTTGTGAAAGGATGGAGATTGAGGTTAGGTTGTTCATCTGTGTCCCACACATGTACAGTACTTTGTTTTTAGCTTTGTACCTCTTAGGAGGAGAGACGTGGCAGGAAATGTCCTAAAGCCACCTCTGTGTCAAGCCCTGGGATGTTTTAGGTTAACTCCTGTGTCTTTTCTCTCTTGGAAAAGTAGACATTTGGAAATGCCATCCACAGTCTACAGAAGTATCTAACCAAAGCCTGCTTTATGTTTATATGCGTATCATTGAAGTAGCAACCATTCAGGAAAATGTGGATCTATTTTTAACAAGAACATACTGGTGAAGAAAAATTGACTGTGTGTGTGTGTGTGTGCGTGCGCGCGCATCCACATTCCCATTACCCTTACATTTCCATAAGAGTGGTTCTTTGCTACCCCATCCCCCACATACACCTCAGTCTATAGAATCGTTGTAGTAAGTTCAGAAACATATGATGAAGTATGACAAGCTTTGGTAAATGGGGATGAACTGCAGGTTATTGTGTTTTTCAGGCTGTTACGCCAAGTGTCCAGAAAGCGCACCCTATCTGGATGAGAACACTATGAAATGTGTTCAGTTATCTGAGTGCAGCTGCTTCTACAATGATGTCATACCAGCAGGGGGTGTTGTTGTGGATGACTGTGGAAGAACATGGTATGTTTCCTGCTACTTAACAGTGAGCAGCTCGGTCTATGATAGTAATTACCCTGTATTCTTCAAAAAAACAAAAACCAAAACCACAAACAACCAGATGGGTTATAAAACCTTTACATCTTATGAGAAGATAGCAGGAAAACCCAGTCTGTAGTTTAGGGGAAAGACTGTGATTCTATAAATGTAGATCCTATTTGCAGGCTGTCGAATATGGAGTCGTGCCAGTGAGATTGTCCTAGGGAAACCTGCTCATTGAGAAGTGAAATTGAGGCAGCTAATTTTAAAACTGATTTTGCTGCTGGATGGTAAATCAGTCCATAGTTCTGCAAACTGTGGTGAAATGAGCAGGAGTAACAGCCTGTCAAGGACACAAGCAACCAACCTAGGGTGCTCCAAGGGGGCATTTAGCAATTAGCTCTCTTGTGTTTCATTTTCACCACTTGGCAATGTGTTGTCTTAAATCTGTGAGATGTGCATTCCTGGGAGTCGAATTCAGAGTCATTCTTTTGCCTTTTCAATGTAACTTTCAGCTACTGTTCCGCTGGCGAGCTGGAGTGCAGTGGTGAGTAAAGTGTTCATTTTCCTCTAGCTCATTTAGGAATGGTGAGATAGGGGACACAGCACCATCAATAAACATAAGTACGTAGCCATACTTTTGACTGCCCCTTTGGGACTGGTGCCACCCCAACCTGTATGACACAGAGCCACTCCTCAAAGCCAGGACTGCAAGGGCATTTCAAGAAATTTCAGTGGTGGCTAATAATTGTGAATGTTTTCTCTACTGCATGTGTGTGCCCTGACATCTGGTACTCAAGAGTGTCTTCTCTACGGCATGAATGCCCTGACATCCGCTACATGTGTTTTCTCTACTGCATGCATACTCTAACATCAGCTACCTGTGTTTTCTCTACTGCATGTGTGTCCTGACATATGTATGCTTTGAGAAGTAAGAGGGTGAAGAGACATCAGTCAAGACAATATAATGAAGGAAACAACATAGACAGGATAAAAACACTTCAGGGACACAGGAGAAACACCTATGTTACAAAAGAGTCCTGAGATGAAGATGTGCTCAGTGACATAGTGCTTGCCTTGACAAGATAGAGCAAAGTCCAGAGTTCAGTCCCCAGAACCTCAACGAAGCAAATAAAAGCTCAGTGAGTCTCAGAAGAACTCAAGGAATAGTCCTGGTTCATATGAAGAACCACAAGACACAAAACAAAAGATATGTGGCTTCTAAATGGCTTAAGATGTAGCGGTTTGTTAATACTTTCAATTTCTGTGTTCATTTCAGAGATTCTGCCTACAAATTCAACACCAACAGGTAATGTTACAATTCTTTGTCAAATATGGAACTTATCTTTGCATCAGTAACCTTTATTTATAGTTTTATACAATTTTGTGATGGTAAAAATTTGCTGAAAAACCAGGTAAGTGTAAACTAAAGTTGTTATTAGAAAATACCAGAATATTATTTCATCAGATTCCTACAAATTGAGTCAGAAAAGTGAGCCAGATTACAACATGGTGTACATATTCCATGCTACTTAATATGTGTTAAATATCACAGCCGGGCATTGGTGGCGCACACCTTTAATCCCAGCACTCGGGAGGCAGAGGCAGGCGGATCTCTGTGAGTTCGAGGCCAGGCTGGACTGACAGCCTCCAAAACAGAGAAACCCTGTCTCATAAAAACCAAAAAAAAAAAAAATATATATATATATGCATATATATGTGTTAAATATCACATAGAATTTGACGTTTTTAGGTGATAATTAAATAGTGATAAATAAAGTAAATGTGGTATCTTAATGATACAAATATTTGAAAATTATGATCACACTTATAGATGATTTGAAATGGAAACAGTTCATTCCTTATTCTTAAATCATGTCTTTATATTATTTGGTAGAGGTATTTAATTTATGTTCATCTAAGAGAATTCTGGGCAAATTAGCTTAACTTGGCTTTGAAACATTGAATTTACTGACAGTCTGAACACACTTGGGCTTACTACAGCATACCTCTCCCTTGTGTAGTTTAGAAGGGATTTTATTCCCTGTTGATTACTGTCAAGAGGTCACAACAATGAAGAGATTGGAAACCTTAGACTCCAGTGAGAAAGTGAGATGGCCTTGTAGAAGTCCTGTAGACACTATAGCTCCTACTGCCCACTTTCCTGAGACTGAGCTATCAGATAGTAGGTTCCTGAACTGCATTTCTCGGTCATTGTAAAGTTGCTAGGAAGTTTAGCTACTGGACAGGATAGAAAATAGTTATTTTTATGGACATATGTAGTGCTATTTATACTGATTTATATACCGAAGTTTTTTTGTCACTTGATTTCTACAGATAATTGTATAAATTTTAATTTTAGTTGAAGACAATGTGTTTCTTGAGTGAAATGTTCTAACAAAAATTCTGCAACTAACTTGTTTCCTAAATTCCATTTCTTCAAACAGTTTCTATTACCACAGCTGCTTCCACATTAAGCACCTCAACAGGTAAATAAAAATAAAATGTACCATATTATTTTTAATTTGTACATTGATAGCAAAGGGAATGTAAAGTTTAGGCATGTGGGCCCTGCCTTCAATCTGTCAGTCTTCATGTATTCATTTCCTAACAGTTCGTGCTAAGGAGCAGGGTTTCCATGTGGTTCAACTGTAGGCAAAAAGCACTGTCCTACCTACATTTATCTTCCCTAAAAGAACATTTTTGCATGTCGTTGGCTAGGAGGTAGCAACTAGGCAACATTCTAGGTTAAAATTTCCACTCAAGTCCCATCGGTTAACTTAAAGCCATAGGCAGTAGATTACAAAAATACATTGAAATGTGTAAGACTCTGACAAATTAGCCTGAATTTAGAAATTTATGTGCATTTCTAGAAGCCTTATCTAGATAAATACTTTTTAAGCTTTGCCTGTTGATGTAATTTTAACCTACATTTCCAAATTATTTGTCCCCTCTGCATAGCAGTGACCTCGGTGGCCAGCAGCTTAAGCTCAGGTAAGCCTTTGTCAGCAGGGGACGTCAGACCCATAGCCTAGCCTTCCAAGGTTTGTGCCTTCGTGATGATGGTGTAGTAGAGAGTACCTGTGTTTCTGTCTTTGAAAACAAAATGTGTTAGAAAAAGATGCTTTGGGGGAGAAAAACACACACACAATGTTTTCTGACTTTTGTTTGTGATTTTTCGTTGTTAGAACTTTGTTCCTACATTTGGCTTTGTCTTTGTGATTGATGTTTTCAGAAATGTTAGTTTTGAGTTCAGCTATTTTATGAATAATCATAGCTGTTCTTGGAAGCATGATATTCCCCCATACAAAGTTTAGTTTTTCAATTGATTTCTCAAATTCAGCAGCACCTATTCCAGCAATTACAACACCAAGCACCAAAACAATAAGTAGAAATATCAAAAACTTTATAAAAGTATCAATAGTTTTTCTTATTTAAATCAAAAGATTTTTTTAGGTACAAACGTAGGGCAACTTATATATAGTACAAATGTTGGTTTGGTTGCATATTTGAACTACCAAGGTCTGAATTCTCCCATTCAGTGTACCTAGCTTAGGAACCTAAAGATTAACAATCACTGAATAGGCTTCAATACCTTAGATAAGTGAAAATAGGAGAAAAAAATGTTTGAGAAAAAGTGGCATCACTATGACTTTGCACCTTTATGCCCACATATACAAAAAAAATGAAAACATTGTAAGGGATTTGCCCTTCCAAACCTATATTATTTCTGACATAGCTACTTTCCTATGATCAGGGTCTCCTCCCACCAGCCTTCCCGAGCTTTCTTTCTTCTGTGAATTACTAATGTCTCTAATCTGAAAGGAGAATGCCTCTAAAGACGCATTCCCAGGTTTTCCACGTTAGTATTCCCAACTACAACTAGCGTCAAGCTATGCAACTGTATCTGACAAATGTTCTAATGATGAATGGGTAACTCTAACATGTTGAAAATTTGAAACTATACTTTACTTTCATCTTAAAACAGAAAATTAGTAATTCAGCTTCTGCAATTTGGCATAGAGGTTTTCTGTGATGGTTGGCTTAGTGTCTAAATATTATTTAAGCTAATAAATCCTTGAGCTCATATATTTTATTTATTGAAGACAAACTTCTTCCTGTAGAATATAAATATATATAATAAAGCTGATTTTTTTAGATTATAATATCATGTAATATGGAATTAGGAATATCATTTTATCATTTAAAACATCTTATAGTGCTTAGTGTTATTTAATTTGATAATCATTTTGCTTTATATACAAATCAATGATCTTGAGCAAAGAAAATTAAAAGCAATTGCTTATATCAAAGTGTCAGCAATTAGACAAGCAAGATGGCTTGGTTAGTAAAGGGGTTGCCACCAAGCCCAAGGACCTGAGGTTAGTCACTAGTATCTATGTGGTGGAAGGGAAGAGCCAACTGCTGCAGGTTGTCCATTGACATCCACAAGTGAGATGTAGCATGTAACCCCCAAATTAATAACAAATGTTAAAGTGGCTATGATAGTATTGAAACTAGAGCCATATAGTTATTCTTGCCAACTTCATATTCCCTTGGATTATTATTAACAATACCAAGAAATAGAAATTTTAGGAAGACTGGCTCATTTTGAGATTTTTCTGCATTGTGGACTCATCAACTCATGTCCCCAGGCCCAATTTGCTATTTTAACCACTGGATTTTCTGCATGGCTTCATGTTTGCTGCTGAATAATCTCTACTCAGCACTAACTGTATCCTGAGCAGTGAACCATAAATTTAACACTCAGCTGAGTTTTGTTTATGAGATGAGCAAGCTGGTTCAGTTCCAGTTTTATTTTTAGTTAATTATCAAAGCTTTGAGTCTTGTGACTGCTAAAATTAGCTTTCCACGTGTGCTTTCATTCCAGAGGTATGCGAGCATGATGAGCAGCGGGGGTAACTGTTGCAGGCACTGGAATAGAATAGCTGTATGCTGTCACCACAATGTCATGTTTCCTCTCCCAGTACGCATTTTTGAGCAAACCTTCAGGTTTAGCTTGTTAATACTTTGCATTGACCCAGGCTACGCAGAGTTTTGACAAAGAAGGGAATTTTTTGTAGGGAGCTGATAAAATGCTTCATGTAAAATCTGTCTCTGTAAACCTATGGCAATTGCTGCTTCTTCATTCTATCAACTTACAAATGCAAACTTCAGTATGGAGCTGCTTTGGAGCAAAGGCTGCCTAGAACCTTCCCATTGACTTCCTTCACTGTACTATTGAGGATGCTTTGTTTTGTCTTGAAGAATCCCAGTGTTTTCTTTAGGTTTTTCTGAACTGCCAGTGATTCTTTTGTGATTTGCAGTATTAGTGACTTGCTAAGTCAGTGGTTCTCAACCTGTGGGTCGTGACACCTTTGGGAGTCAAATAACTCTTTCACAGTGGTAGCAGAAGACCACTGGAGAACACAGATATTTATATTGAAATTCAAAATGGTAGCACAATTATCATTATGAAGTAGCAACAAAAATAATTTCATGGTTGGGTAGGGGGGAAATCACCACAACATGAGGAACTATATTATAGGGTCACAGTATGAGGAAGATTGAGAACCACTATGCTAAGTGCCTCGTTAGAATGGCATTGAGAGATCAGCTAATGACTTGGATTTGCTGCAGTCTGCACGGTCCCTTTGTTCACAGTCTTAGCAAGTCTCACACCTTCCGATGAGGGATTGCTGCTCCCCACAAGCCCCTCCATGCTTGACGCTATAGTGAGGGGATCAAAAGTCCTTTAATAAAGTTGCCAAGGTTTTGAAGAGCAGACTGTGAAGATGCTTGGGGCTTCATACAGACAGGAATTGTGTTCCTTTGTGTTGTTGTTTTCTTATTATCCACAGAGCCAGAAATTATAGTTGATGTTCTAAAACTGGAAGACAAAAGCAAAATGTTTATATTTCTGGATGCATATAAAAAAGGAAGCATTTTCCTCAAGATGAAGTAAAGAGAAAGTTACCATTAGAAAGTATCTGTGTTTTCCTATTTTCTCCCTCAGATACAAAAGTCTTGTAACCCTCAGATAAGAATCTTTCCTAGCCTACCACTGTCTTTGTGGATGTTCTTATTTATCCTGAAGCAGATTCGGGAGCTGGAATTCCCTGGTTTGTATTATTCTGGCACCCATTATGTTGTTAAGCATTCTCCAGCAAAAGCCTACTATTTGTGCAAGGCAGCCGCTCTGCAAGAGACTCTATATTTCTCTTTGCAGTGTTCCCCAGATTTCTGTTACTTGGCAAGATTCTCATTAAGTGAATTTAGAAAAAAAAAGTTTACAAGAAAATGTGTTGGTGGGCCTTTCCATAACCTGCCTGGCCATCCCTGGCCCTGCCACCTCTTCAGACATGGTGTGTCTAGCTCCCTGTGCCTCCACAGCATACCCAGTCCCCCTCTGGCCCGTGGTTCCTATAATACCCATGCTGGGTAGGAATAGCAACTCCTGGCAGCCAAACAGTTTATAATTAATATAAACATCTGTGCATTTATTTGGGACTAAATGGCTGCAGGACTGGGCAGGACAGAAACTTCCATCTATAGTGTTTTTTCCAGTTTTAGTTTCATCCTTATCATTAACTACTAACGTAGAATTGACAGCAGGACTAAATATTCAAAAATTAATATTGGTTAAAAGAAAAAATGATAAAACATTTGTTACTCCTTTCAGTGGTTTAAGAGTAAAAGAAGCGACTAGCTCTTCGTTATAGAATCTTATGAGAATTATTACTAGCCCAGATTGACAGAAGCCAGCAACAAGACTCTTATTTTAAACAAAGTGTTGAAACAAATATGCTAAGTGTTATGGTATCATAAATCAGGAGCTAACCCAGAGATGTTTGCAAGGTAAAAGTTTATGTATGGCCTGGCAAAACTTTGTGTCTCCATTACAAGAATTAAGCAGCAAAGCCTAAGGCAGAGTAGCCACTTTATAACAAGCAATCGATTACATAGTGGAATTAAGTAAAGCAAGGTTTTTGAAAGATATTAAGATGTTATAAGCAGTTTGCAGGGAAGTATGGGTAGGAATGACTCCACCTATTTATCCTATTTTTTATAGTGGAGAGATTAGAGTGTTAGCTTGCTCTCTTTGGTGACAAAGTACAAGGTAGACATTAGATGAGAAAGTTCTCATCTGTTTTCTCAGGCTCTACTGGAACCTCAGCTCCTGCTATTTCCACGGCAGGGACAACAGCAGCCCCAAGTTCAAGCGTCACCAGTTCTGCGCTTACAACAGGTACACTAATGCAGAACAAAGAATCTTTTTTTTATTATTATTATTTTTTATTTTAATTTTAAATAGCTTGTTTTACATGTCAATACCAGTTCCCTCTCCCTCCCCTCCTCCCGCCCCCCCACCATCCCCCCCCATCCTCCCACCCTATTGCCAATTCCTTCCGCATAGGGGATATCTAGAGTCTATCATTTCATTCAGGGTAGGGTCCAGGCACTTCCCTAAGAGTCCAGGCAGAGAGAGCAACCCTCTTTGTGTTATGGACACACGATGTCTGTTAGTATTCGAGGGATAAACACTGATCCACTGCTCAGGCCCCATAGGTCCTGACTCTCACATTCAGGGGGTCTGGATTGGTCCCATGCTGGCCTCCCAGCTGTGGGTCTGGGGTCCAAGAGCTCTTCCCTGTTTGGATCAGCTGTCTCTGCTGGTTTTGCCAGTCCATTCTTTGCCAATTTGCTCTTCGCTCCTCTCTCTAGAACAAAGAATCTTTGTCCCAGGCAGGGAACTGAATTCAGACATGCTACCCTGAAAATAGTTTACATGTAAACACCAGACTTGGGTGATTTTCTTTCTTGTGTCTCAACCTTTCAACAATTTATCTGTATGTATCATGTTACAATTATATACTTCTACTCCCTGGCGGTTGGGAGTGTCAAAGCACATTTTTAGCCTGGATTACTGATTTTTTAAAAAACATTTATCAGGGTCAACCAGAAGTTCTCAAGATATAATCACAGAAGCTAAATGTAAAGAGAAGCTTTTTGCTTGTGAGAAGCCTTCCCGCCAGCCTGGTTCTAGAGCCGCATCAGTCCCAAATAAACTCACAGGAGGCTATATTAATTATGAAGCTGTTGGCCTTGCTTGTTTCTTACTGGCTAGCTCTGACTTAAGTAATTGGGATGAATGTAGGAAGTGGTGAAAATTAACTGCATCTGCATCCAGATGGAGGCCTGCATGGGACCAGGCTGAGTCTTTTATAGAGGTCTCTTCATTAAGATGACCCTTAACTGTCTTCAATAATAAATATCATCTTCCTGCTAGGTTCCTGTATATTAACTCCTAGTACTGCCTGCCAGCTTAGAGACTAGTCTCTAAAACATAAGTCACTAAGAATGCCCAAGCCATATTCACTATATAAATGGTACTTCCTACCCCATACCACATACCACATAATTATATAGCTGCTCTTTGTAGTCATAAACACCACAATATTTCTATGCCATTGTTCTAATGAGATGAGAAAGTAGAGGATCCAAGTTGACAAAGACAGATTAGAATATAGAATCCCATACGTCATGTGTAAAGAACTGTGTTTTATGGTCTGAAAGATCTCACATGCAATAAAAGCCAAAAAGGACATTCTTGCCCTCGTACAGTATTGACTAAATCTGAACTAGATTCAGAGCTCTCATGAATAAGATATTGCTATGTTTTAAGCATAGATATTTTTTGTGATGGGCAGAGTTTTTTTAAGTTCACTGTGGCCCTCATTTGATCAGTAATTTGAGGACTTCAGTGTGTCTTTTCTTTTGTATCCTATTGGTCTTGTCCCTGGATTCATTGTCCACCCAGTCTCTCTAGGCACCACTGCCAAACTTAGCATCCAGTAACATGAAGGTGATTAAGGTGTGGTTCCTTAATCTTTTGGGAATTTGCAAGAAATGCAAATTAGCTCATCCACTTGGAATGAGGTGCTGTTGAGTGGAGCCCAGAGGAGAAAGTGTTAGCAAGTTCTTTAATCAGTTGATTCCAATCAAATAGAGTCAATTGCTCTGCCATTCCCTCTTTCCTGAATTCGCCTCCAATTCACTCTTATCTGTAAGATCAACCCAAAATGAATATCCTATCATGCTGTCATGCTACATAAAATCCTTCAGTTCTTCTAATAGCTTTTAAAAGAAAAGAAAACCCCCTTGTATGTCATTGAATCGTTTCCTTCATTGTAAACATGAGGCTTACTTTAATATGTTTATTAGCTAATCTGTGGGTTAATTCTGTTTATAATACACGTGATTCCCATTAACAGATTTATGGATTTAAATTTATAACAAATATTCTTGAAATAAGGTATATTTCATATCAGTATAACCAGAACTTTATAAAATAAGTAACTGGTTGATCTAACTAGCCTATCAAATTGATTGGCACATTAGAGTGATAAACATTTAGTTTGTATTCCCCAAGATCCAAATCAAATACTTGGGTGAGAATGGTTAGTCAGTTGGCTATACCATTTGGTTATGAATCAGCACACTGAAGGCTATCCCATAATTGATGCCTCAGGTGGTAGACAACATTCAGCAGTGTTTGCTATGGATGCATGATGTGGCAATAATCAAAAGAGAATACATATTTAGACACAAAGAAATTGGATATAATGATATTATTTCTAAGGAACAAAGGCTTATATTTCATTTGATTTTAGTGTTTTAGATTTTAGTTGTCTATGTCAACAACTTTTAACTTATCCATGTAGGAAGGCAAATTGGTAATTTTCTAGTATTTGTCTTTGGACACAGACTATATGAGAAGCAACAGGTGCAGTAGATAGTATGAGTGTGGCTTGTTGGTCATCCGTTAACCAATTGGGTTACCAGTGTTAAGTCACTTATCCTCCGAGATAAATGATAAGAGGGTAATATTGGTGGATTTTATAAAAGCAAATGAATTAACTGATATCTTGAACATCATGCTATTTTCATGAGGAGAAATGCCCAGTACTTCTGTACCCACATCTAGCAGTGAGAAAGACAGCACAACTGGGGGACCAAGTAGTAGAGTCACAAGCCCAGGAATCACTGACGAGTCAGAATATGCACATTATTAGTGCCCATTACATGAGTACAAAATTACCAAAACTTGGGTAAATTATTAGAAGATGCCAAGAGGTAAAACTTGAATTTGTCGTCTCACGCTTGAAAGAAGCTATCAAATGCTAAACCATTTCTATTGTATTTAGTAAGTACAAGGGAAGATGCTAGGAGGCCAACCTCAGGGTTAGGCAGGATTAATACTTCCAGATCAGCAGCAGCTACTGAGGCCACTAGCACCTCAGACCCAAAAAGCAAGGCTGGGTCTCCTTACAGGTCTGGGGTGGAGCTCAGAACAAGCTTTGCGAATACCTCAGAGTATTGTAATGACATGTTCTGCTAAACATGAACAAAAATATAGGAACTAATGACAGGAATGAAGGTAAGAACTTTGGTGAAAATGGTTTCTACACCCCTGCCTGAATGCATGAAGCACTGTTCTTCCTTCAGGAACAAGTAGCAGAGCAGATGCAGCCACCACAGGAGCTGTTGGTGAAAACACATCTGGTGCAACTTCTGGGACCACCTTGGGAGGGGCAGGGAGCAGCACCTCTCTTCCTGCAAGTACAGGAGCTCCAGATACAGGTAAGACTTCTTTGCTTTTGATAAAGCCTCAGGTGAGGGTCTGAAGATATCTCCTGATGGTGAGAGTGAAATTCATAGCAGAGCAAGTGATGCAAGAATGTGCCTTCTCATGTTTCATCTCAAGTCCATTCAAGTATCCAATGATGTCTGGAATTATATAAGTCTCCGACATCCATATTATTTGATTTTCTTTGAGAAATCAGTGTGTTGTCAAATTATTTGATATCTTTGAAAAAGAAGTTGTCATTAAAGTTTTTAGGATAGGCACTTTCATCCATAAGAAGAAAAAAAAGATAATTTGAATACTTATTCTTAAGAAAATCTCCCCTTCAGTTTGCTTATTCATTATGTTTAACCACAATAAACACCAGGCACACCACAGGCATCTTCTGGAAGTACCTCTGGATTAGCAGGGAGCAGCACCCCTCTACCTGCAGGTACAGAAGCCTCAAGTACAGGTAAGTCTCTAGCCGTGGCAGATGGCTCAGAAGCTTATGCATTCCCATGCTGCCTCAGGTCAGGGTTTGAAAATTGGACTTGTATGTGTGAGCAAAATGCATAATACCAGATGGAGTGTAAGAATGGGCCTTCTCATGCCTATTCATATTTATGAGGGAGTCTGGAATCATATGAGTCTCCAACATGCATGATTTTCTGTACTAGCGAGCACAGTGACATCCCTGGGACAAACTACCATCTCTCAAGCCACCAGTCTCTCCTCAGCCTCTGCCAGCAGTCAACCAGGTAAGAAAAAGGGAGGAAACTGAGATGTCAGGTACCAATGGAAGGGCTGAGTCTATCTCCGTTTATGTATATGGGAATTTGGGAATTACAAGGATATTACAAGTCTATGGGTCCTCAGATATGAAATGAGGGTCTGTTATATCACCTTTTATTCATAAAAGAATTCAGGAATTCCTTGTATACTTAGAGAAAGAAGCATCAGAGAGGACTGCACTAGCTGATGTTTCTCTTCTTTTATCCTGCAATTAGATTGCTAATGTGTACTTTGGGGCAATGCTGATCCTGATTCCTTCTTGGAGTTTAAGGACACTGAGTCATTAGAGTAAAAGCTTACTATCCTGAATCTAAGTTAACATCTAGTAGAGAAATTATGAATGTCTTCTTTATGCAGGTTATTAAATATGTTTTCTTATAGGGAGGACTGATTCAGAAATATATTTTAAAGACCTAGTTGGTTTGAATAAGCATCTTATACTAAATTAAAATAGATGAATATGAATGAGGTAGACAATCATATTTCAATTTAGAATCAAATAAACCCAGCAAGGATCCACCATATCATTGAAATTTACAAAGAATGAAGCAACAATAGGAAAATTATATGAATAAATGAAGAAATTGACATCAGAGAGCAATGCGGCCTACAGCTGTTTCATAATCATGACATTGAGCTTCTTGGAATGTAATGACTGACCAATCCGATGGGACACAATTCTGGGTATATCTGTGAGAATATTAACAGAGTGAGTACAGGGCAATCAATGAGTTCCCTGCTAAACTGAATATGAGAGGAAAAGGGCAGAAGCATGAGAGGACCAGAATTCATCACTCTGTGTCCTCAGTGTGACCACAGTGTGAACAGCTTCCCCATAGTCTCACAATTCTCCCTACACCACTCCCACATCTATGGTTTCCTTTGTGAGTCATTTGCTTCAAAATATGAGCAAAATAAACCCATTCTAAGTTTTCCTCTCTGTTAATATCCTCTAAGATATGCACAGAATTGTGTAACAAATAAGCAGTCCCACATCTAATTTTCAGTAGTTGATGTATATTTTGCCAAGTATTTTCTTTGGGTCTATTATTATTTTAGGCACTTCATAGTTTCTAAAAATAGGGACATGACATGACCTCATGAATCTCATGCTTTTTACTAAAATTAATAGTCTTGAGGGAAGGGAGCCTAAAAGTATGGTGGAGAGTAGTCAAGATGGACAAATGGTCGGAAGTCACTTCTAAAATTGCCAGCATTTCTCAATTTGACTAATCTCCGTAATTACTGTCTTTGAACTTTGTAAGAGTGGATATTTTTATTTCGGTAGATGAAAAGAATGACCATTTCAATTCTTAAGAAAAAACTCCCTTTCAATCTTCTTTCTCATTCTTTTAACAATGATGAAAAACGGGCACACTATTTCAATTCTGAAGTATAAACTCCTTTCAATCTTGTTTCTCATCTTTTTAACCATGATTAAAAATAGGCACTGCTGGTACATCTACTGCAACCACCTCGGGAGGGGCAGAGAGCAGCACCCTTCTTCCTGGAAGTACTGCAGCCCCAGGTTCAGGTAAGACATCTTTACTTTTGGAGATGTCTCAATAGCTCATCCATACCCAGGCTGCCTCAGGTGATGGGTCTAGAAATATCACCTGAATGTGTGAGTGAAATTCATGGCAGAGCAAGCAATGTTAGAATGTGTCTTCCCATGTTTTATCATTCAAGTCCATTCATATATTTTGGGAATTCTAGATTCATATAAGCTTCAACATCCGAATTAATTGATTTCCTTTGAGAAATTAGTATGTTGTCAAAGTAATTGATTTCCATTGAGAAAGAAGGTGTCATTAAAGTTCATAACAGTAGATACTTTTCATTTCATAAGAGGAATATAGAATTTTTAAATTCTTTGTCTTAACAAAATCTCACTTTCAATTTTCTTCATTGTCTTGTTTAACCACAATAATCAACAGGCACATCCGGTGCATCTTCTGGAACCTCTTTGGGAGGGGCAGGGAGCAGCACCCCTCAACCTGCAAGTACTGGAGCCCCAGGTTCAGGTAAGTCTCTTTAGCCTTGGCACACAGATGTCTCAACAATTCATTAATTCCCATGATGACTCAAATGAGGGTCTGACTTGTATGTGGTAGTAAAATTTGTGGCATGGGAAGTGGTTTAGTAAACCTGATGCATGTCAGATGGTACAAGAATGTGTGTTCTCATATCCATTCACATATGAAAGAATCTGGAATCATATGAAGTTTCAATATGCATGTTTTCCCATCCTAGGGAGCACAGTGACATCCTCAGGCCACACTACCATCTCTCAAGCATCCAGTCTGTCCCCAGCCTCTGCCAGCAGCAAACCAGGTAAGTAAAATGTAGCAGGCTATCTGGAGTCAGTTGTCAATGGGGGGTCAGAGTCAATCTCCATTTATTTGTATGGGATTATAGGAATGACAAGTGGCTATGATCCTCAAGTGACAAATGAGGGGCTGGTTATATCACTATTTAATCATAAGGAAATACAATTATTCCTTGTATATTTAGAGAAAACATTAGAAAGATGGCTGTATTAGTTGATGTTTCTCTTATCCTATCCTGCAATTGTTTGCTGTTGTAAACTATGGGGCAATGATGGCTCTGATTTCTTCCTTGGAGTTTAAGGATACTGAGTCATTAGGGTGAAATCTTATTATCCTGAATCCAAGATAACATCTCCTAGAATAATTCTGAATGTCTTTTTTCTCATGAATATGAAATGTATTTCCTTATAGGAGGGACCAAGTCAGAAATCTATATTAAAAATCAAGTTGTTTTGGATTAGTATCTTAGTACTAAATAAAAATAGGTGAATATGAAGGAGGTAGGCAATCATATTTTCATTCAGAAACATATAAAACCAGGAAGGATTCCCCCATAGCAACAATAGGAAAAATATATAAATAAATGAAGAAAGTCGACCTCAGAGAACAGTGTGAGCTATGGCTTCTTTACAATCATGACACTGACATTCATTAAGTGGAATGACTGGACCATCTGATGGAACATAATTCTGGACATATCTGTGAGGATATTAACAGAGTGAAAGGCCAATGTACAACCAATGAGTTTTCCTGCTAGACTGAATATTAAAGGGAAATAGCAGAAGCATTAGAGGACCAGTATTCATCATTTTACCTCATCAGTGTGGACACGGTCTGAACAGCTTCCTCATGAATCCACAGTTCCATATATACCACTCCCAATTCTATGGCTTCCCTGCCATGAAGTGTTTATCTCTGGTTGCGAGCAAAATAACCCCTGTCTAACTTTCCCTCTCTAGTAATATCCTCAAAATAATGTACAGAATTATGTTCCAATGAAAAAACAGTCCCACACCAATTTTCCTGAAGACTGTATGCATATTGCCAAGTATCGGTTTGGGGGTCTGGTATTATTTTAGCCAATGTATAGTCTCTAAAATCAGGAAGATTCAATGATATCATGCATCTTCATGCTCTTTAATAAAACTAACAGTCTTGAGATGTGGGAGCCTAAAGGTATGGTAGAGAGCAGTCACATGGGTAAAGATGCCCACAGGGTCTTAAGTTACTTTTAAAATTGCCAATATTTTCCATGAGGAATTTGACTTATCTCCAGTTATTGTCGTTGAACTTTGTAAGAGTATACCTTTTCATATGGTTAGAGAGAAAGAAAGACCATTTCAATTCTGAAGTATAAACTCCCTTTTCCTCTTGTTTCTCATCTTTTTGACCATGATTAAAAACAGGCACAGCTGGTGCATCTACTGCCACCACCTCTGGAGGGGCAGAGAGCAGCACTCTTCCTGCAAGTACTGCAGCCCCAGGTTCAGGTAAGACTCTTTAGCCTTGGCAGAAGATGTCTTATTCATTCCCATGCTGCCTCAGGTGAGGCTCTGATAATTTGAATTGTATGTGTGAATAAAATTCATGCCATAGGAAATGGATGGTGAGTAAACTTCATAACACTGGTTGTTGTGCAAGATTGTGTCTTTTCATGTCCACTCGTATATATAAGGTGTCTGGAATGTTAGAAGTCTCCACCATACATGTTTTCCCATCCTAGGGAGCACAGTGACATCCTCAGGCCACACTAGAATCTCTCATGGCTCTAGTCTGTCTCCAGGCTCTACCAGCAGCAAAACAGGTAAGTAAAATGAAGGAGGCTGTGAGGTGTCAGGTGTCAATGGGAGGGCTGAGCCCATCTCCATTTATATGGGGATCTAGGAATGATATGTATATTACATGGTTGTGAGTGCTCAGATATCAAATGAGGGAGTGGTTGTATCACCTTTTATTCATAAGGAATGCAGGAATTCCTTGTATATTTAGAGAAAAAAGCATCAGAGAGGACTGCTCTAGCTAATGTTTCTCATTTTTTATCCTGCAATTAGGTTGCTAATGTTTATTTTGGAGCAATGCTAACAGATTTCCTTTGTTGTAGCTTAAGGACACTGAGTGATTATGGTAAAAGCTTACTATCCTGAATCTAAGTTAACATCTCCTCGAAAAATTCTGAATGTCTTCTTTCTCATGCTTATTAAATATGTTTCTTTATATGGAGGACCAAGTCAAAAATTTATTTTAAAGACCTAGATGGTTTGAATAAGCATCTTAGTACCAAATTAAAATAGATAAATATGAAGGAGGTAGACAATCATATTTCCACTCAGAATCAAATAAACCCAACAAGAATTTCCCCTTATCATATGAAATTTACAAAAATTCAATCAACAGTAGAAAAATATATAAATAAATTAAGAAAGTCAACATCAGAGAGCAGTGCAGGCTATGGCTGCTTCATAATCATGACACTGAGCTATTTGAAAAGAATGACTGGACTGTCTGATGGAACAGTTATATTATGTCTATGAGGATATTAATGGAGTAAAAGGCCAAAATATAGGTATGGTACAATCAATAAGTTTCCCTGCTAGACTAAATATGAAAAGAATATGGAGAGCATGAGAGGACCAGCAATGACCACTCTGCTTTCTTGGTGTGAACACAGTGTGCACAGCTTCCTCATGAATCCGCAATTCCATCTACACTACTCCCAATTCTATAGTTTCCCTGCCATGAAGAATTTGCCTCCAATTGTGAGCAAAATAATTCCATCTAACTTTGACTCTCTATTAATATATCCAAGAAATACCCAAAATTATGGTCCAATGAATAAACAGTGCCACACCAATTTTCCAGAAGACTGTATGTATATTGCCAAGTATTTGTTTTGGATCTGGTATTATTTTAGCCACTCTGTAGTCTCTAACATTAGGGGGATGCCATGTTGTCATGCATCTTCATGCTCTTTAATAAAACTAACAGTCTTGAGGAGCCTAAAGGTATGGTGGGGAGCAGTCAGTTCTAAATTACCAACATTTCTCCATGAGGAATTTGACTTGTCTCCACAGTTATTGTCATTGAACTTTATAGGAGTGTACCCTTTCATATAGTTAGGGGAAAAGAAAGACCATTTCAATTCTGAAGTATAAACTCCCTTTCCATCCCTTTAATCATCTTTTTAACCATGATTAAAAACAGACACAGCTGGTACATCTACTGCAACCACCTCAGGAGGGGCAGAGAGCAGCACCCCTCTTCCTGCGAGTACTGCAGCCCCAGGTTCAGGTAAGGCCTCTTTGCTTTTGGAGTTGTTTCAGTATCTCATCCATGCACAGGCTGCCTCAGGTTATGGTCTAGAAACATCACCTGAATATGTCAGTGAAATTCATGGCAGAGCAAGCGATGTAAGAATGTGTCTTCCCATGTTTTATTGTTCAAGTCCATTCATATATCTGGGATTTCTGGATTCATATAAGTCTTGACATGTACATTTTGATTTCCTTTTAGATGCAAGGGTGCCAAATTAATTAGTTTCCCTTGAGAAAGAAGTTGTCATTAAATTTTATAATGGTAGATACTTTAATTTCCTAAGAGGAGAAAAATGAGTTTTAATCCTTATTCTTAAGAAAATCCCCTTTAAATTTTATTCATATCTTCTAACCATGATATCTATTAGGTACAACGGGAGCAACATCTGGAGTAGCAAGGAGCAGCATCCCTCCTCCTGCAAGTACTGGAGCCCCAGGTTCAGGTAAGAATCCTTAGCCCTGGCAGATGTCTCATCCATTCCCATGCTCACTCAGTGAGGGTCTGAAAATTTGACTTGTATGTGTGAGTAAAATTCATGGCATGGGAAGTGGCTTAGCAAACTTCGTGGCATGGGATATGGTACAAGAATGTGTCTTCTCATGTCCATTCATATATATAAGGGTGCATGGAATCATGTGAGTCTCCAATATGCATGGTTTCCTTTCTAGGGAGCACAGTGACATCATCAGGCCACACTACCATCTCTCAAGCATCCAGTCTGTCTCCAGGCTCTTCCAGCAGCAAAACAGGTAAGTAAAACGGAGGAGGCTGGGAGATGTCAGGTGTCAATGGGAGGGCTAAAGCTATCTCTATTCACTTATATGGGAATTTAGGAATGATAATTATTTTTAATGATTATGAGTGCTCAGATATCATATGAGGGGATGGTTATATCACCTTCTATTCATGAAGGAATTCAGGATTTCCTTGTATATTTAGAGAAAGAAGCATCATAGAGGACTACATTAACTGATGTTTCTCTTACCTTATTCAGTAATTAGGTTGTTAATGTGTACTATTGGGACAATGAAGGCCCTGATTCCTTCCGTGGAGTTTAAGGACACTGAGTCATGATGTTGACTTATCCTGAGTTTAAGTTAACATCTCCTAGAAAAATTGTGAATGTCTTCATAGCTGGGTTATTAAAAGTGTTTCCTTATATGGAAGACCAAGTCTGAGATACATTTTAAAGACCTAGTTGGTTTGAATGAGCATCTTAGAACTAAATTAAAATACATGAATATGAAGGAGGTACACAATCATATTTTCCTGCACAATCAAGTAAACCCAGCAAGGATTCCCCCAAATCATATGAAGTTTACAATGATTGAAGCAACAATAGGAAAAATACATAAATAAATGAAGAAACTCAACATCCAAGAGCAGTGTGGACTATGGCTACCTGATAATTATGAGGCTGAGCTTGTTTGAATGTCATGACTGGACCATCAGATGCAACACAGTTCTGGGCATATCTCTGAGGATATTCATAGAATAAAAGGCAAATATATAGGTAGGGAACAACCAATGACTTTCCCGCTAGACTGTATGTGAAAAGGCCAGAGTACAGCATGAGAGGACCAGAATTCTTTGTTCTGCTTCTGCATGATCCCACAATTCCACTCCCTCCACTCCCAATTCTATGGTTTCCCTGTTGTGAAGAATTTACTTCAAAATATGAGCAAAATAACCCCTGTCTAACTTTTCCTCTCTATTAATATCCTCCAAGATATGTCCAGATGTCTGTTGCAATTAGAAGCATTTCCACATCCAGTTTTCAGAAGATGTGTGTATATGGCCAAACATTTGCTTTGGGTCTAGTATTATTTTAGGTACTCCATAGCTTCTAAAATTGGGGGAATGCCACGGTCTCATGCATCTGATACTTTTTAATAAAATTATCAGTCTTGGGATGTGGGAGAGCCATCAGGTGGGCAAAGATGCCCACAGGGTCTTAAGTCACTTCTAAAATTGCCAATGTTTCTCCATGAGGATTTGACTTATCTCCACAGTTATTGTTGTTAAACTTTGTAAGAGTGGAAACTTTAATGTGGTTAGAGGAAGACAATGGCCATTTCAGTTCTGAAGTATAAACTCCCTTACAATCTTGTTTCTCATCTTTTTAACCATGATTAAAAATAGGCACTGCTGGTACATCTACTGCAACCACCTCGGGAGGGGCAGAGAGCAGCACCCTTCTTCCTGGAAGTACTGCAGCCCCAGGTTCAGGTGAGACCTCTTTGCTTTTGGAGATGTCTCAATAGCTCATCCATACCCAGGCTGCCTCAGGTGATGGTCTAGAAATATCACGTGAATGTGTGAGTGAAATTCATGGCAGAGCAAGCGATGAAAGAATGTGTATTTCCATGTTTTGTCATTCAATTCCATTCATATATCTGGGGTTTCTGGTTTCATATATATTTCAACATTCAGATTAATTGATTTCCTTTGAGAAATTAGTATGTTGTCAAATTAATTGATTTTCTTTAAAAAGAAGTTGCCATTAAATTGCTTTAGGGTAGATACTTTTCATAAGAGAAAAAAGAATTTTTGAATTCTTTGTCTTATTAAAATCTCACTTTTAATGTTCTTCATTGTCTTGTTTAACCACAATAATCAGCAGGCACATCCAGTGCATCTTCTGGAACCACCTTGGGAGGGGCAGGGAGCAGCACCCATCAGCCTGCAAGTACTGCAACCCCAGGTTCAGGTAAGTCTCTTTAACCTTATCAGATGTCTCAACAGCTCATCCATTCCCATGCTGCCTCAGATGAAGGTCTGAATATTTGACTTGTATGTGTGAGCAAAATTCGTGGCATGGGAAGCAGTTTAGTAAACTTCATGGCATGGGATATGGTACACGAATATGTCTTCTCATGCTCATTCATAAATGTGTAAGTTTGTGTGTGTGTGTGAGTGTGTGTGTGTGTGTGTGTGTGTGTGTGTGTGTAATCATGTGAGTCTCGAATATTTCCTTCCTAGGGAGTACAGTGACATCCTCAGGCCACACTACTATCTCTCAAACCTCCAGTCTGTCTCCAGGCTCTTCCAGCAGCAAAACAGGTAAGTAACATTGAAGAGGCTATGAGGTATCAGGTGTCAATGGGAGGGCTGAATCTACCTCCATTTACTTATATGGGAATTTAGGAATGATAAGTATTTTTCATGGTGATGAGTGCTCAGATATCAAATGAGGGTCTTGTTCTATAACCTTTTATTCATAAAGGAATGTAGGAGGCCCTTGTATGTTTAGAGAAAGAAGCATCATAGAGGACTGCACTATCTGATGTTTCTCTCATCTTATTCAGTAATTAGGTTGTTAATGTATACTTTTGGGGCAATGATGGCCCTGATTCCTTCCATGGAGTTTAAGGACACTGAGTCATGATATTGACTTATCCTGAGTTTAAGTTAACATCTCCTAGAAAATTGTGAATGTCTTTCCAGCTGGGTTACTAAAAGTGTTTACTTATATGGAAGACCAAGTCAGAGATACACTTTAAAGACCTAGTTGGTTTGAATGAGCATCTTAGAACTAAATTAAAATATGTGAATATGAAGGAATTACATGATCATATTTTCCTGCACTGTCAAGTAATCACATGAAATTTACAATGATTGAAGCAACAATAGAAAAACCACATTCATAAATGAAGAAACTCAACATCTGAGAGCAGTGTGGGCTATGGCTACTTGATAAGTATGACACTGAGTTTCTTTCAATGTCATGACTGGACCATCAGATGGAACACAGTTCTGGGCATATCTGTGAGGATATCAACATTGTGAAAGGTCAGTGTGTAGGTACTGTACAAGCAATGAGTGTCCCTGCTAGAGTGACTATGAAAGGGAAATGACAGATGCATGAGAGGACCAGAATTCATCACTGTGCTTCCTCAATATGGACCCAGTGTGAAGAGCTTCCTCTTAGTCCTACAATTTCTTTTATACTACTCACATCTATGGTTTACCTGATGTAAGTAATTTACCACAATTGTGAGCCAAATAACCCCTGTCTAGCTTCCCCCCTCTGTAAATATCCTCCATGATACAGCAAGAATTGTCTTCCACACAATAAACAATCCCACACCCAGTGTCAGACGATGGGATGTATAATGCCAAGTATTTGTTTTGGGTATAGTATTAATTTAGGCACTCTATAGTTATTAAGAAGAGAGGGCATGCCATCATCTCATGCATCTCCTGCTTTTTACTAAAACTAACAGTCTTGGGATGTGGGAGCCTAAAAGTAAAGTGGAGAGCAGGCAGGTGGGCAAAGATCCCCACAGAGTCTTTAGTCACTTCTAAAATTGCCAATGTTTCTCCATGAGGAATTGACTTATCTCCACAGTTATTGTTGTTAAACTTTGTAAGAGTGGAAACTTTCATGTGGTTAGAGGAAAAGAAAGACCATTTCAATTCTGAAGTGTAAACTTCCTTTCAATCTTGTTTCTCATCTTTTTAACAATGATTAAAAACAGACACAGTGGGTGAATCTACTGCAACCACCACAGAAGGGGCTGGAACAAGCACCACTCTTCCTGCAAGCACTGAAGCCCCAGGTTCAGGTGAGACCTCTTTGCTTTTGGAGATGTCTCAATAGCTCATCCATACCCAGGCTGCCTCGGGTGATGTTCTAGAAATATCATGTGAATGTGTGAGTGAAATTCATGGCAGAGCAAGCGATGAAAGAATGTGTCTTCCCATGTTTGTCATTCAAATCCCTTCATATATCTGGGGTTTCGGGATTCATGTACATTTCAACATCCAAATTAATTGATTTCCCTCGAGAAATTAGTATGTTGTCAAATTAATTGATACCTTTAGAAAGAAGTTGTCATTAAATTTCTTTAGGGTAGATACTTTTCATAAGAGAAAAAAAAGAATTTTTGAATTCTTTGTCTTATTAAAATCTCACTTTTAATGTTCTTCATTGTCTTGTTAACTACAATAATCAGCAGGCACATCCAGTGCATCTTCTGGAACCACCTTGGGAGGGGCAGGGAGCAGCACCCATCAACCTGCAAGCACTGGAGCCCCAGGTTCAGGTAAGTCTCTTTAACCTTATCAGATGTCTCAACAGCTCATCCATTCCCATGCTGCCTCAGATGAGGGTCTGAATATTTGACTTGTATGTGTGAGCAAAATTCGTGGCATGGGAAGCAGTTTAGTAAACTTCATGGCATAGCAGATTGTATAAGATTTGTCTTCTCATGTCCATTTATATATATACAATATTGCCTGGAATTATATGTCGTCAATATGCATGGTTTCCTTCCTAGGGAGCACAGTTACATCCTAAGACCACACTACACTCTTTCCAACCTCCAGTTTATCCCCAGTCTCTACCAACAGCAAACTAGTTAAATAAAATGGAGGATGCTGTGGGGTGTCAGTTGTCAATGGGAGGGCTGAGTCTATCTCCATTCTTTTATATGTATTTGTAGGAATGACAAGTATGTTACATGGCTATAATCCTCAAGTGACAAATGAGAGGCTGCTTATATCACCATTTAATCATAAGAGAATATAGATATTACTTGTATATTTAGAGAAAACAAGCTAGCATTGGAAACATGGCTGCATATTAGTTGATGTTTCTCTTATCTTATCCTGCAATTAGTTTGCTGTTGTGTATTTTGGGGCAATGATGGGCCCTGATTCCTTCCTTGGAGCTTAAGGACTCTAACTTATGAGGGCTTAGGCTCACTATCTGGACTCTAAAGTAGCATTAAGTATGAAAATTCAGAGTTATGTCCTTGTTGAGGTTATTACCTCTGTTTTCTTATATGAAGAACCCAGGCAGAAATATATTTTAAAGACTCAGCTAGTTTCAGTAAGCATCTGAATACTGGATTCAATAAGATGAATATAAAGGAGGTGGACAATCATATCTCCATGCACAATCAAGTAAGCCCATCCAGGGGTCCTCCATATAATATGAAATTTACAAGGATTGAAGCAGCAATAAGAACTCTATGTAAATGAAGACACTAGACATCTTAGAATAGCGTGGTTTGCTGCTGCTTCATAGCTATGATATTGTGTTTCTTTAAAGCAACAACTGGGTCATCAGCTGGAACAACTAGATCCCCAGGCAGTGAGCCCACCTCTCCTGAAGTCAATGCAGGTGAGTTGAGGCTGTATCCTGGAGAGGCTGAATCTGTTTCCAATGTGGAGCATGGTTTGTCTATACTTTCTTCAGTTTGAAGAACTGCAGTTGAGACAGATGTCCTAATAAAAGTATAGGGAGACCTCATTGTTGACCCAACTGAAGATGAAGAGAGATGTTTTTAAAAAATGAAATGGAAATACGTGTCTTGAGAGATGCATCTAAGTAAAACTCTCCTGTGTGCTCTGATAAGGATGCTGAGCGATAATACACAACTCCAGTGTCTTACTATGAGACAAGTCAGTATTACTCCTTAATCCATATCCAACAGTCAATGAGTGCTCAGAAGGAAAGTCTGAGCAATGACCAATTTTGTGATGGCTTGATGAAGAGAGGAAAACAGAGGAGAATGTAGGAACATAAGGAAGATAGTTGAAAGATTAGCATCCAGTTTTCAGAAGATGGGATGTATATTGCCAAGTATTTGTTTTGGGTCTAGTATTAGTTGAGCCCTTCCATAGTTACTGAAAAGAAGGGACATGCCATCACCTCATGCATCTCATGCTTTTTTACTAAAACTAACAGTCTTGAGATGTGGGAGCCCAAAATTATAGTGGAAAGCAGTCAGGTGGGTAAAGATGCCCGTAGGGTCTCAATCACTTCTAAAATAGCCAACATTTATCTATGAAGAATTTGGGTTACTTCCATAATTTTTGTCTTTGAACTTTAAGAGAGTGGACATTTTCATGTGGTTAAAGGACAAGAAAGACTGATCCTGAAGTATAAACTCCCTTTCAATCTTGTTTCTCATCTTTTTTAACCGTGTTGAAAAACAGGCACAGCTGGTACATCTACTGCAACTACCTCGGGAGGGGCAGTGAGCAGCACCACTCTTCGTGCAAGCACTGCAGCCCCAGGTTCAGGTAAGACCTCTTTACTTTTGGAGATGTCTCAATAGCTCATCCATACCCATGCTGCCTCAGGTGATGGTCTAGAAACATCACCTGAATGTGTGAGTGAAAATTCATGGCAGAGCAATCAATGCAGGGATGTATTTTCCCACGTTTCATCATTCAAGTCCATTCATATATCTGGGTTTTCTGGATTCATATAAGTGTCTACATCCAAATTAATTAATTTCCTTTGAGAAATCAGTTTGTTGCCAAATTAACCGCTTTCCCTTAAGAAAAGAAATTGTCTTTAAAGTTCATGAAGGTAGATACTTTCATTACTTAAGAGGAAGAAAAGACTTTTAATTCTTATTCTTAGAAAAACCTCCTTTTCAATTTCCTTTCTCATCTTTTTTTAACCATAACAACTATTAGGCACAACAGGATCATCATCTGCAACAACATCTGTAGTCGCAGGGAGCAGTACCTCTCTACCTGCAAGTACAGGGAGCCCAGGTTCAGGTAAGACTCTTTAGCCTTTGCAGACATCTCAGCAGCACAACCATTCCCATTATGCCTCAGTGAGTATCTGGAAATTTGGCCTGTGAATGTGAATGCAATTCATGGCATGGGATGTGGTGAAAGAGTGTGTATTTACATATTTTATCATGCAAGTATGTTTGTATAACTAAGGATGTTTGGAATCATATGAGTCTCCAACATCCATGATTTCCTGTCCTAGGGAGCACAGTGACATCCACGGGCCACACTGCCTCCCCTCAAGCCTCCAGTCTGTCCCCAGCCTCTACCAGCAGTAAACCAGGTAAGTAAATTGGAGGAGGCTGTGAGGTGTCAGGTGTCAAATGGAGGGCTGAGTCTGTCTCCATTTCCTTACATGGGAATGTTGGAATAACAACTATATTTGAATGCTCTGAGTCCTCAAATATGATTTGGGGGACTGTTTCAATTCAGTATAATATACTTGGGAATGACAAGTATATTATAAGGCTATAAGTCCTCAGCTGATAAATGAGGGGCTGCTTATATCACCATTCATTCATAAGGGAATGCAGGGATTACTTGAACATTTAGAGAAAGAAGGCTAGCATCCGAAAGAAAATTGCATTATTTGATCTTTCTCTTTTCTAATACCTTGATTAGGTTGTGAAAGTGTACACTGGGGCAATTATGGGCATGATTCCTTCCTTGGAGCTAAAGGACACTGAGTCATGAGGGATAAGGCTTACCATCATGTATCTGAGTTAGCACCAAGTAGAAAAATTCTGAATTTCTTCTTTCTCTCAGTTATTAAATGTGTTTCCATACATGAAAGACTCAGTCAGAAATGTATTTTTAAGACCCAGTTGGTTTCTAAGTATCAGAGCACAGTAGTAACTTGTGTAAGAGCATAGCAGAGCCATGAGTGTAAGGGAAGCAGAGCCATGAATGTGAGCACAGCAGGACCATGAGTGTGAGCATGGCAGGACCATGAGTGTGAGCACAGCAGACCATGAGTGTGAGCACAGGAGGACCATAAGTGTGAGCACAGCAGGACCATTAATGTGAGCACAGCAGACCATGAGTGTGAGCACAGCAGGAACATGAGTGTGAGCACAGCAGACCATGAGTGTGAGCACAGCAGGAACATGAGTGGGAAGAGAACAGAAGCATTAGGCCAGGGAACCTCTCACTCTGATGTCCCAACAAGCACAGCAGAGCTCCTAATTTAGGCTTGAGGTGGGACCTAGATCAGCTGTCTCCAAGACTCAGATTGGGAAAGTGAGGGTAAGGAGAGGTGAACAAGGATGTCTTGAAGGAAGCAATGGCAAGAAGGAATGAGGGAATGATGCAGGGATTTCTTCCCTTACTGTTTAACCCTCAGGCACAAGTGGAGGAACAGGTGCAGTAGTGACTGGAGCCACTGTAGGAAGCACATCTGGAAGAGCAGGTGCTGAGGGACAGGGGAAGGTGACAGACAGGCAAGGAGGACAACTGAGAGCTTAGTGTACAGATCCCATCAATGACAAAAGTTTTCCAGGAGATTTGTCACCCCCTCAAGTATAATCCCAGCCTTCATTCGTTCATATAGTTTATTGTAGTATTTTTAATTCTCGCCATTGTTTTACTGTTTCATATTATATTTTCTGATTCTACTCCCTTAATTATTAAAAACACCCATGCAGATATTTAGACAGCTAATTATTTTTATTCTGCAACTTAACAGAGACAAATCTAGAATCCTCAGGCGTCACCACAACAACAGACAAAGGGAAAGAAAATACCACTGGCTCAGGATTCAGAGGAGGTAAGTCTCTGAATGACATAGTAAGTCAACTGGAAAAATGAAAAAAATAGTTTAATTAAATAATGATGTATTTACAATAACACTTCATAGATTCCCTGTTAACCTCACCCACATACCTTGGAAGTTAATCAACATTAATAGCTAGGTTATGACATTGCTTTAAGTAGACCCATTAGTAAATGTGTAAGATTCAAGAATCATTAGAATTCACATTATGGAGTTTCTCCCATTCTGTGTCTGTGGGTAAACTCTCACAGCCTCCCATCCCCAAGTAATAAAAGACAAAAAGAGCGTGCTTGTCCTTGGGAATATAGGATATGAAGTTGTGACTTAAGTATACTTTGCAAAAAAATTCATTAATAAAATAATTTGTTGAAAAATAGAATGTATATAGATGGCCTTAGGGTTACTATAGTTGTGAAGAAACACCATGACCAAGGCAACTTATAAAAGGAAACATTTAATTGTGGGCTTGCTTACAGTGTTAGAGGGTTAGTCACAGATCATCATAGCATTAAAAGTGGAAGGAGGTATGCAGCCATGGTGCTGTAATATAATCGAAGGCTAACATCCTAGTCTGTAGGCAGAACGTAGACAAAGAACTAAATTGTGGATGGCATGGCCTTTAGATACCTCACAGCCCAACCAGAGTCACACAGTGGCCCCAACATACCTTCTAAACCTTCCAAAACAGTTCTAAAAACTGTGGACCATTCTTGTTCCAATTATCAAACACAGAAACAATGTTTAAGAGATTAAGTAATCCAGTGTCCTCTAACTGATTGGAATTTTAAAGTGATATCCATGAACCCATATTCCTAAAGTCTGAATCAGGTTAGTGGCACCTTTGTTTATCAGGCACTAACAGTGGATGAGGAGGTAATGTGTAATTTGGTTCTAGGCTGAGAACAATCACTAGGTGTTTCTAACAGGAGTGATGTACTAAGGCCCAAACCTAGCTCATTCTTTTGGGAAAATATCCAACTGACACAGTGGGGGGTAGTGTTTCTCTATTGAAAAAGGCTTGGATTCTTATCAATTTTCTTTAATTCTTTTCTAATCTATATACATTGGCCAGACTTTTAAAACATAAATATAACACAGTTTGATTCTGTTATTGATCATTGACTCATGTGTTTAAGGAGTATAGGTGAATCTAGATACTTGAGTTAGATTTGTGACTGTGTTCTTAACCAATTCAGTAACCTGGCATGTGTCCTTGAATCACATCCAAACATATCTGAGGAACAATAAGTGCAGTTAGAGGAGATCTAAGCAATATAAATATTTTATTTGTTCTAGAGCATTTTCAATTGCTATTTACTCTTTAGTAGGTGAAGGTGGTCACACTGTTCAAATGCCTATTCAAGGCAACGCCAGCACACCCAGGCAACAAGGCTCTGCAGCCACCACTCTTGGAAGTTTAGGTAATTCTAAACATTCACTGGAGTGACTTAAATATGTCCAATCAGGAAAACATGAGTGCTGTGATGAACATGGTGGAAAGGGAGCCATGAAAGTTTGATTGCATTTCCCAGAATCCCTTTAAAAGCAGCAACACATTAGAATCACTGCTCTTGTTTGCCAGCTTCTACAGGGGCATCTGTGGGAACCACGTCAGGATCAGGCAAAGGAAGCTCACCTGGAACACCAGGCACTACAGCCACCACCTCTGTTACACTATCAGGTCAGACAGCATTTTTAGGGGCTGGGGTCAGCTCTTGGGTTTCCAAGGAGACCCACAAAGATGAAAGCATAAATTTGAATGGCCTAGGATATCTTGAAGGGCTTTATCCATAGACATCTCTAGCTGTTAAATCCCATTCTTGTTTCTATAGGAACAAGAGGAGAAACTAATGCAGCCACCACTGGAGTTGCTGAGGCGAGCACACCCAGAGGAACAGGTACTGAGGGGGTCAGCAGGGGGAAACTGAGGCAGGAGATTTGTGAACTTAGTGCTCATCATTTCGTCAGTGTATGGCTTCCTGGGGATTGTCTCTAGGTTTGCCATTTGCTGCCAATTGCTGTAGATATAAGAAAGAAACTGAAAACATTTGGGGTATTTATAATACTGTATGTGATAATGAATGGAATATAGAGAAACTCTTCTCTCCAGAAATGACAGATTATTTTAATAGAAGATACAAACAGAAAGGAAGAAGGAAAGAGGGAGGAATGGAGTTATGGGGATGAGGAAAGACAAGATTGGTACATTCTGACTATTAAATCATCTACCCCAATGCTTGTTTTCAATGGAAGAATATTCTAATGGATGGCACGAGCAATTAGAATCAAGGAATTTAACGAAATCAAGGGTATCATTCCATAGTGATGTTTGAAGGCAGGTTATTCCTTTATGTTTTTGTAATGAAGAAGGCATCTTAGCACTTTAAGAAAATATTTTATTATCTCTGGCTGACCTTTTCCCCATTGATCATTATCAGGTTCAACCAGGGCATCATCTGCATCAACCTCTGGAGCAGCAGGTGTCAGCACTCCTGGAGAAGCAGGCACTGTAGCCACAAGTTCTGGTGAGATTTGGTTCTCTGGGGTGATGGTTTAGCCAGGATTATCAGCGCCCTGCAAATAGTGTACTCACTTGTTCAAACTGACTCAATCTGGGTTGGAATGAAGGACTTAGGAGAGCCAGAGGGCAGTGCTGTTTTGGGTGACTGGAATTTTCATAAATATTTATAGCAGTGGTAGGAGGACCATGAAGATCATTAAGACTGCCAACCTGTTCTAGGTTCTAGGAACCATAAGTGTGCTCTAGGCCCCAGTAATCCAATCCAGGGCCCAGCATCTAGATCAAGCACAAGTTCTCTTAGCACAGTCTGGGAAAATTGTAGAGAGAGAGATGTCTGACCAAAGCATGTGAACAGAGTTCATTTACTGTGTGTAGAAGCTGATGTAGAATGACAAGGAATGGTTAGGGATCAGAGTTAGTTACAGTACTCCACAACATTACTGGTAAGAGTTTGGGGATGTTCGATGTGGTCATGATCTGCCTTGAGTTTGCACACGGTCATGGTGATATGAGGCCTCCTTACAACTTCTGATGCTATGGAATATGAGATGAAGACATGTGCAGTGCTACTTGGATATAAGAATCCAGTAGAGATATTTTTGGATTATTAATGTCAGAGCCTTGAACAATTTATTTAAATTAGAACGCTAACCAAAGCATTTTTAAGGATTTTTATTAATTCTTTAAGTAGTGTGTGTGCAGGTGGAGGGTTGAATGAGACTGTTGGTGCATTGCCCACAAAGGCGGATATGTGGATTCTCTTTTAACTAGAGTTAGAGGTGGTTGTTTGACACCCTAATGGGTCCTGGGTACCAAACTCAGGACCTCTTCAAGGGCAGGATTTGCTCAAAGCCACCTTAATGTATCTTGAGTCCCAATAAGTGTATATGTTTATTTATAAAATATTTTTAACTTACTGAATGTTTCATACAATGTGTTTTGATCATGCTTGCATCCTTCATTCCACATCCACTACCCCCTCACTACTCACCTAACATTGTGTAGTCTTGGTGCAGTCTGTGTCTTTTGCTGGTACATGATGTGCTGAGATACAAAACAGAGTGTATGCTCTTTGAGAAAAAACATGTACACACGAGGCCCTGGTATCTTTCTGTTGTCCATAGAGTTGTGTTGTCGCATAACAGTGTTCCCTTCTCTCATTACATTTAAACATTTTAAAGGATCAGTCTATGAGAAAGTGGGAAAATTAGATTGGTCTCTGGCACATATATTTTTATTCAGCTGGCACTAGATGCTTGAGTTTGGTTCTTGGATGTGTAGTATATAATAAAAGTGGCATACAGTAGGTCACTGAATTTTATCCAATCAACATGAACAATTTGATTGATGCAGAATACCTTTGCCAATAAACTATGTATATTTTTCAACGTGTTTAATGTTTTTATTTCCTCATCAATTGATGTAGGAGTTACCACTGGGCAAGTATCCACAGATGGGAAAGGCAGCACACCCAGGCAAGAAACTGGAGCCACCAGCCCAGGAACCTCAGGTAATTCCATACATGGAATGGAGTATCAAAAGAACTAGAAGTCATAGTAAAGTGATAAAAATATAGATCATTGAAAATGTGGTGGCATTTCCTAAGTGACCTTCAGATGACATCTCACAGTTAAATATACTTCTCTTGTTTGCCAGGTTCAACAAAGGGATCTGTGGAAACCTCCACAGTAGCAGGCGGGGGAAGCTCACCAGGAACACCAGGCACGGGGACCTCCAGCTCTGTTACACCATCAGGTCAGACAAGGCCTCTTTAGGGGATGTGGAGGACATAGCACATGGATTGGCCATAAATAGAGAGGACCAAAACCACTGTAGAATCTAAGCACATGTATTGTGGTGATAACTTGCTTGTACAGTAAAACCTGTCTGAAGGTCAAGGAATGGAGCCTGTCACTACCTAACTACAGAGGATTAGAGGTATTTATAGACAGAAAGGAAAAGAGGTAGCTGTGTATAAACAGGGTATGACCAGGGAGAAATGAGAACTCTCTTTCTTGTCTGCTGAGACCCAAAGGATGTAAGGTGTGGCAATGAATTCCTCACTCTTTGGTCCCTCTATATTTTCCTCTATATTTGATTGTGGGTTTTTATTTCTTAGACCAGTTAAGAATTCCATTTACATTGTATGGAATGATAAAAATGATAACCTGGGTTTAAGTAATAGTGCAGCTTTATCTGTGCATTAACTTGCATTCTCCTTCCCACAGGAACAGATGCAGCCACCACTGCAGCTCCTGGAACGAGCACATCTGGAGGAACAGGTACTGTAAGAGCTCAGCAGAGAGATGTCCTGCAGTAGACCTGTCATCTTAAGTAGTGCTTGAGATTTCATCACAGACAGTTCCCAGGGAAATAGTTCATGTGGTGTCAAGTATCCAAGGGATCAGCAATGTACCCTAAGTCATTGTTGATCATCTTAAAAGCAGGTCAGATTTCAGTTCAGAAAAATAAGGAACATAAAAGTATGCACTCTTACTCAACTACAACCTGGATGGAGAAAAAATAAACTATATGCAAAGATACTAGAACAGTAATAATTAATGCAGAAATAGAGTAGTTTATGTTACCAAGGTTAATGTGCGGCCTGTTTTAGAAAGAAAAATCACACCCTTTGATAGTTGAAACCTGAATTGTGTGTGTAGAAGGATTTTATTTCTGGCACATACATTGTTAATTTAGCAGAATACCAGGGATACCTGGTATGCTTCATTTATCTTAAAAAGTAGCTCTCCATGCTAGTGACTGTGGGAGTAATGATTGGTATGTTTCCATGTAGCTGATGTGACATCTATAGCCATTGCAGGTGTGAGAGCAACCTTATTTCAAGTTCCATCTACAAGTTGAATTCCCTGTGTGGTTTCTCAAACTAATGTTTTTCCATGATAGGCACACCCCAAGCATCTTCTGCAACAACCTCTGAAGCAGCTGTCAGCAGCAGCCCTGGGACAGGAAGCACTGGAGTCACAGGATCTGGTAAGTCCACAGAGATGCCTGGTCACGCAGAGACTCCATTACATGAAATGTTCTAGTAAGGAATGTGTTATTAAATGAGGTCCTAACTGGAACAGAATGAAGATAAAAGAAACTATTGTGGATATCCCTCTTCCCATAAACTCCCAACTATTCAGGGTTAACAGTGACGACAACACACACTTTGGACACTATCCATTTTTTGTTTGTTTCTATTTAGATTCTGCCAGGACCACCACTGCTGGTTCAGTGGCCACCACCAAACCATCCACCTCTGCCAGCACAGAACCAGGTAAGCAAATTGGAGAGTTCACTGTGTCTTCAGGTGTCAGATTCTTCTGATCATTATTCTCATTCCTTGGTACTTTACCATGCTGTAGAATAAGCAGTTAATATAAGAGACTGGGGTGAAGAAGTTCAACTGCTGATTAACAGTTGGTCTGTAACTGGGAGGGATGGAGTAGGTGTTCTCTAATCAGAGAAAAATGTGAAGACTCCTGGGACTGCCTGATTTCTTGTTTCAGGCAAATGATCCTCAGAAAGTGTAGTTTTCCTAATACAGGGTCAGACCTCGATGGTTCCTCCCTCAGTGTGGTTGATTTGTCATATCTTTAGTGGCTTTCATGTGTATCAGATGGTTATTGGGAGACTTGTTTAAGTTCTCATGGGCATTTTAAAAGTAAATAATTAGTTATGTACAAAACCATCGAGAAATGGAATATTAGCAGGTGAAATCAGAGCAGGTACTACTGACTACAGAAATGATACAGCCCTGTATTTAGGAAAAAGCAGAATTGTATGAAATCCCCCTTTCCACAGATGCTTGCACAGACCTGCTTCATCTCAGTAAAGTCTACTGCACACAGTAAAGATTCAGCATAAAGGACATAGTGTCAGAGTAACCCATATAACCTATGAAAATTCCAGAAAACCAAAGGTGTGGCGCACACCTTTAATCCCAGTGCATAACATATAAACAACAAAGGAATTGTGGGGTCTGTGTTAATAGTATTATATGCATGAACATGATCGCTCAATATTCAATGCTGAGAAATCAGAATGATTGCTGTTTCTTAAGGAACAACATTAATAGAATAAATGAATGGTAAGAATAGTATATTTTACCAAGTTCTGGAGTCTTACACTCGAGTTATGTTTGTGTGTAAACATGTCATTTTTAAGGAAAAAGGCAAACAGGCTTAGTAGTCCTTTCAGGATAATTTCTAACTTCAAAGAATCTCGGTCTCACATTTTCCACTGGTCAACAATAGGTACACCTGGAGCATCATCTGGATCCAGCCCTGGCTCAGCAGGTGTCAGTCCTCCTGGAGAAGCAAGCCCTGGAACCACAGCTTCAGGTGGGACACAATAGCCTGGGGTGATGGTTCAGCAGCTTCTCCCTGCTCCCTGCTGCACCTTCTCCTCCTTCTTTAACTGAATGACACTGCAGTGCTGAGAAGTGCTGGGGGAATCATAAACTTTCATTTTCATTTCCTAAATTTCTAAAATTTCCCCTTAAAAAAAGAAAAAGAAACAGGCTTCAATACCAATTTATTCTTGATTCTAGGAACCATAAACACTGCTAGACGCTCGACCACTGTGAGTCCTGAAACATCAACTAGACCAGTCACAACCTCTGCTAAGAGCAGTGCAGGTAAAGGAGAGAAAGAGCGATGTCTGACTTTCGTATGCATGGTGCCCATTTGCTATATGTGGTTATTCATTAACAATAGAAAGGAGTAGTAGGAAAATGATGCTATAATGGATACTGCATGGAAAGCTGAAATGACAGGGGTCGGTTAGGTCACATTGCTGTAGTTAGCCTGAGTATGCATATGGCTAGAGTGTTTTGAGAAATCCTTACAGTTTGCAAGGCTTTGGCTATTGAAATGTAAATATAACTTTTATAGAGGAATGGGGTAGGGGGGCATAAATAGAAGCCTCACTAGTGATAGTTTTAGACTATCTGTGTTAGAAAAAGTTTGAAGGGGGTCAATTAATTCCATTGTGCAATCTCACTTCAGAAGCACTGATCTCAGCATAGGAACATTACTACATAGATAAATTGTAAGCTAACATGCGGTCCTTATATAATGGAGCACACACAATTATCCTGAGATGTGAAATCAAAGAGCAGATTTGGCATGGTGTGGTTTACCAGAGGTCCTAATATCCATTTCCTGTTTACTCTGAAAGGGACCACTGCACCATCAGCTGGTGAAACAACTACAGCCTCTAACAGTCAATCAACCCAGCCTGGAGAACAACCAGGTGAGCAGGTGGTGTGCAGAAGAGTGGAGTCATCACCCTGTCCTCACTTAAAGCCCAGTAGATGCATCAGATATATAGACATCTGGTTGACCCAATCATGGATCCTTAACTGCGTTGGTGTAAAAACCGTGCTGAGAGAGAAAACTAACATATTTGAAATTATCATAGTAGAATAATAGCTTAGGAAACTCCAGAAAGATATTTATTACATTCATCTAGTATATTATTCTGTAAGAGTAATAAGATGAAAATTAGGGCCCAACCACTGGTAATCTGTTCATTCAAACTTTACTGAGAACTTCTTTTGGTGATTTCTCAGGCTCTGCTGGATCACCAACTTCTCTCACGTCCTCAGTGGGAACTGCAGGCACCACAGCACCCCTGCACTCCAGTCTCACCAGTTCTGGGACCACAAAAGGTAAACTAGTTGTGAATGTGAATCCTTACTAATCCTATTATAGGTAAACGCTGAATAGATATTTTTTCCTGATATGCAATGCCAGGCTTAGTTATTCCTTATATTAATTGAATGATAGTATCTTTGCTCTATAAAATATACATTAATGTATCATGTTCCTTGAATGTTGGAAATGCTCATGTAGATTATGTAGCTATTAGTTATTTTCATCTTATCAGAGACAACTCTAGAATTTTCAGATGTAGTGAGAGCAACAGCCAATAAGAAAGAATACCAAGAACTCAGCAGGTATGCAGTCATGGTGCTGCAGCAGTAGCTGAGGACTTACCACCTGCTCCATAGGCAGAAGGTAGAGAAATAATCAAATTGAGCCTGTCATGGGCTTTAGATATTTCATAGCTCCATCCCAGTCACACATCTCCTCAACAGATCATACTTCTCCATCAAGTTAAATATCTTCCAACAAAGCCATATCTCCTAATCCTTCCAAAAGAGTTCAATAAATAGGGAACAAGTGTTCAAATACATGAGCATGTGAAGATCATTCTCATTTAAATTGTCACACACAGGAATACACTTCAAGGGAATTAGTAATCCAGCATCTTTAAGAGATTGTAACTTTAAAGTGTTAGCACAGAAAAATTTTCTTAATTCTGAGTCAGAGATACTGGGGCCTCAAGAAGAAATGAGTCCATTGTGCCCTTTGGTTATCAGGCAATTTCAGTGGAGATAAGTGGGAGAGGCAAAGTTAGGTCCTCGGGTGATAGGGATCCCACACTGCTTCTTACAGGAGTAATGTACTGAGGTGTAAAACAGACAACCCACTCCAGGGAAAACATCAGATGACATGGTGGAGTGTGGCTTTTCTGTTGAAAAAAAGACTCTGTTTGGACTTGAGTCTTCCTTAAATTTTTTTCACTTCCCTTTACCTTGACCACAATAGCAAAGCATAAATCTATAACAGCTTGAGACTTTGTCCATGTGTTTAAGAAGGCAAGCCAGAGATACATGCTTATGTTTGACATTTGAATATGGCCTTAGCCAGCACAGTGAACTGGTGTATGTACGGGAATCACTTCAAATCAACAGGACCAAGAATGCCAGATAGGGAGGATCTAAACAACAGGAATTGTTTCATTTGTGACTAGGGCATCGTCAATCACAATTATCTCATTATTAGGCCAAGGAAGTTCCACTGTGTCAACGTCTACTCAAGGAGAAGGCAGCACACCCAGGGAACAAGGCACTGCAAGCCCAGGATCCTCAGGTATTTCAAACGTGCACCTCAGTGCCTTCAATGTGTCCACCCAGGAAAACATGACTATTGTGGTGAACATGGTGGAAAGGCAGGGCATTGAAGGTTTGATTGCCTTTTCCAGAATCCCTTTAAAGGCAGCAATACATGAGAATCACTGCTCTTGTTTGCCAGGTTCAACAGGGACATCTGTAGGAACCACCTCAGGAACAGGAAAAGAAAGCTCACCTGCAAGGCCAGGCACAGCCACCTCCAGCCCTGTTACACCATCAGGTCAGATAAGACCTCTTTAGGGGATGTGGAGGGCAAAGCACATTGTTTGGTGGTAGGACAGACCCAGGACCAAATCCACCGTAGAATCTAAACCCAAGTATGGAATGATAACCTGTGTTTAAATAATAGCATAGCTTTATCTGCATGTTAACCTCCATTCTCCTTCCCATAGGAACAAGAGCAGGAACAGATGCAGCCACCACTGCAGCTCCTGGTGCAGCAACAGGTACTGTGGGAGCTCAGCAGAGGGACGTCTAGCAGTAGACCTGTCATCTTAAGTAGTGCTTGGGATTTCATCAGAGACAGTTCCCTGGGAAATATGACCATTGTTCATGTGGTGTCAAGTGTCCAAGAGATAAGCAATGTACCCAAAATTGTTGTTGTTCATCTTAAAAGCAGTTCAATTTCAGTTCAGCAAAGGAAGTAATGTATAAGTGTGCACTCTCACTCAACCACAACCTGGAAAGAGAAAACATAAACTATATATAGAGACACAAGAACAGGAATAATTCTTCATAAATGAGGTGGTGTATGATGCCAAGATTTTCATGCAAGGACTGTTCTAGAAAGATAAATCACAGGCATGTAGAGTTTAAACTTGAATTGTGTATGTAGAAGTATTTATTACTGACACATACATTGCTAATTATTAGAGTACCATGAATAGCTGGTTAACTTCATTTATGTTGAAAATTGGCTCTTTGTATCTGATGCAACATTTATAGTAATTGCAGATGTGAGAGCAAACTTATTTCAAGTTCCATCTACAAGTTGAATTCCCTGTGTGGTTTCTCAAGCTAACATTTTTCCATGGTAGGCACACCCCAAGCATCCTCTGCAACAACCTCTGAAGCATCTGTCAGCAGCAGCCCTGGGGCAGGAAGCACTGGAGCCCCAGGTTCCGGTAAGTCCTCAGAGATGCCTGGTGACTAAGAAACCCCTACACATGAAATGTTATAATAAGGGCTCAGTTATTAAATGAGGGCCTAACTGGGACAGAATGAGGATTAAAGAAACTAATGTGGATATGCCTTTTCCCATAAACTCCCAACTATTCAGGGTAAACTGTGATGACAACACACACTTTGAACACCACCCATTTTTTGTTTGTTCCTATTTAGAGTCTGCCAAGACCACCACTGCTGGTTCAGTGGCCACCACCAAACCATCCACATCTGCCAGCACAGAACCAGGTAAGCAAATGGGATAATCGACTGAGTCCCATTCCTTAGGACTCCACCATGCTGAAGAAAAAAATGTGATATAGCAGACTGGGGTGAAGAAGCTCAATTGCTGATCTATATGTGGTCTGTAACTGGGGGAGGGATGAGTTAGGTGTTCTCTAATCAGAGAAAAATGCAAAGAATCCTGGGCCTGCCTGATTCCATCTTTCAAGTAAATGATAATCAGAAGAGCACTTTTCCTAATACAGGATCAGACCTAGATGGTTCCTCCCTCAGTGTGGTTGATTTGTCATATCTCTAGTCTTTTAAAAGTGGCTTTCATGTGTATTGTGTTGCTATTGGAATGTCTAACTGCTTACCTGTTTGTTAAATTTCTCATGTGCCTATTTAAAGATAGGTAATTTTTTATGTGCCACATCATAGAGAAATGAAATATTAGCAGGTGTAATCAGAGCAGGTACCAGTGAAGTTAGAAGTGATATAGCCTTGTACTCAAGAAAAAGCAGGAATTGTGAAATGCCCCTTTCCGTAGATGCTTGCACAGACTGCTTCTTGCTTCACTTCAACAAGTCTACTTCACACAGGAAAGAGTCAGCTCAAAGGGGCTAACTGTCAGAGGAAAATTCAAGAAGAACAACCAGGGCCACATCAAAACATCTTAAAAATGTGGTCATCTGGGACCATGTCATTCCAAAATTGTGCTTGACATATATATATATATATATATATATATATATATATTATGACTTTTTAAATTTTTCCATTATTTAATCTCATTTTTTAAATTTGTGTTACAAAGTCTCTGGTGTTCAGAGCACCCGTCTCCTGCAGATGGAAATCTTTATGAACTATTGTTTCCTGAACATAATTTGAGTAACAGAGGTTTGTAGAAAGCATAGGCCTAGGCTGCTTGGGGTTGGTTTTCAGTATGACTGTACACCAATGTGTACCAGGGCTGTGTATTTTCTTTTTTCTACGTCTGATAAAACTGAACAATAGTATTTTGTGCCTGGGGTATTGATAGAATACTCTAAGGGGTTATTACACGTGTCATGACTTTTTTATTTTTGTTTTTTTGGTGTTTTTGTTGTTGTTGTTGATTTTCTTGGTTTGTTTGTTTTGTTTGTTTTCAAGCCAGGGGTTCTCTGTGTAGCTTTGGTGACTGTCCTTAAACTCCTTCTATAAACCACACTGGCTTTGAACTCACAGAGATTCACCTGCTTCTGCCTCTTGTGAACTGGGATTAAATACATGTGCCACCACTGCCTGGCACATTTAGCACAATTTTAAATGCCACTTAATTTTTAATTGGTGACAGCAGGTCCCACCACATCCTCACCTAGTGGTAATCAAGGAAGCACATCCAGGGAACACAGCTCTGCAGTTCGCAGCCCACCACGGCCTGTGCATCGGTGCCTATGATGAGAAAGTGTCACAGGAGAACTGTAGGAAATATTCTGATAGTGCACAGGGTTGTAATTGTGTTGACCATTATTAGTATTACCAGAGAGGAATGAGTACATATTGAAACTCCTACTGCCCAGGTTACAGGGCCAAAGTGAGTGTAACTGGTAGCCTGAACAACAATCTTTTAGGCAGAGCAGGACTATAAGTATGAACATAGCACCACCATTAGTGTGAGCACAGCAGGAACATTAGTGTAAACATAGCATGACCATGAATGTGAGCACATCAGGACCATGGGTAGGAATGTGAGGGTAAAGAAACATAATCAAGGACTAGTGTGAGTGAACTAATGGTGTAAAGGAACGATTAAATGTCCTGAAGATTGCTTTCTTTTCTGTTTAATGACTAAGCAATGTTCACCCCACAGGCACAAGTAGAGGAGCAGGCACACCTATTTTGGGAGCCACTGTAGGAAGTACATCTGGAAGAACAGGCAATGGGGGTGCAGGGGCAGGTGACAGGGAAGAATTCCACCAATGATAAAAGTTTTCATGGAGATTTTTCACATTGTGATACCACGTATATATACTATTTTTAAAGAAAAATGTAAACAGGCTTAAGATTAATTTCCACAAAATTTAGAACTTCAAAGAATCTCAGTCTAACATTCGTTCCCTTGATCACCAAGGCTCACCTGGGCCATCATCTGGAACCAGCCCTGGTACAGCAAGTGTCAGCACTCGAGGAGAATCAAGCACTGGAACCACAGTTTCAGGTGGGAGACAATAGGCTGGGGTGATGATGCAACAGCTCCTTCCCATGCCCAGTCGAATGGAGAGCTCCCTTGTCCTCCTAGGGTTTAACTGAATGAGACTGCAGTGCTGAGAAGTACTGGGGAAATCATAACTTTCCACTTTCATTTCCTCAATTTTTAAAGTATTCCCAATAAACTAGAAAAACAACCAGGTCCTCAACTATCAATTTGTTTTTCTTTCTAGGAACCATTAACACTGAAGGCGGCTCCACCACTGTGAGTCCTGCAACATCGACTAGAGCGGTCACAACCTCTGGTAGGAGCAGTACAGGTAAAGGAGAGAAAGAGAGAGATGTATGAGTTGGGTGTGCATGGAGCCCATTTTATGTATGTGGTTATTGGTTCTCAACAGAAAGGAGTAGTAGGAAACTGATGTCATAAGGGATACTACATGAGAAGCCAAAATGACAGGTGGGATAGGTGATATTGCTGTAGGTGATCTGAAGGTTCATTTGGCCACAGAGTTTTGGAATTCCTTACACCTTATGAGGTTTTGGCTATTGAAGAAGGAATATGCTTTCTAATGGGGTATATAGAGAAGAAACACTAGAGATAGGTTTGTAATATTAATGGAGAGACCTTAAGATCCATTGAGCTTGTATCTATCTGTTTTAGAAAGAGTTTGAAAGGGCTCAGTTTATTCGTGTGCAACCTCAGCTCAGAAACACTGAGGTCAGCTTATGAACATTAAATGTGTAAATAATTCAAGCTAAAATGTATCTAATAAGCATTGGATCAAAGAAAATTAATATAAAAACTGTATCTACTTTATGATCAAATGTTGGTAATGCTGAGAAGGAAATGAAGAAGTGAAATTGAATATATTAAGGAGATGTGAAATCAGAGAGTAGATTTGGCATGGTGTGGTTTATCAGAGATCCAATGTCCATTTCCTGTTTACTCTGAAAGGGAACGCCGCATCATCAGCTGGTGAAACAACTACAGCCTCTAGCAGTCAATCAACCCAGCCTGGAGAACAACCAGGTGAGCAGGTGGTGTTCAGAAGTGTGGAGTCATCACCCTGTTTCTCACTTAAAGTACAGTGGCTGCATTAGATATATGGACATCTGGTTGACCCAATCCCAGACCCTTAATTGTATCTATGTAACAACAGTGTCAGAAGAGAAAGCTAACATATTTGAGACTATGATAGTAGAATAATAGTTTAGGAAATCCAATCTGACATTTACTACATTGACCTATTATATTTTCTGTAGGAAGAATAAAATGAAAAGTAGGGGCCCCACCATTGGTAACCAAGTTCATCCAAACTTTTAATAAGAAGTCTCTCTCGTGTTTGCTCAGGCTCTGCTGGAACACCAGTTGCTCTCACCTCCTCAGTGGGAACTTCAGGAACCACAGCACCCTTGGATTCCAGCCTCACCAGTTCTGGGACCACAGAAGGTAAACTAGTTGTGAATGACAATCCTGACCAAAGTCTGTTATATGTCAAAATTGAACATACTTTTTCTAATATGCAATGACAAGATTAGTTATTCCTTATTTGATTGAAATTTAATATCTTTAATCTTTCATATCTCCTTTAATTTATCATGTTATCATTTTTGCACATCCTTCCTTGAGTGTTGAAATTGCTCATATAAATTGTGTAATTGTGTTTTCTGCACCTTGTTAGAGACAAGTCTAGAATTCTCAGATGTAGTGATAGCAATAGAAAAGAAAAGAAAATACTAATGACCCTGCATTTAGAGAAAGATTACAAATCAAGTGAACAGGAAAATACTAAACAAAATATATTAGTACAATATTGACCTACCTACTTGACATGTCAGAGTTCCCTTATTAAGATCACACTAGGACCTTATAAGTTAGTCAACATTAATTGATAGGTGATGTTATTTCTGTGACTTGAGATAGTAGTATATAAAAGTGTAAAAGCCGCATTAGAATTCACATTCTGAATGCTCCCACTTTCTGTGATCTGTGAGTAAAAAGCTCAGTCAAGAAAAGAAAATGTGCTCATTCTTAAGAATATGGACTTTCCAGACTCTTCACTAGAAATAAATGACTGAGACACTTTACAGCATAATATAAATCAATTAAATAATTGTGAAAACTAGAATGTACATAGAGGGTCTTAGGGTTGCTATTGCTGTGATGAAACACCATGACCAATACCATTTATAAATGGAAGCATTTAATTTGGGGCATGCTTACAGTTTCAGATGTATAGGCTATCATCATCATAGCAGAAAGCGTGGTGGCAGACATGTAGTAATAGTGCTGGAGCAGAAGCTGAAGGCTTACCACCTGCTCTGAAGGCTGAAAGTAGAGACAGAATTAAATTCTGCCTGACACGGGCTTTAGATATTTCACAGTTCCCCAGTCACGCATCTCCTCCAGAGATCACACTTGTCCAAACAAGGAAAACATCCTTTAACAAAGCCATATCCCTAATCCTTCCAAAACAGTTCAACAAACAGGAGAACAAGCATTAAAATATATGGGGGTGTGTGAGGACCATTCTCATTCAAATTGTCACTCACAGGAACACACTTCAAGGGACCAAATAATGCAGCATCCTTTAAGAGATTGTAATTTAAAGTGATAGCCATGAAGCTGTACTTCCTAAATTTTGCCTCAGTGATACTGGGACCTCAAGAAGAAATGAGTCCATTGTGCCCTTTGATTATTAGGAGATTTCAGTGGAGATGAATGGGAGAGGCAAAGTTAGGTCCTCAGCTAATAGGGATCCCACACTGTTTCTTATAGGACTGATGTACTAAGGTGTAAAACAGAGATCCCACACCAGGGAAAACATCAGATAACACAGTGGTGTGTGGTTGCTCTGTTGAAAAAAGACATGAGTTACCTATAAATATTTCCTTCTCTTTACATTGATGGCAGTTTTAAAACAGAAATATATGATAACATGAGAATGGTGTTTTACTACATGGCACATGGATTTAAGGAGTGAAGCAGCTGTTAGATGCTTAAATTACATGTGAATGTGGCCTTAAGCAGTTCAGTGACCTGGTGTATGTCCAAAAATCACATCCTATCAACAAGATCAAGAAGGTCGAGAGAGAGAGAGAGAGAGAGAGAGAGAGAGAGAGAGAGAGAGAGAGAGAGAGAGAGAGAGTCTAAATAGTATGATTTATTTCATTTCATTTCTGTCTAGGGCATTTTCAATCACAATTTTCTCATTATTAGGCAATAGCATTTCTACTACATCAACATCTACTCAAGGAGAAGGCAGCACACCCAGGGAACAAGGCACTGCAGCTACAAGCCCAGGATCCTCAGGTATTCCAAACATGCACCTCAGTGCCTTCAATGTGTCCACCCAGGAAAACATGATTGCTGCAGTGAACATGGTGGAAAGGCAGAGCATTGAAGGTTTGATTGCCTTTTCCAGAATCCCTTTAAAGGCAGCAATACATGAGAATCACTGCTCTTGTTTGCCAGGTTCAACAGGGACAACTGTAGGAATCACCTCAGGAGCAGGCAAAGAAAGCTCACCTGCAAGGCCAGGCACAGCCACCTCCAGCCCTGTTACACCATCAGGTCAGACAAGGCTTCTCTATGGGCTTTGAGGGCATAGCACATATTTTTGTCATGGGATAGAGAAAAGATCAAAACCACTGTAGAATCTAAACACAAGTATGGAATGATAACCTGTGTTTAAATACTAGCATAGCTTTATCTGCATCTTAACTTCCATTCTCCTTCCCATAGGAACAAGAGCAGCAACAGATGCTGCCACCACTGCAGCTCCTGGAACGAGCACATCTGGAGGAACAGGTACTGTGAGAGCTCAGCAGAGGGATGTCCAGCAGTAGACCTGTCATCTTCCATAGTGCTTGGGATTTCATCAGTGACAGTTCCCTGGGAAATATGACCCTTGTTCATGTATTGTCAAGTATCTAAGAGAAAAAGATAGTACCCAAAATCTTTGTTGTTCATCTTAAAAGCAGGTCAGATTTCAGTTCAACAAAGGAAGGAACATATAAGTATGCACTCTCACTCAACTACAACCTGGAAAGAGAAAACCTAAACTATATATAGAGATACAAGAACAGGAATAATTAATTAGTTCAGAAATAAAGTAGTATAAGGTGTCAAGCTTAACAAGCTTTGATAGTTGAAACCTGAATTGTGAGTGTAGACATATTTTATTTCTGACACATACATTGTTAATTTAGCAGAATACCAGGGCTGTCTGGTATGATTCGTTTATCTCAAAAAGTAGCTCTCCATGCTAGTGACTGTGGGAGTAATGATTGGTATGTTTCCATGTAGCTGATGTGACATCTATAGCCATTGCAGGTGTGAGAGCAACCTTATTTCAAGTTCCATCCACAAGTTGAATTCCCTGTGTGGTTTCTCAAGCTAACATTTTTCCATGGTAGGCATACCCCAAGCATCTTCTGCAACAACCTCTGAAGCAGCTGTCAGCAGCAGCTCTGGGACAGGAAGCACTGTAGCCTCAGGTCCCAGTAAGTCCACACACAGATGTGCCTGGTCACTCAGAGACTCCATTACATGAAATGTTCTAGTAAGGAATGTGTTATTAAATGAGGTCCTAACTGGGACCAAATGAAGATTAAAGAAACTATTGTGGATATCCCTCTTCCCATAAACTCCCAACTATTCAGGGTTAACAGTGACGACAACACACACTTTGGATACCACCCATTTTTTGTTTGTTTCTATTTAGATTCTGCCAAGACCACCACTGCTGGTTCAGTGGCCACAACCAAACCATCCACATCTGCCAACACAGAACCAGGTAAGCAAATTGGAGAATTCACTGTGTCTTCAGATGTCAGATTCTTCTAGTTGTTATTTCCATTAGTTGGTACTTTACCATGCTAAAGAATAGGCAGTTAATATAAGAGACTGGGGTGAAGAAGTTTAATTGCTGATCAACAGTTGGTCTGTAACTGGGGGAAGGATGAAGTAGGTGTTCTCTAATCAGAGAGAAATGTGAAGAATCCTGGGTCTGCCTGATTCCTTGTTCAGGTAAATGATGATTATAAAGTGTAGTTTTCCTAATACAGGGTCAGACCTAGATGGTTCCTCCCTCAGTGTGTCATATCTTTAGTCTTTTAAATGTGGCTTTCATGTGTATCAGATTGTTATTGGGAGATGCAACTGCTGGCCTGTTAAAGTTCTTTGGGCATTTTTAGCAATAAAGAAATTTGTATGTGCCATACCATAGAGAAATGGCATATTGGTAAGTATAAACAGAGCAGATACTAATGAAGATGTGACACATCCTTGCATTTAGGAAAAATCAGGAAATGTGTGAAATGCCCCTTTCCATAGATGCTTGCACAGATTGTTTCCTGCTTCATCTCAGCAAGTCTACTGCACACAGTAATAGTCAGCTCAAATGGGCCAAGTGTTAGAGACAGTGAAGATTATAGGAAAATTTTAGAAAAACAATTACCACAAGCACAATTATTAAGGATATGGTCATTTGGGACCATGTTGTTCCAAATTTGTTTTACACATGTTCTGTGACTTTTCAAACATTTCCATTATTTAATCTCATATCTTAATTTGTATTATAAACACTGTGTTAAAACCACGCATGTACTGCATACTGGAATATATATAGCTATTGTTTCTGCACATAGCTTCAGAAGTAGAAGTCTGGGTAGGAAGCCTAGGCCTGGACTGCTTAAATATGGGTTTCAGAATGATTTCAGACCCATGTGTACCAGGGTTGTGTTTTTTCCCATTTCTAGTAAAAATAAAACTATAATATTTTCTGTCCCAGATGTTGCTGAGAGTGTTCAATCTAGCAAAAATTTAAATGTTACTTCTTTTTTTTAATTGGTGACAGCAGGCTCTACCAAACCCCTACCTCCTGATGATGACATCAATACACCCAGGGAATACAGCTCTGCAGTTAGCAGTCCATCAGGGTCTACATGTCAGTACTTAGGATGAGAAAGTATCACAGGAGGGCAGTATGAGCCATGCTGAAAGCATATAGGGTTGCAATTGTGCCAACCATTATATCACCAGAGAGGATTGAACATATGTCAAAACTCCTGCTACCTAGTTTTCAGAGGCAGACTTCAAGTAATTGAGAACCTGAATGACATTCTTTGGGGTAGAACAGGACCATGAGTGTGAACATAATACATCCATTAGTGTGAGCAAAGCAAGAACATAAGTGTGAACATAGCATGGCCATGAATGTGAGCACAAAAGGACCATGGGTGGGAATGTGAGGGTAAGGAAACATGACCAAATCAATTTTGAATGAACTGATGACATGAAGGAACAATTAGTGTTCTGAAGATTGCTTTCTCTACTGTTTAATGATTAAGCAATGTTCACCCCCCAGGCACAAGTGGAGGAGCAGGTATAACTACTTTGGGAACCACTGTAGGAAGTACATCTGGAAGAACAGGTAATGGGGGACATGGGCAGGTCATAGGGAAGGAGGTGACCTGAGAGCTAGTGTTCAGATTCCATTAATGACAAAGTTTTCATGGAGATTTGTCTCATTTTTTCTACTGTGAGGCCCAATGCTACAGAGATGAGAAAGGATTAAAAAGATACTTGTTGAGTTTTGAGTAGTCTATGTGATGCCGGACATGACAGAAGAACTACAGAGAAGGTTTTAATCTCCCAAATTTTCCTCCATCTGGAAAAAGCAGACACTGCATTCACATAAAGTGTAAACATAACATACTAAGCAGGAAAGGAAGGAATTGTAGGAGCTGTGTCAATGGAATCATAGTCGTAAGTATAGACTAGATCATTCAAGGTTGAATGATGGGATATCAAAATGACTGCTATTTGTCAAAGGGAAAACATTAACAGAGTAAATTCATAATAAGAATGGTAAGATTTAGTAAGATCTGGAGTCTTCCACTCCAGTCATGTTTAATGTATACATATCATTTTAAAGAAAAAAAGCAAACAGGCTTGATAGTCCCTTCATGAATGTATATAAATTCACAGAACCTCAGTCTAATATATTTCCACTTGATCAACAAGGCTCACCTGAGGCATCATCTGGATCAAGCCGTGGTACAGCAGGTGTCAGCACTCCAGGAGAAGCAAGCACTGGAGTCACAGGATCAGGTGAGAGACAATAGGCTGGGGTGATGATCCAGTAGCTCCTGCCCAAGTCCTGATGGATAGGGAGCGCTCCCTTGTCCTCTTAGGCTTTACCTGAACCATACTGCAGTGCTGAGAATTGCTGAGAGATCATAACTTTCTATTTTAATGTTCTGAATTTTTAAAATATTCCCAGTAAAACAAGAAAAATTACCAAGTCCTCAACTCACAATTTGTTCTTGGTTATAGGAACCATGAGTACTTCTGAAGCCTCAGCCATTGTGATTCCTACAACATCAACTAGACCAGTCACAACCTCTGTTAAGAGCAGTACAGGTGAGAGGGGGGAGGGAGGGACTTAGGGAGGGAGAGAGGGAGGGGCAGAGGGAGGGAGGGAGGTGAGAGGAGAGATAGGGAGAAAGAGAGAGTGATGGAGGGAGGAGAGAGGGAGGAAGGGAGGTCTGATTTGTGAGTGTACATGGAGGAGCCCATTTTCTCTGTGTGGTTATTGGTGAACAATAGAAAGGAGTAGTAGGGGGGCTGGAGAGGTACTTTAGCAGATAAGAGTACTGGATGCTCTTCCACAAGTCTTGCGTTTAATTCCCATACACCATATGGTGGCTCATAGCCATATGTAATGGGATCTGGGGTCCTCTTGGGGCATGCAGGCATACATGAATATGTAATAAATGAATGAATGAATGAATGAATGAATGAATCTTAAAAGAAAAGGAAATAAGTAACAGGAATTTGATAATATTAGGGCTACTGCTTGAATAGTTGTACTGAGAGGGGTGCAATAGACCACATTGCTGTTGTTGTCCTGATGTGTATATGACCAAGGCACAAGGTTTTGAGGAATCCATATAGCATGTGAGGCTTTGGCTATTAAAAAGAGAATATAATTTGTAATGGGGCTTTTATAGGAGAATCTATAGTGATAGTTTTGGAATATGAGTGGAGGAACTCTCAGACTCATTGAGCTTGTATCTGCATTAGAAAGAGTTTTAAAGGAGATGGGCAGTGGTGGTGCATGCCTTTAATCCCAGTACTTAGGAGGAAGAGGCAGGCAGATCTCTGTGAGTTTGAGACCAGCCTGGTCTACATGAGCTAGTTCCAGGACAGCCTACAAAGCCACAGAGAAACCCTGTCTCGGAAGCACTTGACTTAGCTTAAGGTCATTAAATACATATGTAAATAGCAAGCTAAAATGAATTCAATATATAATGTAGCATACACAATTATTCTAACAACTGTGTTTATTTTATGATTAAATTTTGGAAAAGCTACATGGAAATGAAGACTTAAATACGAAGGAGATGTAAGATCAGAGAGCATATTTTTCATACATTTTATCAAGGCCCTAAAATCCATTTCCTGTTTACTCTGAAAGGGATCACTGCACCATCAGCTGGTGAAACAACTACAGCCTCTAACAGTCAATCAACCCAGCCTGGAGAACAACCAGGTGAGCAGGTGATGTTCAGAAGTGGGGAATCGTCACCCTATTGCTCACTTAAAATAGATGCAACATGGGTTGACCCAATACCAGACTCTTAACTGTGTCTGTGTAATAACAGTAACAGAAGAGAATACTAGCATATTTGAGACTATCACAGTAGAATAAAATTTAGAGAACTCCATAATTTACTATATTCACCTATTATATTTTCTGTAGGAGGAGTAAGATGAAAAGTAGGGCCCCACCATTGGTAACCAAGTTCATACAAACTTTTATGAGAAGTTCTTTGGGTGCTTTCCCAGATTCTGCTGGAACACCAGCTGCTCTCACCTCCTCAGTGGGAACTGCAGGCACCACAGCACCCCTGCACTCCAGTCTCACCAGTTCTGGGACCACAGAAAGTAAACTAGTTGTGAATGAGAATCCTGACCATGCCTGTTATAGCTGAATGCTGAACAGACACTTTTTTTCTGATATGGAATACCAGGCTTAGCCATTCCTTGTATTGACTGAATTATAATGTCTTGAATCATTCACCGATACATTAATATATCATGTTATCTTTTTTTTGCTCAACTTTCCTTGAGTATTAGAAATGCTCATGTAAATTATGTAGCTTATTATGGTTTCTGTACCTTATTAGAGACAACTCTAGAATATTTAGAGGTACTGACAGCAACAGTCAATAGGAAAGAAAATGCCAATAACACAACTTGTAGATAAAATATACAAACCAGGTGTACGGGAATATGGTAAAAAAAAAAAAGTAAAATAATGACACACCTACTTGACATTTCAGGGGTCCCTTATTAACCTTATACTAGGATCTTATAAGTAAGTCAACATTAATTGATAGGTGATTTTTTTTCTGTGATTTGAGGGATTAGTACATATATATTGCCAAAGCAACACTAGATGTCACATTCTGAATCCTCCCTGTTTCTGTGATCTGTGGGTAAAAGCTTAAGCCAAGAAAAAGGAATGTGCTCATTCTCAGGAATCTGAATTATTGGGAGTCTTGATTTGAAATGTATGATTTAAGACTTTTTTCAGGATAACTGAAAGCAATTAAAGAATTTGTGAAAAGTAGAATCTACACAGAGCTTCTTAGTTAGGATAACCATTGCTATGATGAAACACCATGACCAAGGTACATACATTATGAAAGGAAACATTTAAATTTGTTCCTGCTTATGCTTTAAGATGTTCAGTCTATGATCATAACAGAAAACATTGTGGCAGGCATGCAGTCATAGTGCTGAAGCAGTAGCTGAAGGCTTACCACCTGCTTTGTAGGCAGAAGGTAGACAATTAAATTGAGCCTGGCATGGGCTATAGATAACTCAAAGTTCAACATCAATCACGCATGTCGTCAACACGTCACACATTCTCAAACAAAGCAAACATCATCCAACAAAGCCTTATCTCTGATCCTTCCAAAACAGTTCAATAAACAGGGAACAAGCATTCAAATGCATGATCCTGTGAAGACCATTCTCATTCAAATTGTCACACACAGGAACACACTATCGTACTAGTAATCCAGTATCCTTTAAGAGATTGTAATTTTAAAGTGATAGTCATGGAACTACATTTTCTAAACTCTGAATCAGAGATACTGGGGCCTGAAGAAGAACTCAGTTCATGGTGCCCTCAGGTCACCATACATTATCAGTGGAGAAGAGTGGGAGAGGCAGAGTTGGATCCTCAACTGATAGTAATCCCATACTGCTTCTGACAGGTGTGATGTTCTAAGGTGTAAAACAGAGATCCAGCCCCAGGGAAAACATCACATGGTTATTCTGTCAAAAAAAATCTTTGTTTGGAACTGAGTTTTCTATAGATTTTTTAAAATTTCTATTTACATTAACTACAATTTCAGAGCACAAATGTATGACAGCTTGAGAATGGTGTATTAGTAAATGGCCCTTAGGTTTCAGGAGACAAGCTGGAGCTAGATGTTTCAGCTGGACATACGAATATGACCTTTTTCGTTGTTGCTGTTCTGTTTTGATTTCAAGACCAGATTTCACTGTGTAACAGCCCTGGATGTACTGGAACTCTCTTTGTAGTACATGGTGGCCTTGAACTAGCTGAGATCTGCCTGACTTTGCCTCCCTAATGCTGGGATTAAAGGTGTTCACCACCACCATCTGGCCATGAATGTTCTTAACTACTCTGTGACTTGGTGTATGTCCCTGAATCACATTCCGTCAACAGGAACAAGAAGGCCAGATATGGAGGATCTAATTAATATGAATTGTTTATACGTGTCTAGGGCATTTTCAATCAAAATTTTGTCACTTGTAGGCACAGGAAGTCCCACTGCGTCATTGCCTACTCAAGCACAAGGCAGCACGCTCAGGGAACAAAGCAATGCAGCTACAAGCCCAGGAACCCCAGGTAATTCCAACATGCTCATCAGTGCCTTCAATGTGCCCAACCAGGAAAGCATGACTACTATGGTGAACATGCTGGAAAGGAATCCATGAGGTTTGATTGTCTTTCCCAGAATCCGTTTCAAAGCAGAAACACATTAGAATCACTGCTCTTGTTTGCCAGCTTCAACAGGGGCATCTGTGGGAACCACCTCAGGAGCAGACAAGGGAAGTTCACCTGGAACACCAGGCACTGCGGCCACCACCTCTGTTACACCATCAGGTCAGACAGGGCATCTTTAGGGGCTGGGGTCAGCTCTTGGGTTTCCAAGGAGACCCACAAAGATGAAAACGTAAATTTGAATGGCCTACGATATCTTGAAGGGCTTTATCCATAGACATCTCTAGCTGTTTAAACCCCACTCTTGTTTCCATAGGAACAAGAGGAGAAACTAATGCAGCCACCACTGGAGTTGCTGAGGCGAGCACACCCAGAGGAACAGGTACTGAGAGGGTCAGCAGGGGGAAACTGAGGCAGGAGATTTGTGAATTTAGTGTTCATAATTTCATCAGTGTATGGCTTCCTGGGGATTGTCTCTAGGTTTGCCATTTGCTGCCAATTGTTGTAGATATAAGAAAGAAACTGAAAATGTTTGGGGTATTTATAATATTGTATGTGATACTGAATGGAATATAGAGAAAGAAATGGTCACTCTTCTCTCCAGAAATGACAGATTGTATATTAATAAAGGATATAAACAGAAAGGAAGAAGGAAAACAGAAAGGAATGGTATGAATGGTGTTATGAGTATGAGGAAAGACAACATCATTAGATTCTCAATACTAAATCGTCAACCCCAATGCTCATTTTGAATGGAAGAATATTCTAAGGGATGGCACAAGTAATCAGAATTAAAGGATTTAGTGAGTTAAAGGGTATCATTTCCTAGTAATGTTTTTTTGTTTGTTTGGTTGGTTGGTTGGTTTTTTGGTTTTTCAAGATGGGGTTTCTCTCTGTAACAGCTCTGTCTGTCCTGGAACTCGCTCTGTAGATCAGGCTTGCCTTAGACTCACAGAGATCTGCCTGCCTCTGTCTCTCAAGTGCTGGGATTAAAGGCCTGTGCCACTGCCACCAGGTGGTGGGACGTTTAAAGGCAGATTCTTTCCATTTTCTAAAAAAGAAGGAATCTTAGCACTTTAAGAGAATGGATACTTTCATGAGGTTAGAGGAAAAGAAAGAGCATTTCAACTCTGAAATATAAACTACCTTTCAATCTTGTTTCTCACCTTTTAAACCATGATGAAATACAGGCACCCCTGGTACATCTACTGCAACCACCTCGGGAGGGGCAGAGAGCAGCACCCCTCTTCCTGCAAGTACTGCAGCCCCAGGTTCAGGTAAGACATCTTTGCTTTTGGAGATGTCTCAATAGCTCATCCATACCCAGGCTACCTCAGATGATGGTCTAGAAATATCACCTGCTTGTGGAAACGAGATTCATGACACAGCAGGTGATGCAAGTATGTGTCTTCCCATGTTTTATCATTCAAGTCCATTCATCTCTCTTGGGAATTATGGATTCATATAACTCTCAACATCCAAATTAATTGATTTCCTTTGAGAAGTTAGAATGTTGTCAAATTAATTGCTTTCCTTTGAGTAGAACATTGTCATTTAAGTTCATAAGGATAGACATTTTCATTTCATAAGAGGAAAGGGGGCTATTTTAATTCTTAAGAAAAATCTTCTGTTGCTGGAAGTTTTCTTTCCTGCCTGGTCCCCCAATTACCTCAGCCCCAAATAAGCACATGGATGCCATATTAGTTATAAAAACTATTGACTGATGGCTAGGACTTCTTATTAGCTAGCTCTGTCTTAGTTATTAACCCATTTCTATAAATCTATGTATTCCTACATGGTCTTGGCTTACCAGAGAATGCCTGGACCTGTATCTCCTTTGGCGGCTACTTGTCATCTATTTCTCATGGGCTCTCTGCCTACCTTTCCTAGAATTCTCCTCTTCTCCTAGTTCCACCTGCCTTCCAGGCTCATTGGCCAAACAGTGTTTGATTCATCAACTGATAAGATAAACAAATATACAGAAGGACATCCCCCATGAATCTCCCTTTCAAATTCTGATTCATCTTTTTTAACCATGATAATTATTAGGTACTTCACCTGGAACAACATCTGGAGTAGTAGGGGGCAGCACTCCTTTACCTGTAAGCACTGGAGCCCCAGGTTCAGGTAAGCCTCTTTAGCCTTGGCAGATGTCTCAGCAGCTCATCCATTCCCATGCTGCCTCAGGTGAGGGTCTGAAACTTTGACTTATATGTGTGAATAAAATTTATTGCATGGGAAGTGGTTTCGTAAACTTCATAACACTGGTTATGGTGCAATACTGTGTCTTTTCATATATATATATATGGTGTCTGGAATGTTAGAAGTCTCCACCATGCATGTTTTCCCATCCTAGGGAGCACGGTGACATCCTCAGGCCACACTACAATCTCTCATGGCTCTAGTCTGTCCCCAGGCTCTACCAGCAGCAAAACAGGTAAGTAAAATGGAGGAGGCTGTGAGGTGTCAAGTGTCAATGGGAGGACTGAGTCCATCTCCATTTATGTATATGGGGATGTAGGAATGACATGCATATTACATGGTTGTGAGTTGCTCAGATATCAAATGAGGGACTGGTTGTATCACCTTTTATTCATAAGGAATGCAGGAATTCCTTGTATATTTAGAGAAGACACCTCATGGAGGATTTCACTAGCTGATTTTTCTCTTATCTTATCCTGCAATTAGTTTGCTAATGTATATTTTGGAGCAATGCTGACCCTGATTCCTTCCTTGGAATTTAAGGGCACTGAGTGACTAGGGTGAAAGCTTACTATCCTGAATCTAAGTTAACATCTCCTCAAAAAATTCTGAATGTCTTCTTTCTCATGCTTACTAAATGTGTTTCCTTATATGAAGGACCAAGTCAGAAATTTATTTTAAAGACCTAGTTGATTTGAATAAGCATCTCAGTACTAAACTAAAATAGATGAATATGAAGGAGGTAGACAATGATATTTCCATGCAGAATCAAATAAATCCTGCAAGGTTTTCACTATATCATATGAAATTTACAAAGAATGAAGCAACAAATAGGTAAAATATATAAATGAAGAAGCTCGACATCAGACAGCAGTGTCAGCGAAGGCTGCTTCATAGTCATGATACTGATCGTTTTTTAAAGAAGTGACTGGAACACTAGATAGAGCACAATTCTGGGCATACCTGTGAGCTTATTAACAGAGTAAACGACCAGTGTATAGGTAGAGTACAATCAATAAATATTCGTGCTGGACTGAGTGTGAAAGGGAAATGGCAGAAGCATGAGGGGACCAGCAGTCATCGCTCTGCTTCCTCAGGGGTGGACGCAGTGTTAACAGCTTTCTCATAGTCCCACAATTCCCTGTCTACCACTCCCACATCTATGGTTTCCCTTGTGAGGAATTTACCTCAAACTGGGAGTAAAATAAACCACTTCTAGCTTTCCCTCTCTGTAATATCCTCTAAGATTTTCCAAGAATTGTGTAACAAACAATAAGCAATCCCACACCTAGTTTGCAGAAGATTGGATATGTATTGCCAAGTATATGTTTTGGTATAGTATCATTTTAGGCAGTAAATAGTTTCTAAAATTAGGGCCATGCCATAATCTCATGCATCTTCATGCTTTTTATTAAAATTAACAGCCTTGAGATGTGGGAGCCTAAACATATGATGGCAAGCAGTCAGGTTGGCATAGATCCCCACAGCTTCTTAGGTCACTTCTAAAATTGCCAACATTTATCTGTGAGGAATTTGACTTACCTCCATAACCTAAGAGTGGACACTTCATTTGGTTAGAGGAAAAGAAGAAACCATTTCAATTCTCTAAGAAAAAAACTGCCTATTAATCTTCTTTCTCTTTTTTTTTTTAACCATAATGAAAAACAGGTTCACCTGGTGCATCTGCTGCAACCACCTCTGGAGTGGCTGGTAGCAGCACCCCTCTTCCTGCAAGTACTGGATCTCCAGGTTCAGGTAAGACTGAGGGAAGCTGTCTGTGTGGAGCTACATTAGGAGGCAGCCAATTTGCTCCTGTTTTGTAACTGAGAAGGGGAGTATGGATTGAGAAAGGGTAGGTAAAGACTAAGAGAAAGAGACATAGAATAGAGTCAAGTGGGTCATCCAGTAAATACTGAATCATTTCTAGTTTATTTTTCAATGGTTTTAAGTATCCAACCAATAAGGGGGGAATGGCAGAAGACTTCTATTATCATTTATAAGGAGCAAACAGACTCACTTCCCTAAAGCCTCCAGGCATTTGGTAGTCACACCTGTTATCTGGCCACCAGGATCAAGAGTAAACACACTTGAGCCCAAGTATGTTGTTATTTAGATAAGACATCTGATACCAAGGCCAAACATCCTGTAGTAGCCATGCCTTAGACCTTTAGGTCTTTTGACTTATTAAGGACAGTTTTGAACTCTCTGACCTTGAGGCAAGATGAAGTGGACCCGTCTTTATGAACCCCAACATAAGACCATGTTGCTTTTGGAGATGTCTCAGCAGCTCATCCATATACATGCTGCCTCAGGTGATTGTCTAGAAACATCACCTGCTTGTGTGAGTGAAATTCATGGCAGAGCAAGTAAGGAAAGAATGTGTCTTCCCATGTTTTATCATTCAAGTCCATTCATATGTCTGGATTCATATAAGTGTCAACATCCAAACTATTTGATTTCCTTTTAGAAACCACTGTGTTTTCAAATTAACTGCTTTCCCTTGGGAAAGTAATGGTCATTAAAGTTCATAAGGGTAGATAGTTTCATTACTTAAGAGGAAAAAAAAAACCTTTTAATTCTTATTCTTAGAAAAACCTCCTTTTCAATTTCCTTTCTCATCTTTTTTAACCATAACAACTATTAGGCACAACGGGATCATCATCTGGGACAACATCTGTAGTCGCAGGGGGCAGCACCTCTCTACCTGCAAGTACAGGAAGCCCAGGTTCAGGTAAAACTCTTTAGCCTTTGCAGACATCCCAGCAGCTCAACCATTCCCATTATGCCTCAGTGAGTGTCTGGAAATTTGGCCTGTGAATGTGAATGCAATTCATGCCATGGGATGTGGTAAAAGAGTTTGTGTTCTTACATCTTTACCATGCAAGTCTGTTCACATAAATAAGGATGTCTGGAATCATACGAGTCTCCAACATCCATGATTTCCTGTTCTAGGGAGCTCAGTGACATCCTTGGGCCACACTACCTCCCCTCAAGCCTCCAGTCTATCCACAGCCACTACCAGCAGCAAACCAGGTAAATAGAAGAAGTTGTGAGGTCTCAGGTGTCAAGTGAAGGGCTGAATCTGTCTCCATTTCCTTTATGGGAATGTTGGAATGACAAGTATATTACAAGTGATTAAGGAGGGCCTGCTTATGTCACCATTCATTCATAAGGGAATGCAGGAATTCCTTGACCATTTAGAGGAAGAAAGCTAGCATCAGAAAGAGAATTGCATTATTTGATGTTCCTCTTTTCTAATACCTTAATTAGGTTGTGAATGTGTACACTGGGGCAGTGATGGCTCAGACTGCTTCCTTGGAGCTTAAGGACACTTAGTCATCAGGGCTAAGGCTTACCATCATGTACCTGAGTTAGCATCAAGTAGAAAAATCCTGAATTTCTTCTTTCTCATGGTTATTAAATGTGTTTTCAAATATGAAGGACTCAGTCAGAAATATGTTTCATGCCCAGTTGGTTTCTAAGTGTCTTACAACTGAATTCAAATAGATGAATATTAAAAAGGTAGACAATCATATTTCCATGCACAATCACATAATACAAGGATTCTCCTGTGCTATATGAAATTTAGAACAACAGGAAAACTATATGAATAAATATAGGCATTTGGCATCAGAGACCAGTGTGTTATACTGCTGCTTCACAGTCATGACATTATGTTTTTTTGTTTTATTTTGTTTTGTGGCAAGGAACAACTGGTTCATTAGCAGAAACAACTAGATCCCCAAGTAGTGAGTTGATCTCCACTAAAGGCAGTACATGTGAGTGGAGGCTGTGTCCTGGAGAGGCTGAGGCTCTCTGAAAAAAATGGAGTGTTTTGTCCATATGTTAAATTTTATTGAACTGCATTTATAAAAATATATGGACATGAATACACAGACATTGAAAAAATGAATGAAACTAAAAGGAATCTTCTGGAAATCTGCTGGGCATAAAAATCAGTGAATTTGTTCATTCAGTTTTTCATGGAAAGAGTGATTGGGGACTGAGGTCTTGTACTGGTAGAAGACATTAGGTATGTGGCCCCTTTGATGTCTTCTATGGCAACATCTCCTCCCATCACCTCCCTGTTCGAGAGTGGAGACACGATGCCTGCACTGAGCCTCAGTTTCTCTAGTGTAGTCTTCACAGAGGGCAAATTAAATGCAGACAAAGGAAGGATCCTGACTTGAGCCAAGGAGCTATTTGTACAATGCATCCCCAGATAGTTTTCTACTCTGTTAACAGCCTTCTGCGATAATGCCACAGCAACAGCTAAAATGTATTTATTGTAGCCATTCCAGAAGCTGCTTTTAGTTGTGTACCACACTGAACTTATAAGGTTCCACTAACGCAAGAAAAATGGTCATTTTTAGTGTTAAAGTATGTATATAAATATGTACATATATATGTATGTGTATCTGTATATATGTCTATGTGGGGGAGTAAGCATGTGCATAAATAATTATGCCCTAGGAAGCCAGCACATGTCATAGGATATCCAAAAACTTGAGCTACTAGTGGTTGTAAGCTATTTAAAATGGGTGGTGGGGAGCAGTGGCCCATCATTCTGGCACCATATATGCTTATTTTAAAGCCTGGTTTATTTATTTCTTCAGAACATTGCCAAGTATAACTCTAAAAACTGCTGACAGAATTAGATCTATCACAACCTTCAAAGCAAGTGATAGAAAGGTTTGAGACAACCTCTTTGTTTTACAGGGGTACTTCTGTAAACAGATGTCTCCTGTTTCAACTCAGCAGTAATTGTAGTCTGAGTAGAGGCATAGGTAGATAAAGTATAGAAAGAGGCATGCTAATAAGGTATTAGCACTATTTACAATTCAATGGTAGTCATTACAACCCTTTACATTGGATAATTTCTTTTGAAATAGGTTCTTTACAAATCAGTCAATGTTAACACCCTTCTGATATGTGCTATGTAGTTTATTTATCATGAAATAAGAAAATAATAAAAATAAAAGTCTCCATGCTGGTACTGACAGGATCAGAATGTGGCTTCTTCAACACTATGGGCAGCAGCAGGTTCCACTACTCTGAGACTATAGGAGTTCTTATCTGCCCAGGTTGCCATTTTGCCTACATTTTGTAGAACCCCACAAGAAAATGAGCATATGTTGAAACCCCTACTGTCTAGTTTGTTGGAGACAAATGGAGAGTTGGTGGGAACCTCAGGATCATGGTGTGAGCAGAGCAGGACCATGGGTGTGAGCAGAGCAGAACCATGTGTCAGAGCACAGCAGGACCATGTGTAAGAGAATAGCAAAGCCCTGAGTGTGAACGCAGTAGGGCCCTGAGTGTGAACACAGCAGACCATGAGTGTGAGCACAGCAGGACCATGAGTGTGAGCACAGCAGACCATGAGTGTGAGCACAGCAGACCATGAGTGTGAGCACAGCAGGACCATGAGTGTGAGCACAGCAGGACCATGAGTGTGAGCACAGCAGGACAATGAGTGTGAGCACAGCAGGACCATGAGTGTGAGCACAGCAGACCATGAGTGTGAGCACAGCAGACCATGAGTGGGAAGAGAACAGAAGCATTAGGCCAGGGAACCTCTCACTCTGATGTCCCAACAAGCACAGCAGAGCTCCTAATTTAGGCTTGAGGTGGGACCTAGATCAGCTGTCTCCAAGACTCAGATTGGGAAAGTGAGGGTAAGGAGAGGTGAACAAGGATGTCTTGAAGGAAGCAATGGCAAGAAGGAATGAGGGAATGATGCAGGGATTTCTTCCCTTACTGTTTAACCCTCAGGCACAAGTGGAGGAACAGGTGCAGTAGTGACTGGAGCCACTGTAGGAAGCACATCTGGAAGAGCAGGTGCTGAGGGACAGGGGAAGGTGACAGACAGGCAAGGAGGACAACTGAGAGCTTAGTGTACAGATCCCATCAATGACAAAAGTTTTCCAGGAGATTTGTCACCCCCTCAAGTATAATCCCAGCCTTCATTCGTTCATATAGTTTATTGTAGTATTTTTAATTCTCGCCATTGTTTTACTGTATCATATTCCATTTTTCTGCTTCTACTCCCTTGACTGTTTAAAATGCCCATGCAGATAATTTTGACAGATAATTATTTTTATTCTGCAACTTATCAGAGACAAATCTAGAATCCTCAGGTGTCACCACAGCAACAAAGGGAAAGAAAATGCCAGTGGCACAGCATTCAGAGAAGGTGTAAGTCTCTGAATGACATAGTAAGTCAACTGGAAAAGTGAGAAAATAGTTTAATAAAACTATGTTTCACTTACAATGACACTTCAGAGATTCCCTGGTAACCTCACCCACATACCTTGGAAGTTAATCAACATTAATAGCTAGGTGATGATGACATTATTGTGAGTAGACCCATTAGTAAATGTGTACGATTCAAGAATCATTAGAATTCACATTATGGAGTTTCTCCCATTCTGTGTCTGTGGGTAAATGCTCACAGCCTCCCACCATCAAATAATAAAAGACAAAAATTATGTGCTTGTCCTTGAGAATATAGGCTATTAAGTTCTGACTTAAGTATGGCTTAGATACTTTGCAGAATAATATTCATTAATAAAATAATTTGTTGAAAAATAGAATGTAGACAGATGGTCTTAGTTAGGGTTACTATAGTTGTGAAGCAACACCATGACCAAGGCAACTTATAAAAGGAAACATTTAATTGTGGGCTTACTCCCAGTGTTAGAGGGTTAGTCACAGATCATCATAGCATTAAAAGTGGAAGGAGGTATGCAGCCATGGTGCTGTAATATAATCGAAGGCTAACATCCTGGTCTGTAGGCAGAAGGTAGACAAAGAACTAAACTGGGGCTGGCATGGCCTTTAGATACCTCACAGCCCAACCAGAGTCACACAGTGGCCCCAACAGAGGCACATCTCCGAATCTTCTAAAAATTGGGGACCATTCTTGTTCAAATTATCAAACACAGGAACAAAGTTAAGAGATTAAGTAATCCAGTGTCCTCTAACTGACTGTAATTTTAAAGTTATATCCATGAACCCATATTTCCTAAAGTCTTAATCAGTTTAATGGAATTTTTGTTTATCAGGCATTGTCAGTGGTAATGAGGGGAGATGCAAAATTGGGTTCTAGGCTGAGAGCCATCACAAATGGTTTCTTATAGGAGTGATGTACTAAGGCTCAAACTGAGCTCATTCTCTTGGGAAAACATCCAACTGACACAGTGGGGTAGTGTTTCTCTATTGAAAAAGGCTTGGGTTTTTATTAATTTTCTTTAATTTTTTCTTTTCTACTTACATTGGCCAGAATTATAAAAAATAAATATATCACAGTTGAGTTTCTGTTATTACTCATTGGCTCGTGTGTTTAAGGAGTGTAGCTGAATCTAGATGCTTGAGTTAGATTTGTGAATATTTTCTTAACCAATTCATTAACCTGGCGTATGTACATGAATCACATCCAAATCTATCTGAGGAAAAGTATGTGCTGTTACAGGAGATCTAAGCAATATAAATATTTTATTTGTTCTAGAGCATTTTCAATTGCTATTTTATCACTAGTAGGTGAAGGCAGTCCCATTATGCCAACGCCTACTCAAGGAGAAGCCAGCACACCCAGGGAACAAGGTTCTGCAGATACCACTCTAGCAAACTCAGATAATTCCAAACATGCACTGGGGTGTCCTGAATATGTCCAATCAGGAAAACATGAAGGTTGTGGTGAACATAGTAGAAAGGAAGCCATGGAAGTTTGATTGTTTCCCAGAATCCCTTTCAAAGCAGAAACACATTAGAATCACTGCTCTTGTTTGCCAGCTTCAACAGGGGCATCTGTGGGAACCACCTCAGGAGCAGGCAAGGGAAGTTCACCTGGAACACCAGGCACTGCGGCCACCACCTCTGTTACACCATCAGGTCAGACAGGGCATCTTTAGGGGCTGGGGTCAGCTCTTGGGTTTCCAAGGAGACCCACAAAGATGAAAACGTAAATTTGAATGACCTACGATATCTTGAAGGGCTTTATCCATAGACATCTCTAGCTGTTAAACCCCATTCTTGTTTCCATAGGAACAAGAGGAGAAACTAATGCAGCCACCACTGGAGTTGCTGAGGCGAGCACACCCAGAGGAACAGGTACTGAGGGGGTCAGCAGGGGGAAACTGAGGCAGGAGATTTGTGAATTTAGTGTTCACAATTTCATCAGTGTATGGCTTCCTGGGAAGTGTCTCTAGGTTTTCCATTTGCTGCCAATTGTTGTAGATATAAGAAAGAAACTGAAAACGTTTGGGGTATTTATAATATTGTATGTGATAATGAATGGAATATAGAAAAAGAAACTCTTCTCTCCAGAAATGACAGAGTGTATATTAATAGAGGATATAAACATAAAGGAAGATGGAAAACATGAAGGAATGGTGCAATTGGTGTTATGGGAATGAGGAAAGACAAGATCATTAGATTCTGAATATTAAGTCATCTACCCCAGTGCTCATTTTGAATGGAAGAATATCCTAATGGATGGCACAAGTAATTAGAATAAAGGAATTTAATGAGGTCAAGGGTATCATGCCCTAGTGATGTTTGAAGGCAGGCTCTTCCAATTTTTGTAATGAAAAAGGCATCTTAGCACTTTACAAAAATATCTCACATTTTATTATCTCTGGCTGACCTTTTCCCCATTGATCATTATCAGGTTCAACCGGGGCATCATCTGCATCAACCTCTGGAGCAGCAGGTGTCAGCACTCCTGGAGAAGCAGGCACTGCAGCCACAAGTTCTGGTGAGATTTGGTTCTCTGGGGTGATGGTTTAGCCAGGATTATCCGTGCCCTGCAAATAGTGTTGTTCAAACTGACTCAATCTGGGTTGGAATGAAGGCTTTAGCAGAGCCAGAGGGCAGTGCTGTCTTTTGGTTTAATGGAATTTGTATAAATACTTATGGAATATATTTTACTGTGCAATTGTCTATGTATTTAATATCCGTAAAGTGAGTTCAGTGGTTCTGAACTGAGGTTGCACACTGGAATAAAATGACCGCTTTACAACCCTCTTTAACACAGACAAAATCTCAACCTTGACAGATTCATTGACATTAGAGACTTATTGAAAGTAATTTTAAGGAATTTTGTTTATTCTTTAAATAGTGTGTATGTGGGAGGGGGGTTGGTGAATGGTTAACTCTTTGTCCAGAAGCAGACATGTGGATTCTCTTGTAACTAGAGTTAGAGATGGTAGTTTGACACCCTACATGGGTGCTGGGTACCAAACTCAGTTCCTCTTAAAGTGCAGGATATGCGCAAAGCAATCTTAACATTTCTTGAGTCCCAAGAAATACACACACACACACAGACACACACACATATGTTTTTACTCTTTGAGAATTTCATACAATGTATAGTGATTATTTTTGTGCCCTTCTCCCAGTTCATTCCATAGCCACCACCCCTTCACTACGCACATTACTTTGTGTAGTCTTGGTTTTGAACCCGAAATGGTGCAGTCTGTGCCTTTGCTGGTACATGATGTGCTGAGATACAAAACAGAGTGTATGATCTTTGAAGAAAAACATGTACACACGAGGCCCTGGTATCTTTCTGTTGTCCATAGAGTTGTGTCGTCCCGTAACAGTGTTCTCTCATTACACTTCTCTCATTACATTTAAACATTTTAAAGGATCCGTCTATGAGAAAGTGGGAAAGTTAGATTGGACTCTGGCACATATGTTTGTGTTCAGCTGGCACTAGATGCTTGAGTCTGGCTCTTGGATGTGTTGCATATAATAAAGTGACATTGAATAGGTCACTGAATTTTATCCAATCAACACGAACAATTTGATACAGGATACATTTACCAATATACTATGTGCATTTGTCCAACATGTTTAACATCATTGTTTCCTCATCAATTGATGTAGGAGTTACCACTGGGCAAGTATCCACAGATGGGAAAGGCAGCACACCCAGGCAAGAAACTGGAGCCACCAGCCCAGGAACCTCAGGTAATTCCATACATGGAATGGAGAATCTTAAATGTATACCCCCACAAAACTAGAAGCTGTTGTAAGATGATGAAAATATAGATCATTGAAAATGTGGTGGCATTTCCTAAGTGACCTTCAGATGACATCTCACAGTTAAATATACTTCTCTTGTTTGCCAGGTTCAACAAAGGGATCTGTGGAAACCTCCACAGTAGCAGGCGGGGGAAGCTCACCAGGAACACCAGGCACGGGGACCTCCAGCTCTGTTACACCATCAGGTCAGACAAGGCCTCTTTAGGGGATGTGGAGGGCATAGCACATGGATTGGCCATAAATAGAGAGGACCAAAACCACTGTAGAATCTAAGCACATGTATGGAATGATAAAATGTGATTAAATATTAGTCCATCTATATCTACATATTAACTTCCATCCACCTTCCCATAGGAACAAGAGCAGGAACAGATGCTGCCACCACTGCAGCTCCTGGAACGAGCACATCTGCAGCAACAGGTACTGTGAGAGCTCAGCAGAGGGATGTCCAGCAGTAGACATGTCATCTTAAGTAGTGCTTGGGATTTCATCACAGACAGTTCCCAGGGAAATAGTTCATGTGGTGTCAAGTAACCAAGAGATCAGCAATGTAGCCTGAATCACTGTTGTTCATCTTAAAAGCAGTTCAGATTTCAGTTCAACAAAGGAAATAATGTATAAGTATGCACTCTTACTCAACCACAACCTGGAAAGAGAAAAAGTAAATTATGTACAGAGGTACAAGAACAGTAATAATTAGGCCAGAAACACAGTAGTGTATGCTGTCAAGCTTACCACATGAAGACTGGAATACTGTTGTAGAAAGATAAATCAAAGACATTTATAGATGAAACTTGAATTGCATGTGTATAAGTACTTTATTATTGGCACATTCTTTACTGCTTTAGTAGAATAATTGAGCTACCTGTTATGTATCGTTATCTTGAAAAGTAGCTCATTTATCATTCCATACATGTGCTTAGATTCTACAGTGGTTTTTGTTCTCTCTCTATTCAGGGCCAATCCAGGGCTACCTATTATGATTCATTTGTCTTTAAAAGTAACTCTCCATGCTAGTGACTGTGGGAGTAAATATTGCTATTTTTCTATGTAGTTGATGTGACATTTATAGCCACTACTGGTGTGAGAGCAACCTTATTTCAAGTTCCATCCACAAGTTGAATTCCCTGTATGGTTTCTCAAGCTAACATTTTTCCATGGTAGGCACATCCCAAGCATCTTCTGCAACGACCTCTGAAACAGCTGTCAGCAGCAGCCCTGGGACAGGAAGCACTGGAGCCCCAGGTTCCAGTAAGTCCAAGGGTGTGCCTGGTCACTCAGAGACTCCATTACATGAAATGCTCTAGTAAGGACTGAGTTACCAAATGAGGTCCTAACTGGAACAGAATGAAGATTAAAGAAACTATTGTGGATATGCCTTTTTCCATAAAATCCTAACTATTCAGGGTTAACAGTGACGACAACACACACTTTGGATACCACCCATTTTTTGTTTGTTTCTATTTAGATTCTGCCAAGACCACCACTGCTGGTTCAGTGGCCACAACTAAACCATCCACCTCTGCCAACACAGAACCAGGTAAGTAAATAGGCAAATTCACTGAGTCTTTAGGTATCAAATTCTTCTGGTTGTTGTCCTCATTCCTTCGGACTCTACCATGCTGAAGAATAGAAAGGAATAGAAATTGGAGTGAAGAAGCTCACCTGCTGACCAACAGCTGGTCTGTAACTGGGGGAGGGGATGGATTAGCTGGTCTCCAATCAGAGAAAAATGCAAAGAATCCTGGGCCTGCCTGATTCCTTGTTTCAGATAAATGATGATCAAAACTAATTTTTCTGATACAGAATCAGACATAAATGTTTTTTTACTCAGTGTAATTGATTTGTCATAGCTTTAGATTTTTAAAAGTTGTCTCATGTTTATCATATTGCTATTGGAAGGCACAACTGCTGACTTGTTAAAGTTCTCATGGGCATTTTTAGCGATAGATAATCTTTTAGGTGCCATATCATAAAGAAAATGGAATATTAGTAAGCGTAATCAGAGCAGGCACCACTGACGACACAAGTGACACATCCGTGTATTTAGAAAAAATCAGGAAGTGTGTGAAATGCCCCTCTCCATAGATGCTCGCACAGACTGTTTCCTGCTTCATGTCAGCAAGTCTGCTGCACACTGGAAAGAGTCAGCTCAAAAGGGCCAAGTGTCAGAGACTGTGAAGTTATCTAGGAAAATTCCAGAAAAACAAGTCCTACATCAACAGCTATTAAGGATATGGTTGTTTGGAACCATGTCTTTCCAAACTTGTGTTGGAACATATACTGTGACCTTTAAAATATTTTCATTATTTAATCTCATATCTTAATTTGTAGTATATACTCTGCGTTAAAACCACCTGTGTGCCAGAGACTGGAATGTTCATAAACTATTGTTTTCTGCACATATCGTGAGAAGTAGAGATTTGGATAGAAAGCCTAGGCCTGGACTACATGAGTGTGGCTTCAGCACGATTGCAGACCCTTGTGTACCAGGGATGGGTTTTGTTTTTCCACATCTAGTACAATTAAGCAATAATATTTTCTGGCTTGGTAGTTGCTGAGACTGTTCAATAGGTTTATTATATCTAGCATAACTTTAACTGTTACTCTTTTTAAATTGGTGACAGCAGGCTCTACCATACCTCCACCTAGTGGTGTTGAAGGCAACAGACCTAGGGAAAACAGCAGTCCAACAAGGGCTGCGCACATCAGTGCCTAGGATGAGAAAGTATCACAGGAGATATGTAGGAACATGCTGAAAGCACACAGGGTTGCAATTGTGCTGACCATTAATTACATCACTGGAGTGCAATGAACACATATGGAAACTCCTACTGCCCAGTTTCTAGGGCCAAATTGAGAGTAATTGGTAACATTCTCTACTTTGCCTATTAAAGTAGGAATATGATTCTTAATGATGTTTAGATAGGAGTATCACTAATGATAGTTTTGAAATGCAAATGGAGGGAACTTAGAAAGAGTTTTAAAGGAGTCAATTAATTCGATTGTGAAACCTCACTTCAGAAGCACTGAGCTCCAGTAAAGGACATTAAATATACAATTAAATCGCAAGGTAAAATACATCCCTTATATAATGGAGCATATACAATTATCCTAACAACTGTGTTTATTTTATGACCAAATGTTGGAAATGAAGAAGTGAAAATGAATATATGGAGGAGATGTGAAATCAGAGGGCAGATTTGGCATGGTGTGGTTTATCAGAGATCCTAATGTCCATTTCCTGTTTGCTCTGAAAGGGACCACTGCACCATCAGCTGGTGAAACAACTACAGCCTCTAGCAGTCAATCAACCCAGCCTGGAGAACAATCAGGTAAGCACTGGGACCACCATAAGGTCAGACAAAAGCCTCTTTAGGAGCTGTGGAGGGCATAGAACAGGGTTTGGTCATGGGATTGAGACAAGACCATAACTAATGTAGAATCCAACCATGTATATGGAATGATAAAATGTGTTTAAATATTAGTGTAGCTTTATCTGCATCTTGACTTCCATTGTCCTTCCCATAGGAACAAGAGCAGCAACAGATGCTGCCACCACTGCAGTTCCTGGAACGAGCACATCTGGAGGAACAGGTACTGTGAGAGCTCAGCAGAGGGATGTCCAGCAGTAGACTTGTCATCTTAAGTAGTGCTTGAGATTTCATCACAGATAGTTCCCTGGGAAATATGACCATTGTTCATGTGGTGTCAAGTATCTAAGAAAACAACAATGTACCTAAAATCTTTGTTGTTCATCTTAAAAGCAGGTCAGATTTCAGTTCAACAAAGGAAGGAACATATAAGATTTCACTGTCACTCAACTACAACATGTAAAGAGAAAAAACTAACCTATGTACAGAGGTACAGTAATAGGAATAATTAGTCCAGAAATAAAGGAGTATATGGTGCCAAGCTTAACATGCAAAGACTGTTGGAGAAAGATACATCACAGGTATTGATAACTGAAACTTGAATTGTGGATGTAGACAGGCTTTATTTCTGACACATACATTGCTAACATAGTAGAATACCAGGGCTATCTAGTATTCTTCATTTGTCTTGAAAAGTAGCACCCCTCATGCTAGTGTCTGTGGGAGTAATCATTGCTGTTTCTATGTAGCTGATGTGCTATTTATAGCCATTGCTGGTGTGAGAAGCAAGCATATTCAAAGTTCCATCCACAAGTTGAATTCCCTGTGTGGTTTCTCAAGCTAACATTTTTCCCATGGTAGGCACATCCCAAGAATCCTCTGCAACAACCTCTGAAGCAGCTGTCAGCAACACCCCTGGGACAGGAAGCACTGGAGCCCCAGGTTCCAGTAAGTCCACAGATGTGCCTGGTCACTCAGAGACTCCATTAGATGAAATACTGTATTAAGTGCTGAGCTGTGAAATGAAATTCTAACTGGGACAGAATGAGGATTAAAGGAAACCATGTGTACATGCCCTTTTCTGTAAACTCCCAACTATTCAGGGGTAACAGTGAGGACAATACACATGTTGGACACTGCCTGATTTTTTGTTTGCTTGTTTCTTTTTAGATTCTGCAAGGACCACCACTACTGGTTCAGAGGCCACAACCAAACCACCCACCTCTGTCACCACAGAACCAGGTAAGCAAATGGGATTCTTCAGTCAAATTCTTCTGGTTGTTATCCTCACTCCTTGGCACTCTACCATACTGAAGATGAAAAGTATTATGAGACTGGGGTGAAGAAACTCAACTGCTGACCAACAGCTGGTCTGTAACTGGGGAAGGGATGGATTATCTGATCTCTAATCAGCGAAAAATGTAAGGAATCCTTGTTTTAGGTAAATGATGATCAGAACTAGTTTTCCTAATACAGATCATACAGGGTCAGACATAAATGTTTTTTCACTCAGTGTTATTGATTTGTCATAGCTTTAGTCTTTTAAAATTTGCTTTCCTGTGTATCATATTGCTATTGGAAGAGGCAACTTCTATCCTGTTAAAGTTCTCATGGGCATTTTAGCGATAATCTTTTATGTGCTATACCATAGAGAAATGGAATATTAGTAAGTGTAATCAGAGCAGGTACCATTGGTGACACAAGTGACACATCTTTGAATTTAGGAAAAATCAGGAAGTGTGTGAAATGCCCCTTTCCATAGATGCTTACACAGACTGTTTCCTGCTTCATCTCAGCAAGTCTGCTGCACACAGGAAACAGTCATCTCAAAAGGGTCAAATGTTAGAGACAGCAAAGTCATCTAGGAAAATTCCAGCAAAACAACAAAGACCACACCAATAGCTATTATAAATGTGGCCATCTGGGACCATTTTATTTCAAAATTGTGATTAAACATGTAATGAAACTTTTTTAAATTTTTCTTTATTTAATCTCAATTTTTAATTTGTGTTACAAAAAAAGAGGCCTAGGGAATCTATTGAGCCTTGGGCAGCAGATCAGTACCCATCCCAAGTATACACACGGACTTTGGACTCCCATAGAACAATGTGAGGTGCACTCTCACCCCGAACTCTTGGGGAAGGGTCTAGGCCCTGCCCTATATGAAATGACAGACTATGCACACCCCCATGGAGGGCCTCACCCTCCCTGGGGAAATGAGGGGATAACGGGGGGGGAGGGCTCGGGAGGAAGGGAGGGAATGGGAGAGGGACCTGGAACTGACTTGTGAAGCAACCTTGTTTCTTATCTAAATTTAAACTGGAAAATAAAATTTAAAAAAAAAGAACAGAAAAGCAAAAAAAAAAAAAAAAAAAAAAAAAAAAAGACGGCGGTGCTCAAAGTGCCTGTCTTCTGCAGACAGGAATGTTTATAAACTATTGTTTTCTGTACATAGTTTGTGCAGCAGAGGTTTGTGGTAGAAAGCAAAACCTTAGACTGCTTTGGGTTGGTTTACAGCATGAGTGTAGACCAATGTGTACCAGGGTTGTGCGTTTTCTTTTTTCCACATCTGATAATATTAAACAATAGTATTTTCTTGCTGAGATGTTGACAATACTCAATGGGTATAGTATATCTGTCATTTTTATTGGGAGGTCTTCTAGACAGGGTTTCTCTGTGTACCTTTGGCACCTGTCTTGAAATTTGCTCTATACATCATTCTGGCCTTGAACTCTCAAAAATCCATCTGCTTCTGCATCCTGGGTCTTGGGATTAAAGGCATGTGCTGCCACCACCTGGCATATTAGCACAATCGCTACCTGGCACATTAACACAATTTTAAATGCAGGTTTCTTTTTAATTGGTGACAGCTGGTCCCACCAAATCCCCACCTAGTGGTGATGAAGGCAGCACACTCAGGCAGCACAGCTCTACAGTTAGCAGTCCACCATGGCTTGCACATTAGTACCTATGATGAGAAAGTATCACAGGAGAACCGTAGGAGATATTCTGGGAGTACAAAGGGTTGTAATTGTGCTGACCATTAGTAATATCACCAGAGAGGAATGAGCACATATTGAAACTCCGACTGCCAAAGTGAGAGCAATTGGGAGCCTGAACTTTTCAGCAGAGCAGGACCAAGAGTGTGAACATAACACCACCATTAGAGTGAGCACAGCAGCTCCTTAAGTGTAAACGTAACACACCACCATTAGTGTGAGAACAGCAGGAACATAAGTATAAACATAGCGTGACCATGAATGTGAGCACAGCAGGCCATGAGTGGGAATGTGAGGGTAAGGAAACATGACCAAGTAGAGCTTTGAATGAATTAATGGCTTAAAGGAACAATTAAATGTCCTGAAGATTGCTTTCTGTTTAATGACTAAGCAATGTTCATCCCGCAGGCACAAGTGGAGGGGGAGATACAGCTACTTTGGTAGTCACTGTGGGAAATGCATTTGGAAGAACATATCGTGAGACGCAGGGAAAGGTGATAGGCAAGCCAGAGACCTGAGACCTTACTGTCCAGATTCCATCAGTGACAAAATTTTTAAGGAGTTTTTCACTGTTTTGCCCTGTTGTGAGGCCAAGAAAGAATGAAAAGATACTTGTTGAGTTTTGAGTAGTCAATGTGATGCTGGCAGTGATAGAGGAAACATAGAAGAGATTTTAATCTTCCACCTTTGCTTCTGTTTGGGATGGGCGGATACTGTATTCACATAAGATATAAACACAAAAACACAAGTAGGAAAGAAGGATTTGTGGGGGATGTGTCAATGGCATCAGAGGCAAGATCACTCAATATTGAATGTTGAGAAATCAAAATGATTGCTATTTCTTGAAGGAAAAACATTAACAGAATAAATTCATAATGAGAAGAGCATATTTTACCAACATCTGGAGTCTCCCAACCCAGTTATGCTTGTGTATACTTATCATTTTTAAGAAAAAAGGTGTACAGGATTAATAGTTATTTCAGGAAAATGTAGAACTTTAAAGAACCTCAGTCTAACATTTATCCACTTAATCAACAAGGCTCACCTGGGCCATCATCTGGATTCAGCCCTGGTACAGCAAGTGTCAGCACTCCAGGAGAATCAAGCACTGGAGCCACAGTTTCAGGGGGGAGACAATGGGCTGGGGTGATGATCCAGCAGCTCCTTCCCATGGCCGGCCCAATGGAAGGCTCCTATGTCCTCCTAGGCTTTAACTGAATGATACTGCAGTGTTGAGAAGTGCTAGGGCAATCATAACTTTTCACTTTCATTTCCTCAATTTTTAAAGTAGTACCAGTAAACTAGAAAGATGACCAGGTCCTCAACTGCAAATGTGTTTTTCTTCCTAGGAACCATAAACACTGTTGGAGACTCCACCACTGTGAGTCCTGCAACATCGACTAGATCAGTCACAACCTCTGGTAAGAGCAGTGCACGTAAAGGAGAGAAAGAGATATGTCTGACTTGGGTGTGCATGGAGCCCGTTTTCTGTATGTGGTTATTGGGTCACAGTAGAAAGGAGTGGTAGGAAACTGATGCTGTAAGCAATACTGAATGAAAAGCCAAAATGACAGGGGTGCAATAGCTGGCATTGCTGTAGGTGGTCTGAGTGTGCATATGGCCACAGTGTTTCAGAATTCCTTACACTTTATAAGGCTTTGTCTATGGAAGTGAGACTGTAACTTCTATTAGAGTGTAGATAAAAGGTTAGCTAGTGATAGTTTTATAATATTAATGGAGGGACCTTAAGATCCAGTGAGATTTTGTCTGTGTTAGGGAGGGTTGTAAAGCGGTCAGTTTATTCCAGTGTGCAATCTCAGTTCAGAACCACTGAACTCACTTTATGGACATTAAATAGATAGATAAATTGCACAGTAAAATATATTCCATAAGTATTAGATCATACATAATTGATCTAAAAACGGTATCTATTTGATGATCAAATGTTGGAAATGCTGAGACGGAAATGAAGAAGTGAAAATGAATATATGGAGGAGATGTGAGATCAGAGAGCAGATTTGGCATGATTTGTTTTATAGAGATCCTAATATCTATTTCCTGTTTACTCTGAAAGGGACCACTGCACCATCAGCTGGTGAAACAACTACAGCCTCTAACAGTCAATCAACCCAGCCTGGAGAACAACCAGGTAAGCAGGTGGTGTGCATTATGTGGAGTCATTACCCTGTTTCTCACTTAAAGCCCAGAAGCTGCATAAAATATATGGATATCTGGTTGACCCAATCCCAGATCCTTAACCGTGTTGGTGTAAAAACAGTGCTGGGAGAGAAAACTAACATATTTGGGACTATCATAGTAGAAAATAGCTTAGGAAACTCCAAGCTGACATTTACGGCATTCACCTATTATATTTTCTGTTGGAGGAATAAAATGAAAATTAGGGGCCCCACCACTGGTAACCAAGTTCATCCAAACTTTTAATGAGAAGTTCTTTGGGTGCTTTCCCAGGCTCTGCTGGAACACCAGCTGCTCTTACCTCCTCAGCAGGGAATGCAGGCACCACAGCAACCGTGCACTCCAGCTTCACCAGTTCTGGGACCACAGAAGGTAAACTAATTTTTTGCATGAGAATTCTGGCCCAAGCCTGTTTGTTACATGTGAAAGCTGAACATCCTTTTTTTTTCTGATGTGGAATGCCAGGATTAGTTATTCCTCATTTGATTGAAATGTAATATCTTTAATCTTTCATAGTTGTTCTAATGTATCATGTTATCATTTTTGCACATTCTTCCTTGAGTGTTGGAATTGCTCATGTAGATTGTATAGCAAATTATATTTTCTGCACCTTGTTAGAGACAAGTCTAGAATCCTCAGATATAGTGATAGCAAAGGAAAGGAAAAGTAAATACCAATGATTTAGCATTTAGAGAAAGACTGTCAATGCTAAAAATGTACTAGTAAAATATTGACCTACCTACTTGACACTTCAGGGTTCCCTTATTAACCTCTCACTAGGACCATATAAACTAGTCAACATTAATTGATAGGTGATGTTATTTCTGTGACTTTAGATATTAGTACATATAAAAGTACAAAAGCAACATTAGAATTCACATTCTGAATGCTCCCACTTTCTGTGATCTGTGGGTAAAATTCGACCAAGAAAAGAAAATGTGCTCATTCTAAGGAAATTGTACTATAATCTCCTTAGACCAATGAAAAAATAATGTGAACTATCCAAACACTTCACTTGAAATATATGACTGAGACACTTTGCAGCATAATATAAATCAATTAAAAATGGTGAAAACTAGAATGCACATAGGGTCTTAGGGTTGCAATTGCTGTGATGAAACACCATGACCAATGCCATTTATAAATGGAAGCATTTAAATTGGGACCTGCTTACAGTTTCAGATGTAGAGGCTATCATCATCATAGCAGAAAGCATGGTGGCAGACATGTAGTCATAGTACTGGGGCAGATGCTGAAGGCTTACCACCTGCTCTGTAGGAAAAGGGTAGAGAAAGAATGAAATTCTGCCTGGCAGTTGATTTAGATGGCATAAATTCAAACCCAGTCACATATCTCTTCAAGAAATCATACTTCTCCAAACAAGGCAAATATCTGCCAACAAAGCCATATCTCATAATACTCCCAAAACAGTTCTATAAAGAGTGGAACAAGCATTAAAATAGATGAACATATGAGGACCATTCTCCTTCAAATTATCACACATAGGAACACAATTCAAGGGAATTATTAATCCAGCATCCTTTCAGGGATTGTAATTTTAAGTTGTTAGCCATGAAACTACATTTCTTAATTCTGAGTCAGAGATACTAGAGCCTTAAGAATAAATCAGTCCAGTGTGCCCTTTGATTATCAGGCCATTTCAGTGGAGAGAAGTGGGAGAGGCAAACTTGGGTCCTCAACTGATAGGGATCCCACCCTGTTTCGTACAGATGTGATGTACTGAGGTGTAAAACAGAGATCCCGCACCAGGGAAAACATAACATGACACAGTAGACTGTGGTTGTTTTGTTGAAAAAAGTCATTGTTTGGACTTGAGTTTCCTATAAATATTTTCATTTCTCTTTACATTGGCAGCAATTTGGAAATAGAAATACATGATAGCTTGAGAATGGTATTTTACTACTTGGCATACAGATTTAAGGAGAGAAGCAGCTGTTAGATTCTTAAATTACTTGTGAATGTTGCCTTAACAAGATCAGGGACCTGGTGTATGTCCATGAATCACATCTAATCAACAAGATCAAAAAGGGCAGATAGAGAATATCTAAGCAATGTGAATTATTTCATTTCTGTCTAAGGCATTTTCAATTGCAATTTTCCCATTATTAGGCAAAAGCAGTTCCACTGTGTCAGGGTCTACTCAAGGACAAGGCAGCACACTCAGGGAACAAAGCACTGCATCTACAAGCCCAGGAACCCCAGGTAATTCCAACATGCTCGTCAGTGCCTTCTATGTGCCCAACCAGGAAAGCATGACTCCTCTGGTGAACCTGGTGCAGAGGCAGGGCATTGAAGGTTTGATTGCCTTTCCCAGAATCCATTTAAAGGCAGCAACACATTAGAATCACTGCTCTTGTATGCCAGGTTCAACAGGGGCATCTGTGGGAACCAGCTTGGGAGCAGGCAAAGGAGGTTCACCTACACGTCCAGGCACTGGGACTTCCAGCCCTGTTATTACATCAGATCAGACAAAGCCTCTTTAAGGGCTGTGGAGAGCATAGAACAGGGTCTGGGTTTGGGACAGAGAGAGGACCAAAACCACTGCAGAATCTAAACACGAGTATGGAATGGTAACCTGTGTTTAAATAATAGCATAGCTTTATCTGCATGTTAACCTCCATTCTCCTTCCCATAGCAACAAGAGCAGGAACAGATGCAGCCACCACTGCAGCTCCTGGAACGAGCACATCTGGAGGAACAGGTACTGTGAGAGCTCAGCAAAGGGACATCCAGCAGTAGACCTGTCATCTTAAGTAGTGCTTGGAATTTCATCACAGACAGTTCCCAGGGAAATATGACCATTGTTCATGTGGTGTCAAGTATCCAAGTGATCAACAATGTACACAAAATCATTGTTGCTCATCTTAAAAGCTGGTCAGATTTCAATTTGGCAAAGGAAGGAACATGTATGCATGCATGCCTCACTCAACTACAACCTGGAAAGAGAAAAACTATCCCAGAAACACGGTGGTGTATGCTGCTAAACTCACCATGTGAAAATTGTTGTAGAAAGATAAGCAAAAGGCATTTATAGTTGAAACTTGAATTTTGTGTGTAGAAGCATTTTATTTCTGGCACATCCATTGTTAGTTTAGTAGAACACCAAGGCTACCTGGTATGCTTCCTTTATCTTGAAAAGTTGCTCTCCATGTAGTGATTGCTGGAGTATTTATTGGTATGTTTTTATGTAGCCTATGAGACATTTATAGCCATTTTAGGTGTGAAATCAATGTTATTTCAAGTTATATCCACGAGATGAATTCCTTGTGTGGTTTCACAAGCTAATGTTTTTCCATGTTAGGCACACCCCAAGCATCCTCTGCAACAAGCTCTGTCAGCAGCAGCCCTGTGACAGGAAGCACTGGAGCTCCAGGTTCCGGTAAGTTCACAGATGTGCCTGGTCACTCAGACTCCATTACATGAAATGTTATAGAAAGTTCTGAGTTAATAAATGAGGTCCTACCTGGGACAGAATGAGGATTAAAAGACATAATGTGTATATGATCAGGTTAAGAGTGAGGATAAAGTACATTTTGGGCACCACCTAATTTTTGTTTGTTTGTTTTTAGATTCTGCAAGGACCACTACTGCTGGTTCAGTGGCCACAACTAAACCATCCACCTCTGCCAGCACAGAACCAAGTAAGCAAATTGGAGAACTGACTGAGTCTTCAGGTGTCATCATTTCTCAGGACTCTACCATGCTGTAGGATAAAAATGACTATAACAGACTGGGGTGAAGAAGCTCAACTGCTGATCTATAGGTGGTCAGTAATTGGGGGAGGGATGGATTAGATGGTCTCTAATCAGAGGAAAATGCAAAGAATCCTGATCCTGCCAATTACTTTTTTCAGGTAAATGATGATCAGAATTCTAGTTTTTGTAACACAGGATCTGACATAGCTGGTTCCTCCCTCAATGTCATTTATTTGTTAAATTTTAGTGTTTTAAAATGTTTCATGTGTATTATATAGGTATTGGAAAATCCAACTGATAACCTGTTTGTTAAAGTTTTCCAGCATTTTTAGCAATAGATAATTTTTATGTGCCGTATCATAGAGATATGGAATATTAGAAAGTCTTATCAGAGCAGGTACCAATGATGAAAGAAATGACACAGTCTATATTCAAGAAGAAAGTATGAAATGTGTGAAATGCCCCTTTGCATAGATGCTGTCACAGACAGTTCTTGTTTAATCTCAACAAGTCTAATTACCATAGTAAAGAATCAGCTGAAAAATATCTAGTATCAGAGACACCTATATAATGTATGATTCCAGAAAAACAAAGTTGTTGCATGCACCCTTAGCACCAGCACATAAGACATAAGCACAAAAGGAATTAGGGGGGCTCTGACAATGGCATTATAGACATGAGGATAGACATGATCACTCAATATTGAAATTTGAGAAATAAAAATGATTGCTATTTTGTATATGAAAAACATTAACAGAATAAATTTAAAATAGGAATAGTATATTTTACCAACATCTGGAGTCCCTCCACTCCAGTTATTTTTATGTGTAAACATCATTTTTTAAGAAAAAAAGCAAACAAGTTTAATAGTCTTTTCTGGGTAATTTATAATTTCAAAGAACCTCAGTTTAACATTTGTCCCCTTAATCACCTTAAGGCTCACCTGAGCCATCATCTGGATCCAGCCCTAGTACAGCAGGTGTCAGCACTCCTGGAGAATCAAGCCCTGGAGCCACAGTTTCAGGTGGGAGACAATAGGCTGGGGTGATGATGCAACAGCTCTCTCCCATGGCTGGCCCAATGGAGAGCTCCCTTGTCCTCCTAGGCTTTAACTGAATGATACTGCAGTGCTGAGAAGTGCTAGGGCAATCATAACTTTCCACTTTCATTTCCTCAATGTTTAAAATAGTCTCAGTAAACTAGAAAAATGACCAGGTCCTCAACTGCAAATTTGTTTTTCTTTCTAGGAACCATAAATCCTATTGGAGACTCCACCACTGTGAGTCCTGCAGCATCAACTAGATCAGTCACAACCTCTGGTAGGAGCAGTACAGGTAAAGGAGAGAAAGAGAGAGATGTCTGACTTGGGTGTGCATGGAGCCCATTTTCTGTATGTGGTTATTGGTTCACAATAGAAAATGGCAGTAGGAACTTGATGCTATAAGGGATACTGAATTAAAAGTCAAAATGACAGGGGTTGGATATGTCATTTTACTGTAGTTGGCCTGAGTATGCATATGGCCACAGAGTGTTGGAATTCCTTATACCTCATAAGGCTTTGGTTATTGAAGTGGGAATATGACTTCTAATGGAGCTTAGATAGAATAAACACTAGAGATAATTTTGTAATATTAATGGATTGACTTTCAGAACCATTTAGTTGTATCTGTGGTAGAAAGAGTTGTAAAGGGGTCAGGTTATTCCAGCATGCAACCTGACTTCAGAAACACTGAGCACAGCTAAGGAACATAAAATACATAAATAAATGGCAAGCTAAAATGCATCCAGGAAATTTTGAATCGTATACAATTAATCTAAAAACTGTATATATTTATGATCAAATGTTGGACATGCTGAGATGAAACTGAGGAAATGAATAGGAATACTTGAAGGATATGTGAAATCAGAGAGGAGACTTAGCATGATGTGGTTTATCAGAGGTTCTAATATCCGTTTCCTGTTTACTCTGAAAGGGACCACTCCACCATCAGCTGGTGAAACAACTACAGCCTCTAGCAGTCCAACAACCCAGCCTGGAGAACAACCAGGTGAGCAGGTGGTGAACAGAAGAGTGGAGTCATCACCCTGTTTCTCACTTAAAGCACAGTAGCTGCATAAATGTATGGACATCTGGTTGACCCAATCCCAGATCCTTAACTGTGTCTGTGTAATAACAGTGCCAGAAGAGAACACGAACATTTTTAGACTATCGTAGTAGAATAAAATTTAGAGGACTGCAGAATAACATTTACTACATTCACCCATTATATTTTCTGTAGGAGGAATAAAATGAAAAGTAGGGGCCCCACCCTTAGTAAATAAGTTCATCCAAACTTTTAATGAGAAATTGCTTCGGTGTTTTCTCAGGCTCTGCTGGAACACCAGTTGCTCTCACCTCAGTGGGAACTGCAGGCACCACAACACCCCTGCACTCCAGTCACACCAGTTCTGGGACCACAGAAGGTAAACTAGTTGTGAATGAGAATCCTGACCACGCCTGTTATACCTGAATGCTGAACTGACATATTTTTCTGATATACAATAGCAGGCTTAGTTATTCCTTGTATTTATTGAATTATAACATCTTGAATCTTTCACAGATATATTAATGTATCAACCTTCCTTGAGTGTTGGAAATAAATGCTCGTGCAGATAGTGTAGCTACTTATGTTTTCTGCACCTTATTAGAGACACAACTCTAGAATCTTCAGATGTAGTGACAGCAATAGCCAACAGAAAAGAAAATATTAGTAAGACAACATTTACATATAGAATACAATCCAAGTAAATAAGAATATGATAAAAATATGTTATTAAATTAATGACGTACCTACCTAACACTTCAGATGTTCCCTATTAACCTTACACCAGGACCTCGTAAGTTATTGAACATTAATAGATAAGTGATGTCTTTTTGAAATATTAGTAGATATAAAATGTAAAAGCAGAATTAGAGATCACATTCTGAATCCTACCCCATTTTGTGATCTGAGGGTAAAAGCTTAAACCAAGAAAAGAGAATGTATTCATTCTCAAGAACCTGGACTTTCCAGAGTCTTGACTTGAAATATATGACTGAGACACTTTGCAGAATAATATAAATTAATAATTTTTGAAAAATAGAATGTACACAGAGAGTCTTAGGGTAACTATTTCAGTGATGAAACAGCATGACCAAGATATATTATAAAGTGAACATTTAATTTGGAGCCTGCTTACAGCCTCAGATGTCTAGTCTATGATCATCATACCAGAAAACATGGTAGCAGACATGCAGTCATGGTTCTGGAGCAGTAGCTGAAGACTTACCTCCTTCTCTGTAGCTAGACAGTACAGAAAGAATTAAATTCTGACTGGTATGGGCTTTAGATAACTCAGAGCTCAACCAGTCACACATCTCTCCAATGGATCATACTTCTCCAAACAAGGCAAACATCCTCCAACAAAGCCATATCTCCTAATTTTTCCAAAACAGTTCCATAAAGAGGGGAACAAGCATTCAAATACATGAGCATGTGAGGATCATTCTCATTCAAAGTGTCACACACAGGAACACACTTCAAGAGAATCAGTATTCCAGCATCTTTAAGAGATTAAAATTTTAAAGTAAAAGCCAAAAAACTACATTTTCTTAATTCTGAGTCAGAGATACTGGGGTCTCAAGAAGAAATCAGTCCGTGATGCCCTCAGATCATCAGATTTAATCAGTGGAGATGAGTGGGTGGGAGAGGCAGAGTTAGGTCCTCAGCTGATAGCAATCCCATACTGCTTCTGACAGGTGTGATGTGGGGGCTCAAGAAGAAATCAGTCTGTGATGCCCTCAGATCATCAGATTTAATCAGTGGAGATGAGTGAGGGAGGCAGAGTTAGGTCCTCCGCTTATAGCAATCCCATACTGCTTCTGACAGGTGTGATGTGCTAAGGTGTAAAACAGAGATTCTGCTACAGGGAAAACATCAGATGACATGGTGGAGTGTGGTGGTTCTATTGAAAAAAAAAAGACTCTGTTTGGACTTGAGTCTTCCTTAAATCTTTTTTCTTTTCTCTTAACCTTGACCACAATTGCAAAGAATAAATCTATAACAGCTTGAGAATGGTGCGTTAGTAATTGGTCCATGTGTTTAAGGAGACAAGCTGAAGATATATGCTTCGGTTTGACATGTGAATGTGGCCTTCACCAATTCGGTCACCTGGTGTATGTCCCTGAATCACATCCAATCAACAGGACCAAGAAGGCTAGATAGAAAGGACTTAACAATAGGAATTATTTTATTTGTGTCTAAGGCATTTTCAATCACAATTTTCTCATTATTAGGCAAAGCAAGTACAACTGTGTCAGTGTCCACTCAAGGAGAAAGCAGCACCCCCAGGGAACAAGGCACTGCAGCTACAAGCCCAGGAACCCCAGGTAACTCCAATCATACACTTCAGTGCCTTCAATGTGACCAACCAGAAAAGCATGGCTGCTGTCGTGAATTTGGTTTAAAGGCGGGTCATTGGATGTTTGATTGCATTTCCCAGAATTCCCTTCAAAGCAGTAACATATTAGAGTTACTGGTCTTGTTTGCCAGCTTCAACAGGGGCATCTGTGGGAACCACCTCAGGAGCAGACAAGGGAAGTTCACCCGGAACACCAGGCACTGCGGCCACCACCTCTGTTACACCATCAGGTCAGACAGGGCATCTTCAGGGTCTAAGAATGGGTCACAAACATTGCCAAAAGCAGCCTAGATGTTAATGGCATTTGTAATTTTATTAAATGTATTCAAGGACTTTTTTCTTAAAGTGTGTCACTATTAAACCTCATTCTTCTCCACATAGGAACCAAAAAAAAAGGAGATAAAGACAGCAGTGAATCTTCTGAGGAAAACACATCTAAGGAAAAAGGTAATCGGGGTGTTTGGCAGAGGGGCATCAAGCAGGTGACTTTGGGCAGGGTGTTCAAAATTAATTCAGTGTTCCTCTTTCCTGGAAAGTTCAGTTTTCCATTTGTTGCCCATTGACCCTAGAGATAGGATAGAAAAACGATATGTTTACTATATTCTTAATACTTTGTGTGATGTGGTATGTGATACAGAGACTGAAGAGATGGTGTTAATTACACCACTCTCCCTCTCTTGGTAAAGGTCTGCAATTATATTGAAAATTAAAAACAAAAGAAGAAATAGAACAGGGAGGAATGGCGAGAGTGTGTGAATGGTGTTTTGGGAGTGAAGAGGGACAAGATCATTCAGTGTTGAATATTGAGTGATCTACCCAGATGTTAGAGAAGGAAGAATATCCTAATGGACAGAGTGCATCATCATATTTTAAGTAATGGAGAATAAGAGTCTCATTCCCCCAGGAATGTTTGTAGGCATATTTGTCCACTTTTTGTTTGTTTTGTTTTTAATGAGGAAGCAAGAATAAATGTTACCACTTTCAGAAAGTATCTAATTTTGCATTATTTTGGGCTGACTTTTACCCTACTAATCAGTGTCAGGCTCAACCAGGGCACCATTTGTGTCAAATGATGAAGAAACAGGTGTCAGCACTTCTGGAGAAAGACACTGGAGCCACAGGTTCTTGTGAGATTTGATTATCTGCATTGGCAATATAGCAGCTCCAAGCCATCCTTTCCAAACAATGTACTCATTTTACAAACTGGCTCAATCTGGATTAGAGTGCACAGCTTAAGGAGATCTTAAAGGACAATGATTGTCCATTGGTTCAATTTAATTTGTAAAATATTTACGGTATGGAAGGAGGAATATGAAGATGCTCAAAACTGTCAACCTGTTCTTGGTTGCAGGAACAATAAGCATGATAGTAAACTCCACCAATCCAGTTCATGGAACACCAGCTATAAAAGGCACCACATCTATTAGCAGCAGTCTGAGAACGTTAGAGGAAAGAGAGAGATGTCCAAATGAAATGTGTGCACACAGCTATTTTTTCTGTGTGTGGAGTTTGTTTTAGGAAGGGAAGAAATGGCTATGGATCAGATCTATTCCTCCTACTCGATAATCACAAGCAGTGAGAGTCTGTGGGTATTTGAGGAGGCTGTGAGCTGCTTTCAGTGTGCTTATGGCCGCAGTGACTTGAGGACACTTTACCACTTGTGAGGAGGTGGAATATAAGATGAGGGTTGGGTGTGCGATGATACTTGGATGAGCAAATCCACTAGAGATAATTTTGACAATTAATGGGGGCCCCCTCCACACAGTCATTGAATATGGACCTTCATCAAAAGTAATTTTAATGACCTTTATTTATTCTTTTTAGTGTGACTCTGTATGGGCATGTGTGTTTCTGTTAGGGAATGTGTCCAGTGAATCCAGATATTTGGAATTCTCCTGTAACTAGAATTAGAAATGATTGTGACCCATCTTACAGGGGTTGTGGGTACCAAAAAGGTCTTCGGAAAGAGTAGGATGTATTCTAAGGTAACTTAACATCTCTCCAGTCCCAATAAGTGTTTTAACTTATATTTTAAAAAAATATTTATCAAACTTTGAGAGTTTCTTACAACATATTTGAACTCCTTCCTTATCTGTCACTCTTTCACTACTAACTTACCTTTTGCAGTCTTTGTTTTTTTAAATCAAAGGTCCCTGCCTGTGCATTTTTGCTGTTTCTTGATATGCTGAGACACGAAATATTGTGTATGCTCTTGGAAAGAAACATCTTTAATGAGGGGCTGTTATCTCTCTGTTGTCCATAGATTCATGCTGTATTCCCTTCTTTCATCTCACTCAAGGCATTTTACAGCATCAGTTTATGACAACATGGGGATGTAGATTAGTCTCTGGCATGTGAGTTTGAGTGCGACTTGAGGAGGATGCTTGAGTTTGGCTCTTGGATGTGTTGTACATTAGTAAAAGTGACCTTCATTAGGTCACTGAATTATATGTAATCAACACAAATAATTTGACTGATAAATGGGTTTTTTGCCAATATAAGTAAGATTATTTGTTTAATGCATTTATAATTGTTATTTCTTCCTCAATTGTTATAAAAGGTCCCTCTAGGCCTATATCCAGTGATGAGGAAGGCAGCACATCTGAGAAACTAGGACCTGCACCTACAAGCCCACGAATCTCCGGTAATTCCCAACATGGACCTGAGTATCCATGAAGATACAAGTGGCATGGCCTTGTAATTTGTAAACAGCAGGAAGTGTGTGAAATGCCCCTTTCCATAGATGCTTGAACAGATTATTTCCTGCTTCTGCAAGTCTACTGCACATGGTAGAGTCGGCTCAAAAATGGCCAAGTGCCAAAGACAGTGAAGTTATCTATGAAAATTCCAGATAAACAAGGATCATGTCAGTAGTGAATAAGGATATGGCCATTTGGGACAAGGTCATTCCAAAATTGTACTTAAACATAATCTGTGACATTTTCAAATTTTTTCATTATTTAATTTCATTTCTTAATTCATGTTATAAAGGCTGCCTTCAAAGCTTCAGTTCTCTGCAGACTGGAATGTTTACAAGACTATCATTTTGTTGCACACAGCTTGAGAACTTGAGGTTTGGGTAGAAGTTCAAGGCTTGAGTTTGGATCTTAGGCTTATAATAAATCAATGTGGCCCAGGTATTTTGCCATGAATGGTAAAATAGGATTTTCTGTTGTGGGTGTTGATGAGAATGTTCAATGGGTTGATAACATCTGGGATAATTTTAAATGCTACTTTCTTTTTAATTGGTAACAGCAAGCGCTACCACACCCACACCAAGAGGAGAAGAGGGCAGCACATCTGAAGGACATAGCCCTAGCGTTACCAGTTCAGAAGTGTCAGGTAGGCCCGGGCTGCACACCTGTGCCTATAATGGGGGGAGTGTCACAGTGGAACATAGGGGATATGATGGACATGCACAGATGCAATTGTGCCCACATTTCTTAACAGTCCATACAGGAATAAGAATATGTTGAAACCCCACTACCTAGTTAGTCAGAACCTAAGGTAGGGTAGGTAGGCACTTCAGGTCACGCATGTGAGCACAGCAGGACCCTGAGTGTGAGCACTATAGGACCATGGGTGTGAGTATACAAGGCCATGAGGAATTGACCATAGGAATTGACTGTGAATACAGTAGGGTGATGGGTTTGACTATGGCAGGACCAGGAGTGTAAAAACAGCAGAAGCATTAGCCTCTGCCACCCATATAAGCACAGCATAGTGTCCCCCTGTGTGGATCCAGGACAACTGTCTCCAGGACTTCGAGTGGGATATTGAGAGTTATGAATCAAAACATATGACTTAGAGACAATATTTATTAATTATTAGTTATTTATTAATAAGATAATTTATTGACAAATAGAATTTACAGAGTGACTTAATTAGGATTACTATTGCTGTCATGAAATGCCATGGCCAAGGCAACTTAAAAAATGAAACTTTAGTTGGGGCTTTGCTTACAGTTTCAGAGTGTTATTCTCATAGTACTGGAGCAATAGTTGAGACCATGTGCCCTACTCCTTAGGCAGAAGTTAGGGAAACTAGGTTGGGCCTCGTTTGGGCTTTTGAAACCAGAAACCCCAGTGGCCCACCTCCTCTCAGAAGGGCACATTTTCTTCAACAAAACCCTACTTCCAATCAAGGTCACATATCCTTCAACAAGGCCATATCTCCTAATTCTTCCAAAAAAGTTCTACTAACTGGGGAACAAACATTCAAATACATGAGTATCTGGGGACCATTCTCATTCAGACTATCACACATAGCAACACAGTTCAAATGACTAAGTCATTCAGCATCCTTTAAGGGTTGTATTTCTTTTCTTTCCCTTTCTTTCTTTCTTTCTTTCTTTCTCCCTCTCTCTTTCTCTCTTCCTTCCTTCCTTCCTTTTTTTGTTTTTTGTATGTTTGTTTGTTTTTCAAGATAGGATTCTCTGTGTAGCTCCAGTTGTCCTGGAACTTACTCTGTAGACCAGATTGACCTCGAATTCGCAGAGATCCGCCTGTCTCTGCTGCCTGAATGCTGGGATTAAAGGCATGCACCACCATACCTGGCAACTTATTGTGATTTCAAAATGATATCCATGAACCCACATTTCCTAATGTTTGAATCAGGTCACTAGGGCCTTCTGATAAACTCAATCACTTATGCCCTTTGTTTAACAGGCATTGTCAGTGGTGATGAGGGGGAGATGTGAAATTGGGTTCTAGTCTGAGAGCCATTACAAGGTACCTTTTACAGGAGTGAGGTACTAAGGCCTGAAACTGAGCTCATTCTCTTGGGAAAACATCCCGCTGACACAGTGGGGTAGTATTTCTCTGTTGAAAAAGGTTTGGGTTTTTATTAATTTTCTTTAATTTTTCTTTCTTATTTTCTTTGACCACAATTTCAAAGAGTAAATCCATCTCAGCTTGAATGGTTATATTGATCATTGGCTCATGTGTTTAAGGAGTGCAGCTGGATCTTGTTGCCTGAGTTTCATCTGTGAACATGTTCTTAACCAGTTCGGTGACCTGGCTTATGTCCCTGAATCACATCCAAATATATCTGAGGAGCCATAAGTGCAGTTAGATTGGATCTAAACAAAATGAATGATTTATTCATGTCTAGAGTTCCATTGCTATTGTCTCATTAGTAGGTGAAGGTGGTCCCTCTATGACAATGCTTTCTCAAGGAAAAGCCAGAACACCCAGGGAACAAGGCGTTGCAGCTACCACTCTAGGAATCTCAGGTAGTTCCAAATATGCACTGCAATATCATGAATATGTTCAATCAGGAAAACATGAAGGTTGTTGAGAATGTGAAAATGCAGAACATTGAAGTTTGACTACATTTTCCAGAATCATCTCAAAGCAGCAGCAGCACATGAGAATTCATTTCTCTTGTTAGCCAGATTTGACAGGGACATCTGTGGGAACCAGCTCAGGAGCAGGCAGGGGAAGCTCACCAGGCACAGGGACCTCCAACTCTGTTACGACATCAGGTCAGGCAAGGAGTTGGATGGTCCTTTCCCTGCTATGCCACCCCTTCATCTCTTCACCCCTTTTCTCCACATACCCCTTTATTTTGTTTTCTGCCCCTTTCTTTAGACCATTTCTTCCTAGTCTCATGGACCATTTTCTTCTTCCTGGCCTTTACTCACACTTCCTCCCATCTAGATACATTTATTTCAAAACTGGAGGCTGGGATCCACCCTTAAGAGAAGCGTGTTTGTCTTTCTGAGTCTAGGTTACTTCACTTTATACCCTTTCCTTGCATCCCTGTTCTGGCACATTTCATAATCCTTTGTGCCATATTTTTATTATCAGCTTCTCTGTTGATAGATATATCTAGGCTGATTCTATTTCCTTGCTGTTGTAAAAAGAGCAACATTACAGGGATATACAGATGCCATTGTAGTAGGATATACAGTCCTTTGGGTATCTGCCCAGAGCTCACTTTTAGATAAGGGGTGTTGTTAGTTGAAGTTAAAGAATAAATTTATCCTAATTGAGAAGTCCATATTACCAGTGTATGACAAGGATGGTCTATACACCTTAAGTAATGTCTCCACATACAGGAAAGCGCCACATAGTTTTAGGACTACATCCAATTTCAGAGACCTGTCAGGAAAGCAGAAGTGAAAGTAGACTCTAAACTTCGAATCTGTCTCTGCAAAGTGGAAAACAATAAAAATGATCCTGTTAGATAAGTATTAAAGCAGGGTGAGATGCACAGCAGTCTACTAAAGGACCACGCAGCCAAGTAGACACAAACCATTGCACGCATGTTCCCAGTATAATCAATAAAAGCCCTGAAGTGGGGGGGTCTTAGCAGAATCATTTGTTTAAAAACAGGACATACTAAGTTCCCCTCTGGAAAGAATACATGTAGATCAGTGTTCATTAATGAATCTGGGGAGAATCTTTCTTATTCTATCTCTTTTTTTTTATTTTATAAATGTTTTTGTTTTATTTTAGAAGCACTCTTGTTTACATATCAATCCCCCCATTCCCTCACTCTCCCATCCTCCCATGCTCCCCACCAGCCCCCAAACCACCCCCACCTACTCCCCAGGGATAGTAAGGCCCTCCACAGGGGGCCATCAAAGTCTGTCACATAATTTGGTGGAGGGCCTAGGTCCCGTTTCCTGTATCTGAGCTGCAATAGTATCCCTCCATAGGGAATGTGCTCCCAAAGTCCCTTTGTGCTCTAGGGGTAAACAGTGGTTCCACTTTTAGAGGTCCCACAGACTGCCCTGGCCTCCTTGCTTACACTCACATGTTTCTGCAGGTTTCTCCAGCACTGTCTTGGCTCCTTTGCTCATCCCCCCCTCCCTTTCCACAACTAAATTCCAAGAGTATGGCTCAGTGTTTGGCTATGGGTGCCTGTTTCTGTTTCGATCCGCTATTGTATGAAAGCTCTCACTCAGGTTGTTTTCTTCCAGTTCTATCCATTTGTCTGCGAATTTCAAGATTCCATTGTTGTTGTTTTTTTGCACCGAGTAGTACTCCATTGCGTAAATGTGCCACATTTTTTCCTTCCATTCTTCGGTTGAGGGACATCTAGGCTGCTTCCAGGTTCTGGCTATTACAAACAATGCTACTATGAACATAGTTGAGCATATGCCCTTGCTGTATGAATGTGCATTCTTTGGGTATATGCCCAGGAGAGGTATTGCTGGATCTTGAGATAGACTGATTCCCATTTTTCTGAGAAACCACCATACTTATTCCATTTATTAAATGTCATCTCTCTCTCTCTCTTTCTCTCTCTCTCTCTCTCTCTCTCTCTCTCTCTCTCTCTCTCTGTTTCAACATCTAATAAGCTACCTTAATGTTTCCTTATACTGGAAATACTTCTACCAAAAGTACAAAGGAATATAGTGACGGGATCTGCTTGATCCAGTATGTGTACCTGTGCCCAAAGAACAGCAGCAATGGGGTTTTATTTCCTGAAAAGTGGGACACTGGGAGACAGATAAACTAGAATACACAGGTATTTCTATCAGTCACAAAGAAGGACACATATTCCATACCTGGAGGATTTAGCCAGGACAGAAAAGATCACAGAGAGTGGAAAGGACCACCACCCCCCCCACCAGGAAACAGTACTAAGATTCCTCACAATGGAGGTGAGATACCAGCAAATGCATCAAAAGAGGGATGGATGGGGAGATCCCATCAGTGGCAGAACATCCAGCAGAGTTCCAAGCCCAAAGAAATCAGTCCCTTCCTGGAAGAAAAATGCAAGGAGAGTAACAGATCAGCATGGGAGAGCATTCGTGGAGTTGGAAGAATGAGGGTTAGAGGGTGCATAGAAAAATCACAGAGCATCTAGAGAGACCTTATCTAGAGCAGAGGGAGGCATTTGGAATGTGGATGAATCCCTGTGTGGCCTGAGTATCAAAGGAAATAATGAAGCATGGGAAGACAAGGTTGTATTCTTGTAGGATAGCAGCTAACAGAAGTCAGATGAAAGAAAAGCCCCACTTATATATATAAAAAATTCCTTTTCTATAAGACATAAGAGGGAGTCCTTGATCTGGGAAACATGGGACATATGGGAAGCCTATCTGTTGCTACATATATCTCCTGCTACAGAAACCCAATCCAGAAAAAGGGAAAAGAGAACTCCAGTGTCTGCACGTAATCTTTGTGCAGATTTTCCTTTGTGTAAATTAAAACTTTCGACAAAATAGCAAGGAAGTTAAGAGAAAAAAAGATCATGAAACAATACAAAGATGCTACGTTATCAGTGATTTTACATAAAAAATAAAAAAAGATACACAGACATATAAAACATGAATGTGGAAACTTGCAGTAAAAATATATGAATAGCAGAATACCAAAGAGCAATTGGCAAAAAGTAATGAAGCAGATCAGAGAGAAATAAAAACTCTTTCAAACACGAAAGGTGAATAACAAGTCACCCTACAAGGAAGAAAAAAGACTAGTGATATAGAAAGAATACTTGGGGGAGGGGATGGGACTGAGTGAGAAGAGGCCTGCCACCCAAACATTGCAGACAGTTACTTTAATTTTTTTCAGACAATGTCTCATACACATAACAATAATTAATGAAAAAAGAAGTCATGAATTTGAATGAGCAGGAAGGGTTGTGTGGGAACATTTGAAGGGAGAAAAAGGAAGAGAGAGATGATATAATTATGATATCAAAAATAAAAGAAAAATATGTTGATATATGACAGACAAATAAAAAAGGTGAAAATTAGATAGGCATTGCTAGGTAACAGGCAGGAAGTAGCCAGATGAATCATTAGGGGTTCACGAATGAAACGTCGCTGAGGGTGAAAAATGAGCCATTAGGAAGAAGATGCTTGATTAGTTCTATTAATTAATTGAAGGCATTCTCAAGATTAGGAAGCACAGTGATAAAATTCATTACAGAAATTGGTCTGAGAGAAAGAGACAACAGTTTTCCCCAGAGAGGCCAAAAAGGCATTGGGGCTACCATTGTCTCACAAAGAAAGAATACCAATGACAGGAGGAATGAATGAGTTTTTCCTTAAAATTATGTGGATTCCTCAGCCATCAACTCAATATCTTAGTACAGAATCACCAGGCGCATTCTCTGAATGCAAGCAGGGAGATGACAATGACAGGCACTGGCATACAACTATTCAATAATTTTACAGCTAGTAAGAAAGTGGGCTTGATAGGAATTGGAAGCGGGGGGGGGTTGAAATAGAGGATAAAATTCATGTGCCCCCCCCAATGCAAATTCAGACTGAAATGTCACTTCTCACTTTTTGGATGGGCAGAAATCCAAATGTTTGACAACAGCACTGTTGACAGGTTGGGAAAGAAACAGGTGGTGCTTCGGGCCTGGCAGGTGGGCGCCCACCATGACACACCCCATGGAGGGCAGTCAGACAATTGGAACAAAACTCCAGTCATTTACCCTTCAGCCCAGAAGCCCTGAATTAGTGCTCTGTGATGCAGTACGAGATATCATACCCATACACTGCTCATGCTGGTGCTGCTTTTTCCCAGAAGTAGATCAGAAACAAAGCTTGCCTTCAGTAAAAGAAGACTGAAAGGGGTTAAATCTGCTGCGAAATTACACCATGCCACCATGGCAAAGAAAGGAGGAGGCACTCATGTAAAGATCTGTTTCCAAATCTGTTCAGGAAAAAGCAGAAGCAGAGCATACATGTATTCTACAGCGTTATTTTTAAAAGAGGGGTGGGTGTACATATGTTGTTCAAGGTTTGGTACTATAGCCTCATGTGTGCAAACGTGCTTATAGAAACCAGAAGATGGAGGAAAGAGAACAGGAGGCCCTAAATTCTCTTAGGCTTCCTTTAAGTTGCTTGTCATGACAGCTTCATCTTTTACACCTTCCTAAGTTGTCCCACAAGTTGAGAGTGTACTCGAGCCCCTTTGTAGCACAAACCCCAGACTTTCAGTGTTTCAAATAGCCGTGGAGTTTCTACTAAGAATTTGCATTTTAATAGGCTTAGACTCTTAGACACATTTAGAATTAAGGCTGGTTGTTTATGGTTAAGATTCATTATCATATACCATTGTGGAGCACAGAATACAGTCGGGACTTTGCTGAAGAGCACTGACCTGGTGGTTCGGTGCAATACTTCAGTTAAAATGAAGAAAATGTGGCTTAGGTGGCAAAGCTGGTCACAGGAATGTCCTGAGTTCACAGCCTATTTTATCTGAGCACCATATACTTTAATCTTCTCTCTCTTCTTTTAGCAGGGTCAACGGGAGTCTCAGCCAAGTCAAGTGTAGCAACTGGAAGAACCACCAGCCTGCCACACCGTGAGTAGTGTGCTTTGGGACTCAGGAGAGGGGCAAATAATCACAGCGCTCTAATCATTCCAATTCTGATTAATTGTATTTATCACAAGCAAATCATCGAAGTGTTTGGAAAGGGGCAGTAAACAATGGGAACAGAAAAGAGGATTTGGTAATTGCCTTCATTTCCCAGAAACTGTAGAAGTTGATTTAATCCCAGCTGTTTTGAATGTTGTTCAGTTGGGACAGATCAGTCTGTGAGAGCTACCAAGGGACATGACAGCACAGGTAGAGCTTTTGTAACTGAGGCTACCAGGTCAGGACACCCAACTGGTAGGCACAGCATAACAAGCTGTTCCAACAATGGCCAACCTAAAGAAAGACCTCAGGTCTGGGAGTATGTTTTGAAGGACCCAATTAGAAGAGAATGTTTGAGGTAAACTTAAAACTCTTAAAATTAAATATTTACTCTCACTGTGAATTTTTGCTTACATAGCATTTGTAAAAAAAAAAGCAAATGTCTATGATTGAACCTTGTTATTTTCAAATTGGATCTAACTGGAACATTGGATTTGGCAAGACTTCAGCTTTTGGAGATGCTGTAATTGAAGCATTTTTTATATTTAAAATCTTGCCTACCTGTTGGAAATTGGAGATCTTGGATCACAATTTGATACAGCAAGGACTTTACAAATAATTCATTTATAAATTACCCAGACAACCAACTCAATTTTGGAAACAATATATTCATTGGGAAAATTCTATTGTAATAGTTACTGAAGAAATATATAAACCATGCAAGGTTATGGTTACCTCTTACTAAGGAGCACTTACATGATATAACATTTTGTTTGTAGAGCTGAGGAAATAGGTTAAAAATAAATGAACTGATTGGTTAATATATATGAACATAAGAAAAAACTTTCTAAAAAATGTAACTGATAGATTAATATCCACTTATCTTTGTTTTTACTAGATATATTGACTAGAACTTAATTGACAGAAAAAAGCATGAAAATAGTTTTTGGACAAAGCATTAGTAAATCATCTAAATCCAATTTAAAAAACAGATAATTATAATGTTTATACAATGTACAATATGCAAAAATATTTTCCAATGTATTAACTTGCTTGAATTTTCTATCCTGTGAAATTTTATCTATATTACTAAATATTATACTTAATTTACATAAAATGAGAGTACTTACTCCCAAAGCAGAATGATTGAGATAGGAGTCCAGGAGTGATGAGCTTGACTCCTCAACAACAAGACACCAATATTGTAGATATCTGTCTAAACTATAGAAAGATAATTTATCCTCTAGCTACCTTCCTTCCTTCCTTCCATCCTTCCATCCTTCCATCTTTCCATCTTTCTTTTCTTTCTCTCCCTCCTTCGCTCATACCTCTTCTTATTCTCTCCATCCCTCTCTCTCTTTTCTTATGAAAGTGATTCCAAAACCTAGATTAGTTTCTACTTTAGGTATGTGAATGCCTGGTGCATCTGCAATGATAAGGTAAATAAATTAATATGGACCTTCAATTTACTATAGGACAACAGCTTTATTTTGATATTATTCTGATACATGAATCAAAATATCAGTCTGTGAGAAACTAAAAAAAAGTACTATTGGAAGGACTATAAATGTGGGGAAAGAGTGGGATACTTATACTCAGTAGAATTCTACTGAAATTGTCTTGAGGTCTATGCACTGTAGTCTATGAATTACTGTTTCTGAAAACCCTAAGATTCTGTTATTGTCTGTTCCTTTAGTGACTGCCACATCTGGGCAATCACCTGAAGTGAAGGAGGCGTCCACACCTTCAGTAGGGAGCACAGTACGATCAGATCAAACTACCCTATCTTCTGGCACTACAACAACCACTGGACATCCATCAACTCATGTACTACGAACAAGTAGAGAAACTGTTAGGGAAACAGGAACAACTGTTGTGTCGTCTGGAGTTACAGAGAAAACTTCACAATCCCTTGAACAATCAGCAACCACTGGACCCTCAACAAAAGCACCAGAGACAACAAAGGTATCTATAACTGGCACTCAGGTAACTGGCACATCAACTAGAGGAACAGAGGCAAAGACAACCTCAGCTGGAAAAGCAATAGGAACTACACCAATACCTAGAGTGGCAGTGACATCTGGGCAAACACCTGGTACCACAGCAGCAACTAGTCCATCAGTTTCTGTGTCAGGAAATACACTAACAACTGGTAAACTGACTGTGACATCTGGCCAGACCACTAGGGTGACTGCCACATCTGGGCAATCACCTGAAGTGAATGCGGCATCCACACCTTTAGTAGGGAGCACAGTGCGATCTACTGTAGTTTCAGATCAAACTACCCTATCTTCTGGCACTACAACAACCACTGGACATCCGTCAACTCAAGTACTACGAACAAGTAGAGAAACTGTTAGGGAAACAGGAACAACTATTGTGTCGTCTGGAGTTACAGAGAAAACTTCACAATCCCTTAAACAATCAGCAACTACTGGACCCTCAACTAAAGCACCAGAGACAACAAAGGTATCTATAACTGGCACTCGGGCAACTGGCACATCAACTAGAGGAACAGAGGCAGAGACAACCTCATCTGGAAAAGCAATAGGAACTACACCAATACCCAGAGTGGCAGTGACATCTGGACAAACACCTGGTACCACAGCAGCAACTAGTCCATCAGTTTCTGTGTCAGGAAGTACACTAACAACTGGTAAACTGACTGTGACATCTGGCCAGACCACTAGGGTGACTGCCACATCTGGGCAATCACCTGAAGTGAAGGAGGCGTCCACACCTTCAGTAGGGAGCACAGTGCAATCTACTGTAGTTTCAGATCAAACTACAACAACCACTGGACATCCATCAACTCAAGTACTACAAACAAGTAGAGAAACTGTTAGGGAAACAGGAACAACTGTTGTGTCATCTGGAGTTACAGAGAAAACTTCACAATCCCTTAAACAATCAGCAACTACTGGACCCTCAACTAAAGCACCAGAGACAACAAAGATATCTATAACTGGCACTCAGGTAACTGGCACATCAACTAGAGGAACAGAGGCAAAGACAACCTCAGCTGGAAAAGCAATAGGAACTACACCAATACCCAGAGTGGCAGTGACATCTGGACAAACACCTGGTGCTACAGCAGCAACTAGTCCATCAGTTTCTGTGTCAGGAAGTACACTAACAACTGGTAAACTGACTGTGACATCTGGCCAGACCACTAGGGTGACTGCCACATCTGGGCAATCACCTGAAGTGAAGGAGGCGTCCACACCTTCAGTAGGGAGCACAGTGCGATCTACTGTAGTTTCAGATCAAACTACCCTATCTTCTAGCACTACAACAACCACTGGACATTCGTCAACTCATGTACTACTAACAAGTAGAGAAACTGTTAGGGGAACAGGAACAACTGTTGTATTGACTGGAATTACAGAGAGAACTTCACAATCCCTTGAACAATCAGCAACTACTGGACCCTCAACTAAAGCACAGGAGACATCAAAGGTTACTGTAACTGACACAAGTATATCTGACTTGTCAACAGGAGTAACCTTAAGAAATGTTTCATCCATTGGAGAGTCAGCTATAACTGTACCCTCTGCTGAAGTAATATTAACTACTAGGGTAACAGTTACTGGCTCGGAGACTGTCAGTTCACCAAGTGCAATTACAGGGACAACTGTGTCATATGATGGAAAATCATTTTCAACTGGATCAGTACCTGGAGTGTCCATTTCATCTGGGCAAACACCTGCAGCTACTGGTGTTTCTAGATCATCTTTAGGATCACCATCTATAAGCACAATTGGTGATTTGACCTCAACATTGGAACCATCACCTGGAGTGACTGTACCTTTGGAGCTTTCACCAGGAAGCATAATGGCATCCAGTTTATTTACTGAAGTTCCTGGAAGAACTGTACCACCTAATGAAGGAGCTACAAGCAGAGGAAATACTACTAGAGAAACAGAAACTGAGTCTACATCAAATGAAGGCAAGTGTGATTAGCTCAATGTAAATGTTTGCATGTGCTAAGGCAAGGCTTATACTGATTCCCTTTAGGGAATCGTAAAATGTTACAGTAATTAAATAAGACATTAAGTTTACCAAAGCAACCTTGTTCTAATGTGAATTTTCAGCCTTCGTGAAAAATTTCTTATCTTTCTCATACAAAAATAACTAATCCTGGTACAGGATAACGATGGGGGCAGGCACATGGGATCCCTAGGCTCTGATCATTTCTTCTGATAACAAAGCAATTAAGGTTCACCTGAAGGCTGTGCTGGTGATTCTTCGTAAGCATCTCTATGATCCAAGCTATGATAAAATTAAGTAATGTATCCAAGGACCTGTTTTTCTAGGAGAAATTTTTAGAGATTATCCATTTTATCAATGTATGGATTTGGGATACATGATAGAATGTTCACTGTTTTAACTAAAACCACATATGATATTACTTTTATTTTACCAAGAATAGAAAAATAACAACTCTTACAGATGATGGCATGACCGGATTGACCACACCTGAGAAGTCAGGAAAGGGAGAGTGAGGATATGACTCAGAGTGTCGCTTAGCATAAGATGGTCTGAAAGTCACTATATAATTAAAGAGCAGGTCAGAATTGTCTGGTATTTTGTGTTTTCTATCTTATTAGGTGATGTAGGGCTTTCCTACAAGAATGGGCAACTGTCTTCACAGATCTTAATCGAGAAATAAATTTTATAACAAAGCAGTGGAATCAGAGGTGTGTTCTATGGGACAACACAACAATTCAATTTCCAGCACTTACCTGATAGTTCATAACTGACTATAACTCAAATTTTAGGGAACCTGATACCGCTTCTTGCTTTTGCAGATAACAGGCACATACATAGTACACATATATGCACACAAGCAAAACTCATACAATCAAATTACAACGTCTCAGTATGTAGAGTGTCACACAATGGAGGCTTTAATGGATAGACTAGTATGGTTGGGGTGGTACACACTTTTAATCTCAGCACTTGGGAGACAGAGGCAGGTAGATCTCTATAAGTTTGAGGTCGGGCTGGTCTACAAAGTGACACGCACACACACATATGTACATACACACTCATATATACACAGCATATACACACACATACATACACTCACAAATATCACACACACTTACATATGCATACACACAAGGGGTAGGGAAGAGAGAATCTTAAAGTATGTGCCCAGCTTCCAAAACTTATAATCCAATACATAAAAAAATTATGAATTAAATTGTACACTTAAAAATATTTTACTTTTTTTAATTTTAGAACCATCAGAACAGCCTGCAGTAACAGGTAAGACAATATGAGATCATAAAATCACATTGGAAAAAATAGGTGTGTTAAAAATAGGTTGCATGATATGTCTCTATCAGATTGAAGTCTTTCTGGTCATGAACTTCAAGTTAGATTGTGATGTCTGTGCTTTTGTCTTCTCTCTCCTCGTGCCTTTCCAAGTCATAATAATGGTGTGTTGATGTCCTTCACATTTTACAGAGCTGGCTATGTTAAAGTTAACAAACAAACAGAAGTAACACAAAACATCTTTCTTATTATGAAAAAGCAAAACTATTGTTATCAAATATTAGTGCACCACCATGTTCTTCCAGTTAGTCTTAGGAGCTACATCTTCCACAGAAATCAGTGGCAGTACTGGAGCTAAATTCACGACAGGTGGGGATGAACAACCAGTGATGTGGGTGTAAGCGTGCGTGAACACTGGCTGCCATTCCTATGACTTTTCTAGACCCTTCCATTGACTGATCAGAAAGTGGATTTTCCTGAAGAATATTGCAGTTATCCAGAGACTGTGTATCTTAGGAAAAGAAATAAGAACATGTCATTAACATTTTAAAGAATCTACCAATAGACTCTCTGAACATAGAATGGATGATCTAATTGTTCTGCAGGATTTCTCCTGTACATAAAAACTACATTAAGATATTCATGAGATCTCTAGACTGAAAAGTAGAGACAACATAAATCAGCCTTAGAAACATTCCTATACACAGGTTTCTATGTCCCCAAAGCAATACTAATAATTAGTATTTTCTTGATATTTAAAATCCTCATCAAACCTACTAACACATTGTCTTCTACTTCTGGACAGTCAATAAGTTTATACCTGGAGGAAGTCACCTGCCCCTTCCATAGACTGCTAGGAATGTTGCCTGAGGTTCAGAAACTGATCCCTCCCATTGTTTTTGAACTGGGGTCATCAGTGTAGTACATCCACCATCATAGCAGGTGCCAGAGAAAATGGACTAAATAAGAATTTACAGACTTCTAGAGAGCAAGTCTTCCAGAGGCCAACAAGAAACACTGTGGTGATTCCTGTCCCTTCTGTGTTTCAGCCACCACTGGCCTTACCTTTGCCACAACTGTTGCCCCAAGCAGTTCCAGCACAGGTGAGTTAAGGATGTAATATGAGTATTCCATGTGCCTTCTTATCACTGCATACTTCCTCTGATTCATTGAGAGAGGGTCTCGGGGTGCTTTCTGTCATCCTGAAATATCTACCAATAATCCATTTCCTCTGTCATCCTCCCAGGGGTCACAACTTCCCTACAAGTAAATGAAACAGTAAAAAGTGAAGTAACCACAAGTGAGCACTAAGGGGTTTGGACCATCATTCCTAGTAATCCCTTCAAATCTTCTGAAAAATACCAATTTAATAAGCCCTACTGATAACAAAGTAATGGGGGAAAAGCAAAAAAAAAACCTTATACTGCCTCCTTTATCTCCCCAAGTTCATGGGGACTTCTGTCCATGGTTCTTAACGTATGGGTAGTGACCCCTTTGATGAACCCCCATCTCCAATTTACATTGTGACTCATAACAGTAGCAACATTGCAGTTATGAAGTAGCAATGAAAATAACTTTATGGTTGGGGATCACCATAACACAGGAATTGTATTAAATGGTCACAGCATTAGGAAGGTTGGGAACCTCTGCGTTAGTTGATCATGAAGCTAAACTAATGACAAATACATGATATGGGAAGAGATATCCTGCCCACATTCAAAGCAAAATGGTATTATGGTTGAGAACTGCCTCAGGAGACTTGATGCAGAATCATTGTTTGGGACAGCTTCTACCATAGCAGGTCTAAGCAGTGGCTTCACAGGGCTCGAATTCCTATTTGAATCAACTTCAAGGCACATAACTGAATTCATGAACACAATTGTGCTCTTGTTTTGGGGACCACTGGTGCAGTCTCCAGGGAAACTAAAGAACCAGTGAGGTCTAATACAGGCAGTTGTGGAAATACACTTCAGATGTGGACATTATATTTTTATAGCAGTACAGGGCATACTTTCCTAGACCACAGTTAGTAGTCATGTGGTTCTGAACTTCTTCTTTGCTGTTATCTGTCTGTTTAGAGGCAACAACTTAAGCGACAGGACCTCAGATGCTGGAGTGCACTAGATCAGCCCCCACAGCTAATTCCCTTCCCCTTCACTTTAAATATTCCCATATAATGAATTTAGGGAAACTTCCCCCAACCCATCTTTGAGTACAATTGCCTGAGTGATCACACATTACTCCATGTGAACTGTCCTTTCTATGTCTAGAGAAAATGGCATAACAGGAATCATGAATCATCTTTTAGTAGAAACAAGAAAGTTAACTCAGGAAACCCTTACATTTACCCTAAACACAAATCCTAATTTTAGGCTGGAGGGATTCATAAACTATTCTCTCCTTCTGTGATTTCAGTTACCAGAGGAGTGACCACTGGTCCAACTGGAGCTCCTGGGAGTTTCCACACTCAGGAGTAATGACAATGGTTGGGGAATTTGTCTCTGAACTGCAGAGGCTGCTGCCTCTCCTAGAAATAGTGGGCAGTAGAGTCACAGGGCTGCACATTTCCCAAATGTTCACAACCTGAGCTTTGCCCAACCTCTGCAGGGGCTACAGCTTCTGGAGAAGTCGGAGCATATGAAGGAGTTAGAACAACAACTATTCAGTGGCTTGCATTCTCAGCCTTTAGGGTGGTTTGTTACTCTGGTTCTCTAGTAGATGGCAGATGAGAGCAAAATGGACAGAAACAGGGTTCGGTGCTTCCTTTGACAAAACACACCGGATCTTTTTTGCTATGACACTTTCGTTTCATTTGGTACAATGTCAAGTGAAGCAAAATGGTCCTCTTCCTTTCAGCTGTTGCCTCTGCGTAGTTGCCTCTTAGACACGGTTTTGTTGCTGTCACCATCTTCACCATCTTGCCGTTTAGGTGTTACTTCTGGTTCAGCTGGAATTTCAAGAGACCTAGAGAATTCCAGTTCTGGGGAGCAGAGATGTTTAATTCGGTCATTACCATGGATTTTTTTTCTCATGATTATCCTGTAATTTTACTCCCTCAGGAGTCCCCACAGAAACACCAGGCAGCCAAAGCACAGGAGGGAAAACAGGTGAGTGTAGGAAAATCACCTCCTCCTGGAACGTTAAGCCATAGCAAAAGAATGAGAGTTTGTAGGAAAATGTATTTTTTTCTCTTTGGACACAAAGGCTCTTTTGTTGATCATAAGAAACAATGAATTTGTGCAACTCTGTCCTGTTCTTAGGAATAGGGGGAACACTACTATGGTTTCTCAGTCTGGAACTGAAGCACCAACAAATGAATGTTGGCTCTACCACCCTTCAGAGATCCCTATGGCTTTGTTCCTAAGGGGCTGAGTTGAGGGTTTCTGGGAAGGAAGTAGGCTAGAACGGGTTCAGGGAGAACAGGGAAACTTCCTTTTATGACTTGAAAGTCCTTTGAGAAAAAAAATGTTTTCAACTGATTCTTGGGAAGATTAGCATGTAGCTGAGAGCTCTATGTTATTTTCACATAGGGTCTCACCGTGTACCGTATGCTGGTCTCAGACTTCCTATCTCTGCCTTCTAACCTCTAGGATTCCATGCTGTGCCACTACACCTAACTGAGATTCCTGAGAGGAAGGTTATGAACAGTGCTGGTCCTGGAATAATCTATACTTCCTTCCTTTTGCAGATTCTTCTTCAGCTGAAGTCACAACCAGTGCCCACACACCCCAGCCAGGTAAAATAGAGAGATCCAATGGACTCAAATGAATAATAGGAAATTTATCTCTCCCACATTGGGTCTACCTTGCACATGAATCTGCCATCACTGAGATGAACACACACAGACCTGATATGGTCCTGGAATAATCTATACTTCCTTCCTTTTGCAGATTCCTCTTCAGCTGAAGTCACAACCAGTGCCCACACACCCCAGCCAGGTAAAATAGAGAGATCCAATGGGCTCAAATGAATAATAGGAAATTTATCTCTCCCACATTGGGTCTACCTTGCACATGAATCTACCATCACTGAGATGAACACACACACATACCTGATATGGATTCTTGCTATTGAGTAAAACATTTATAATATCATTTCCCCCACCTCCCTTGCTCTAGAAACCACTACAAGAACAACAGAAGGTCAAACCACTGAAAATAAAACAGGTCAGTATGAGACATCCTCCAGTTATTTCAGGGTCCAGTGGTGTTTCTTGTACTTAAAAAATGTGCTAGTGTACCATAAAGTAACCTCTGCAGAGGGGATAGATATTATAGGTACATATACGATTGCTATTGTTCATTTATTGATCAATGAAAATATATACAAAAGTTATGATTCCATGGAAGAGGAGGTTCCTCTTCCTCTCTGTCTTCTATAGTTGGTAGTCATGAGTGAAGACACAAGATTGAAGACAGGTGAATTTTATACTGACTAGGTGGTCAGCAAATTTCTAACAAACATGAACAGAGAGACATGAAGATGTGTGGGTGAGTTCAGGACTCACCAAGAAGCTGGCAATGCAAGTGTGAGGCTCAAGGAGGAAGATGAGGAAATACAGAAAAATTTATGAAAGATTTTAGTTCCAAATTCAAATATGACTCCATCCTTACAGCAAATGAGACCTCCTCCCCCCTTGGTTTTATCAAGAGGATGGCATGCTCAGAGGTCTGGAGGAAGTGACTCTAACAGCAGTGTGGAAATTAGATTATTCTGTTACATATATCCATCATATTTCTCTTCTATCACTGGGTTCTGTTATCAAAAATTAGGAGCTATCCCAGATTGTCTTAACACAAAGTTGGAGACATTTCATCTTCCAAATTTTCACATATTTTACTACTTTATCTTCAAGTTTTGTTAACAGTTGTTGGAGTTGCTTTGAGTAAATATGTAGAAATTGAAACTTTATTTTACTAATGGCCATCCTAGCTAGTTTGTGTTTCTTTGCTTTTGGTAGGGTAGGATAATGGTACAAATTTGACTTTCAGCAATTTTGAATTAGAATTTGAGTTTAGAATTTTGTAAATATGGCTGGCCCCTATCTGTGAAGTATAGAAACTTAAAGGTATACATGCATATTATCTGCTTAAAGCATTTGGGAGGATGGGACAAATTAAAGCATTTCAAGGGGCTGAAAAAAGGATAAATTCCTTAAAATCAAAACTATGTTATTATAATTATATTCCTGTATAGTAAAATTATCCCTTATTATTTCACTGGCCTATTCATCAGAGCTGTTTTCAAGAGAAATTTTTCTTTATCTTCTACTCTCAATACAGATTTCTGTTCCATTAAAACTTGAGGTCTAAAAGAAACATCCTACAATAGTAGGGTGTGAAATGCTCTAAACAGCACAGGAGGGAGATGGGTGATATATTTGTAAGCCTGACAATATAGACAATCATTTCAGTAATGTAGTAATGGATCAGGTAAATGTATTTTACCTAACACCGTGAGAGCATTCTAAAAATTCCAGAGCCTAACAGGTTTTCTGTTTTTACACAGTGTGTTCAAGCCTGCCACCACCAGCCCCAGGTGAGTGCACCCCACTGCAAAGGAATTCCGTGGTGATGGTTCTTCTTGTGAATCGGGTATCTGAAGTCCAGTATATGGATGGGCATGAATGCTATAGAATAAACTCAGTACACAAATCTGACTTTTACTTGCCAAATAATGTATAGGCTATTTTCTCCTTCACAAACAAATGTGGCCAAGCAATACATGCCGATTTGCCTGCTAGCTCTTTCATGAAATTATGTATCCCGGTAAGAGGTAGTTAATGTTACTGCTCTCATAACTGTGGGCATTTAATGAACTACATAATACAACTTTGGGGGTTTTGTTCTAGCTGAAAATTGCAAGTGTGCCTGAGTTTAATAATTTCTGAGAACTTTATTGAGTTCCCACTACTTACAAGATAATGTAATGCATTTTTGCAGTGAGTATTTAATAAAGAAAGTAATTTTGACCTCATTTAGTGGGGAAATGAAATTTAAAAAAAACACAGTTTTTGTAGAAGGCAGACAATAAAGTTTACAATAAGAAATAAATAGATGTGCTATGGAGGTTTTAGAATTGGAATTTGAAAGCAGTAAGTAGACGATTCTAGAGCCAATAAATGAAAAGGACTGAGCTGATTGAAGAAGAGGTGGCTTTAATATGGGAGACCTTGGAGACTAGAATAAAGCTTTTATTCATGTTTTAAAAAACTAATGTTTAAAATAAAAGCAATTAGATAATTAGGCATTAGGGAAATTAGCTGTGGTGCAGAGAACTGATTGGATCAGAAAGGAATCTATGCAGTTGAACTGCTGGGTTGATGACCATGAGGTGGGCTAACCAAGAACAAAGAAAGGAAAGGCTTAAAGTGAGGGCTAGAGAAACAAACTGCAATTAATGCACATGTCTCTTAAGTCTGATGTTTTAATAATTGGAAGAGTACTTTAACCTGAAAGAAAAAACTGTGCTCGAGGCAAGAAAACACAGTCTGTTTTGTGCACTTGTGTTGGAGTTTATTGAAAAGCTGTTGGGACATTATATAGTCATAGAGCTAGAGCTGGGGTTGGGAATTTAGCTCAGTCGTAGAATCCTTGCCTAGCAAGCACAAGGCCCTGGGTTTGATCCTCATCCTCAGATATGGAGAAGAAAAAAAGACAAAATAGCATAGAGATGGAGCTGTGTCCATGGCTTAAACGTGTCCATGGACTCAATCAAACAAGTTGGAAGTTGGAGAGTCTTCCACTTAGTGAACATCGTGGGGGAAAATCTTCCATTAAAAATACTAAAGACAAAATAAGAAGGGTGGGGAAAAGCTTCTAGTGTGGACCAGGTTTCCTGAATGTTAAATTTAAAGACAGGAGAACATTTTCCTGAATGTGTACGCTTATGTCACCTATGACAGGGAATTTAAATGATTGATTAAGGAAATTTGGGTCTTTGGATTTGCCAATGATAATGTCTTGGTACTTATTGCATTGTAGAGATAGAAAGCACTTTTGCAAGATAGTGAGCTGGATAGTGTACACACACACACACACACACACACACATACACAAACAAAAAACCATGTTTACATTTATATACGACACTTGTCTAAAAACAGGTGAGTCATTTATCCTCCTTCAGGCAAAATGTCTCCATAATATGACCTTTGAATTCCTTGTGTCAGTTATAATATGGGCCCCCTGCTGATTATTTATAGATATCAAGTGGTTGTAATTTGCAACATTCAACCAGCATTTATCACTTTCTGTTAACAGTGTGTCGTGGTCCACTGGGAGAAGAGAAATCTGTAAGTATAAAGGTCTACTTTAAACCTAAATTTTTTTCTGCCTCTTTGTGAAAAATGTCTAAACATGGTTTATATCTGTAGACTGGAGACATATGGACATCTAATTGCCACCAATGTACCTGTACTGAAGCAAGGGCTGTGGAATGCAAACCTAAAGAGTGTCCTTCTCCACCCACCTGCAAAACTGGAGAGAAGCTTAAGACATTCAAATCAAATGATTCCTGCTGTGAAATTGGCCACTGTGGTATGCATCTGTCATACATTATACAAACTGAATCTGTACATTACTTGTCTGTTGACACATTCAAGGGATTTTTTTTGTTTTGGGTTTTTTTCCAAGACAGGGTTTCTCTGTGGCTTTGGAACTAGCTCTTGTAGACCAGGCTAGTCTCTAACTCACAGAGATCCACCTGTCTGTGCCTCCTAAGTGCTGGGATTAAAGGTGTGTGCCACCACTGCCCGGGTTTTCAAGGGATGTTTTTGAGGTAATATGTCACACATGACATTAAGATATGGTCAATATAACAGAAATAGTACTTCTTAAAATTTATCATTGTTGTCATGAAGAAAAACCCAGAATTAAGAAATAGTAATGGCATCAATTGGTTAAAAGGCAATGATACTATTATAAGGAAACATAATTTGTTGATAACTATGCTCCCATCTACAAATTCTTTTTCATAATTTTTGATTTTGGTTTTTTTTTTGTTTTTGTTTTGTTTTGTCTTTTCGAGACAGGGTTTCTCTGTGTAGCTATGTAGACCAGGCTGGACTCCAACTCACAAAGATCCACTTGCCTCTGCCTCCCAAGTGCTGGTATTAAAGGTGTGAACCACCACTGCCTGACTTCTTCAAAAATATTAAAGAGATATATTACATTTATTTTTCAGAACCAAGAACGTGTTTATTTAACGATACTGATTATGAGGTAAATCTTTTTCTTCTCTCTTTTATTAATATAACCATATGAATAAATACAATGCTAAGCCACATCAGATGGTTTTCAGTGTATAATTTAAAAAAAGGTTTTAAGAACCCTTTGATAAGGACCAAGGATAAGTTCTTTTCCATATTCTCTACATAAAATGCAGCACTGGCAGTGCTCCTTCCAGAGGAAGCAGTCCTCTCTGTCAATCATTAACCAGCCAGCAGTCAATCTCAGAATGCAAGTGCCCCAGGGTCCCACCAGATGGAGAAGGCGTACTGTGCAAGTCAATGAACAGAGTTCAGCTGTAATTACAGCCAGAAAGATCAGATGGCCAAACTGCCAGCGATCAAACAAGAAAACTCAAGGGCTCTACCCACTTGGGGGATTAGCCTGGCAGGACTGGGTCTGGACTGCTGAGCTCACATTTGAGGCAGGGCTTAACTTCTAGAAAATGCTTTGTGAAACCACAGATGTTGGATGATTTCCGAACTGGTATTAACACACTCAGCTGGTGTTGTAAATACTTAAAGCTCAAACTAAAGTAAACGAGGCATAAGAAGAAAAAAATGTAACAAGATGCATGTAAAATTTACCTCGCTCTCATTTCTGCTGATCATCTCAACTTTTCATTTCCAAAATTGCTGTGACTCTAGAAACCACAAAACCTAATGGTTCAAGACAAAAAAAGGAAATTCCAATAATTTGCACGCAAAAGAACTGAAATCATAAAATTCCAGTTTAATAGAAAATTTATCTTATGGCCTAATGCCTTAAATCAGTAGTTCTGAACCTGTGGGTCACGATCCCTCTTAACTGGGGTTAGAGGGATATCCTGCATGTCAGATATTTACATTACAATTCATAATAGTAGCAAAATTACAGTTATGAAGTAGCAATGAAATAATCTTACAGTTGGGAGATCACCACACATGAGGAACTGTATTAAAGGATCATAGCATCAGGAAGGCTGAGAACCACTGTCCTAAATTAAAAATTGTTCCTCAGACTGTGGTTTGAACATTGGACAGAAATTAATTACAAAACAGTCCAAAGAGCTTTAACAGAAATAGTAGTAAGGTATCTTGGGAGGATGGCCATTAACTCTTCTTTAACGATTTATTTATTTTTATTTTATGTGTATAAGTGTTTTATGTTATGTGCATAAACATATGTGTTTAAATATAAGCTTTATATTTATTAGTGTAAGTCTACATGTATGAATGTGTACCACATGGGTTCTTGGTGCCCTTAGAAGGCAGTAGAGGACACTGGAATCCCTGGAACTGATGTATAGATGGTGAGTCACCATTTGGATACTGTGAGGCGAATCCTGGTCCCTGTAAAAGCAGCAAAAGCATGGCACATGTGTGAAGGTCAAGGACATCTTTTAGGCATCAATTCTCTCTACAGTTGATTTCTATGGTCCAACTCAAGCTTGCAGCAAGTACTTTACCTACTACAATATCTTACAGACCCATGAGTCTTAATTCCATAAACTTCATTTGTAACATTTTGTCATGTAAATGTCCTGTTTTCCTTGAAGCATAGAGCACAACAATTGATGAACTTCTTGCTTACCATAAAATAGCCTTTCTTGAAAAATATTCTTTTTTTTTTGGTTTTTACAAGACAGGGTTTCTCTGTATTGTTTTGGAGGCTGTCGGTCCAGCCCGGCCTCGAACTCACAGAGATCCGCCTGCCTCTGCCTCTCGAGTGCTGGGATTAAAGGTGTGCGCCACCACCGCCCGGCTTGAAAAATATTCTTAAATATATAACACAGTGACTATCATAAGCTTTATTTTGAAGATTGGGAATCTTGATACACTCTATGGAGAATTTTGATTTATTCACTGAAGTTGAAAAATCACCTCTCCTAATTGTTTACAACTGAAAGTGCCTCTTTACAGACACTAAAATCAGAACTTTCATCTTTTTTTGCCAGTTTTAATTGGTAAGTTAAATTATATTCAAAAGGAAATAACTCTTCTCTTCACCCCTATCCCCTTGCAGATTGGTGCATCCTTTGATGACCCTAGCAACCCATGTGTCTCCTACACCTGCAACAGCACTGGCTTGGTGGCTGTGGTTCAGGACTGCCCAAAGCAAACCTGGTGCGCAGAAGTAAGTAATTGTCCAAAAAAGGAAAACAAGGTCGCCACTCAAGTTAGACTCAAACCCTTTTCATCTTTCTGCTCCTTTGGGAAAGTAGGCCTTTGACCAAGAGATAAAAATCTGTCATCAAAGTTCCATCGATCTTTATACAAATTCATGTACCAAGAGTCAGATGATTCTAGAAATACCAGCTTTTATTGAGTATATTCATCATACCAAGAATGGGTTTTTATTTTTCCAGTTCCATAAAACTTAATTTAGTACTATTCTAAAAGTAGGTTATTACCAATATATTAGCTATTTACTTTTAATATTATATGAGTTTCTTTATTAAGATAGCAATATCATTCTAATGGCTGTTGTATACATTTTAAGATTATTCATTACAAATCTTTTTCCCATTTTTTAATTTCATTTTACATTCCAACCACAGTTCTTCCTCCTACCCCTCCTTCCACCCCTTTTGCCTCCTCCCACACCCTCCTCACCTCCCCCTATGTCTGCTTATTTTAGCTTATGTGTATGAGTGTTTTACCTGCATGTGTGTATGGGCACTATGTTCATGCCTGGTACCCTCAGAGGTCAGAAGAGTGTATTGATTCACTGGAAACGGAGTATGGACAGTCATGGGTTCTAGAAACTAAATCTGAGTCCTTTGTAAGAACTACAAATTCTCTGTCTCTCTCTTCATCTCTATGTGTATAAATTTGACTACATGAATATATCTATATATATGTATATGTATAGTAATTAGAGAATATGAGGTCATTGATTCAAAAGGGAGCTGGGGTAAGGGCATGAAAAGTATTTGATAATGCAATTAGACTTTAATAAATTTTAGTTTTTTTCTTAGAACAACAACAACAAATAAAGCAGCAACCACCCTAACCTATTGAGCCAAATCTATCTCTTTGGCCACAACCATCATTTCCATCAATTCCTTGCCTTCATATTTTAGTTTCTGTTGCTGTACTGAATACTAAAATATCAAAAATGACTTGAAGAGGAAAGGATTTATGCATTTAGCAGTTCTCATGTCACATGTCACTAGGGAAGTCAGGGCAGGAACCTGGAGACAGGAACTGATGCAGAGGCCAAGGAGGAGTGTTTCTTACTAGCTTGCTCTCCATGGCTTACCCACGCTGATTTCTTATAGAACCCAGGACCACCAGCCCAGGGTTGCCACTGCCCACAGTGAGTTGGCCCTTCTATGTTAACAATTAATCAAGAAAAATGACCCATAAGCTTTCCTATTGGCCAATCTAATCAGAACTTTTTTTAAAATGAGGTTGTCTCTCCTCAACTGGTTCTAACTGGTGCCAACAATACTCAATATGTGTTGGTTTTTATATTAGTTAATGCTTGATATTACATTACTTTTCTTTCTGAATTGGAATTTATAGCATATTTTGAAGCATCATTTTAGAATTCTAATATTGTATTTCAGTAGTGTATTTGGATTTCATCTTAAGAGCTAGGAAGTTTTGAATTTGAAACAAAGCTTAAGTGCAGATCTTGAGTAAAAGAAGCTGACAGCATCTGGTATTGTGTTAAAAGACTTTTCCTTTGAAGTAAGTGAAGCATAATTTGTTTTCATATTTGCATATTCTTTTTCCTTTTCTTCCTGTCATTGCAAAATCTTAGTCTTAAACATTCAATCTTATGTTTATTACCAAATTCAACTCCTTCTGCTCTTGCCTAGCCTCAGAGTTGACATTAGCACGCTCATCTCTTTCCATTTCCCCTTCCTGTTGCTACTTTAGTATATTAAGAAATGTCATATTTCATTCAATATCACATATTTCAATGTTTTTCCTACAGGGAGAGAGAACCTACGATTCAAAGAAATGTTGCTATACATGTAAGTAAACCTCTAAAAATAGAAAGTATCTAAATGGTTGGAAAAGTAGCATTTCATTAAGACAGAAGGTTTACCAGCTGTGTTAAAATACGGAAACCTGAGTTGTAATATATGCTGCCAATTAATATGCTTGCAAATAGTGTAAGAGTGTTATAATTTATTGATAGTAGAGGATTTTCTTTTAAAAATAATGAGCATTTATGTTTGCAAGTGAATTTGTCTTGATTCCTATGTTAAAACAAACAAACAAACAAAAAACTAGACTACCTTTCTGTCCTAACACTAGTGGTTTGTATTGTAAATCTGTGTACTAGAACACAAGGCTAAGTGATCAGCAATGAGAAAATGCTCTTCAGGAATGTCCCATCATCATCTCTGCTCTGACTGGCCCCTCTTTCTTTCTTCTACTTATTGCTTCCTTCCCCCTTAACCTGCAATAGAATCATAACAGCAATCAGACAATACCTATACAAGTCTTAACCAGATGCTTTTCACAGCCTGGGTTGAGATAGGTATTTCCCTTAATAACATGGTGAAGTAGTTGGTGCACCTCTCCCCTTTGGTTAAGATAATGTATGCCTAATAATAGTTAAGATGTTAATCTCACTTCCTTGTCTGTTTTGCACTTTGCTTTAGGTAAGAGTGACTGCAGAACTTCACCTGTGAATGTGACCATTAAATATAATGGCTGTAGGAAGAAAGTTGAGATGGCAAGATGTGTAGGAGAATGCAAAAGGACCCTCAAGTAAGTTTCCCTTTGAATGTGTTCAGTGCATTAACTCGGTTCTTATAGAGAAAAATCAAGCCATATCATGTAAGGGAGTTTGACATGACAGAACTGCCCGATTGGGACATTAATAGAAAAATCAATAAAACACTGTGATCTGAGGACTAAATTCATCAGTTTGTTGGCCAGTTATTCTGAGGTCATTTTCTAAACATGCATAGATGTATTTGTGATAAATACATTCATTTTCCTGTAGAGACTGTAGAGGGTCATTACTCAAGGAAGTACATTATCCAAATAATTTTAAAGTTGAATGTTAGAATGGCATTATATGTTTTCCTTAATATACTACTTTACATATAGATTAATTTAGTGAGAATATTATAATTTGATATTGATTTCAAATCAATTATTTATATTTTTTACACCACATTATTCAGTGACAGTTCTTTCTTTTTAGTCTCATTTTGTATTTATTGTCAATTGTCACTGATCTACATCCAGCTTTTGTAACTGGAAGGGATACAAGGTCTAGAAAAAGATCACATTAAGTAAAGGCTAGTAAGTCATTTAAGAAAATCTTTGGAACCTAAGGTCTAGTTATGTGATGTTTGCAGCTATTTCAAAATATTTATTACTGATTTCCTTTCTCTTAGGTACAATTATGAGACATTCCAATTGGAGAATTCATGTATTTGCTGCCGTGAAGAAAATTATGAATACAAGGACATTGACCTCGATTGTTCTGATGGCAGCACCATCCCATACAGATACAGGCACACTACAACCTGCTCTTGTCTGGACCAGTGTGAACAGTCTACAGACAGTTAATGCCTACACTGCCTTTCTGGTTGCACTTGTTTTAAACAGGAAGAAAAATAATTAAATAATGTGGACGGACAAGTATGTCTTATTTAAAAAATTAGGCCCACGATGAGGCATTCCATTGTGTTGTTGACAGTGCCTGGAAAATAAATGCAATTGTGCAAGTAGTTAGTGAGTGCGTGGATTTTTTTTATGCAGTACGAATTCTGCTAATTACAGAGAACTCAAGCCAGTCATGACCCCAGGGCACTATTTAACGACAGTGTGCTCTTCATTCTTTTCCATTTGCCTGCCTCCGCTGCACAACCATTTTTACCTTGGATAGCTTCTTTTTGTGGGCTCCAATGCTTGTAACTGCTTAGTGTTCCTCCTTTCATTTTACGCAGGTGTTTTGACACTCTGCATCAACATAGGCACCCACACCAAGGGATTTCTATCTTATTCCAAGCACAGTGACATCACTGTGTTCTAGAGGCTCCAGCTTGCTATCTCCAAATTACTAATGTTAAACTATGGGAAACTGGGATAACAAACTCAGAAGATATGAAAGTTTATTCCTCACTGATGCATAAGGGTGGGTAGGTGTGACTAAGCCTACCATACTCCTCCTCCTGTTTTTGTTCTACCATTTGAACATCCATCTTCCACCTTCTACTTTGATGGTCGCCAGTGGTCATCTCTCTTCCATAATATTTCCATCTTAGTCCAGCCAACACAAAAGAGGAAGGGGAGATAGGGAATGATTGCTGTTTGTTCTTTGAGAGCAAGCCCTAGAATGTACATATTCTTCCATAAACACCTGTTCGGACAAAATGCAAAGTCCAATGGAATCATAAATGATGATTCTAAATGAAGACATATTAACTACCTTTGTAAAAATGTGTAATTAGGAACTTACCCCAAAGTCTAGTTCAATACATGAGAAATCAATTAGTCAATAAGTGCAAAGCAAGTTCTAGGAGCTAGCTGGAATAATTGCAACTTGAATCATCACTAAACAGAGCTCATTATGAGAGTTCTATGATATATATTCTTCCCCAAATTTATTTCATACATGTTGAGAATACACCAGAAGATCATTGTCAGCTATTATCCTCTTTGGGGATTGTCTTGATGTTAGGTCCCCCCTTCTAGGGAAAAGAGTAGCACCAGTGGTTGGTGGGTGGCAGTAAAATGACCATCTCTAACCACAGCCAGAGTTTATGACCTTACAGTGCTGGTGGCTGTCTCCACTGAGAAATCACAGTGCCTAGATTTCTTCCTCCATGCAATAAAGTCAGTGCATAAAACTCTACAATGCAGTGTCTTCTCTAAGGGAACTTAATCTGCATTGTATATGCATCATTCTCTGGAACTCTTCAAATGGTTGTGATATTGAAGTCTGAAGATTGAATGGGGAAGGATGCAGTCATTAGCTCACTTATGTCTTTGCTAGTCTTTGATGATTGAAATGAAGTACATGTTGAGCCCTTCCCTGCTATAGTATCTTATCCTCTTCCTCTTGCTTCCCTTAAACAATATATAGTTTTCTATATGTCAAGCACACTGTTTTAATAGGCATAAGTCACAAAATTACCTCATGACAGAAGTAAAGTTAATTAAAACTCAAAATATAGAGTCATGATTTGGGTGAGCACCAAATCTAGGGATGTGTGTGTGTGTGTAAAATGACCAAGCCATTTTTGAAAATGAGGAATTTCCTCAAATTGTCAAACATGCAGTTAACACAGGATCCACCCCTCAATTCCACTCCTATATAATTCTTTCCAAATAAATGCTTTCTCCCATCTGTAGGTTGGTTCTTTGCTATGCTGGCTTTTTTCCTTTATTGCTTTAAATTACTTTTTTAAAATTACAATATAATGACATCATTCCCCCTTACCTTTCCCCCTCCAAGTAATCCCATGTAATTCTACTTGTGCTCTTTCAAATTCATGTCCTCTTTTTTGTTCTAATTGCTGTTGCATACACACACACACACACACACACACACACACACACACACACACACACTCCTGTGCTCTATGTATACATATACAATGTGCTTAGTCTATATAATGTTACTTGTGTGTATGTTTTCTGGACTCACCATCTAGTATTAGATACCCAAATTTGTGTACTCTGCCATGAAGGCTTTTTCCCACTTTCGGCATTTTTTACATTTTTTAGTTGCCTGTAGTTGTTTTGGTGGTGTTAAGGTCTTGTAATCTTTCCCCTGTCCACATTATCATGCCTTTCAGTGCTATCCTTGTTTAACTCTGGTTGATTGTCCTGTTAGTGAGACATTATGGGATGCCTTAGAGTTTTTATTGCTGTGAAGAGACACCATGACCACAGCAACTTTTTTTTGGTTTTTTGAGACAGAGTTTCCCTGTATTGCTTTGGAGCCTGTCCTGAAAATTGCTCTGTAGACCAGGCTGGCTTCAAACTCACAGAGATCTGCCTGCCTCTGCCTCCCAAGTGCTGGGATGAAAGGCATGGGCCACCAACACCTGGATTTACCACAGCAACTCTTACAAAGAAAACATATAATTGATGTGAGGGCTTACAGTTTCAGATGTTCAGTCCATTATCATCATAATGAATGGCAGCATGCAGGCAGACGTGATGCTGGCTGTATCTTGACCAGAAGGTAGCAGGAAATTGACTGTCACACTGAGTGAAGCTTGAGAAAAAGACCTCAAAGCCCACCCCCACTGTGACACACTTCCTCCAGCAAGGCTATATCTCTTAATAGTGGCACTCCCTTTGGGGGCCATTTTCTTTCAAACCACCACATGTGTGTAGCTTCTGACTTTACTAGGAGACACAACCTCACAGCCAACTCCTTGTTCCTCTAGCTCTTACAATCTTTCTACCTCCTCTTTTGGAATGGTCACTGCAATGGATTTTAGGGACAGAAGTTGTGCTATAGATGTTAACCGTTAAGATTAGGTTCTACAGCTCTACATTTTGATGGGTTGAGGTTTTCTGTCATAGTCTCTATCTGTTGCAGAGAGAAGTTTCTTTACTGATAGGGGAGGACTGCACTTAGCTATAGATGTAAAGACAGATAGGAAGGCCCCTTGATCGCCTGGATAGTACTGTTCCATTGTCTCGCTCCTTGGGAAATAGTTTAGAATCATGGATTTGGGGAGATTTCTGATACCAGGATTCAGCATGACAGGCCTGATATTAGGCTTTAAGTTTAAGCTCTTTGTTTATGTGGAGGTTTGACTGACAATGTTCCTCACAGTTTTGGGTATTTTATTTTATGGTCCCCATTTAATGATGCTGTTTGGGGAGGCTTAGGAGGTGTAGCTGTAGCCTAGCTGGAGGGAGTATGTCACTGAGAGTGGACTTTGAGATTTTAAAGTCAAATGCCATTCTGTTTGCTCCTGCTTGCAGTTTAAGAGTAATCAACACCTTTTCAACTGCCTTCTCCAGCTGCCATGCCTGCCTGCTGCCATGTTTCTTTGTCAAGATGGTAACAGACTCCCTGGAACTCTAAGCTCCAAATAAGCCCTCCCTTTTATAAACCAGCTTGCTTGTGGTGTTTTATCAGGGTAATAGAAAAGCAACTAAATCAATTTAATACTTCTTCTCCCAAATGAAGACCATTTCTCTCCTGGCTGCTTGCTTCTGGGCACAGGTGATGTAGGCTATATTTTCCTTTCTGTTTTATTCGATTCATCTTCTCTTTCTCCAGGAAAACTGGACACTATGGCTTTATTTAGCTGTTTTCTTAACATTCACAGTGTATCTTGTGCATTAATGGCTGTTTAGATAGATGTGTCTGTGGAGATACTGACTGCTGAGAGATCTTTCTCAGCTATCATGTTCAATGTTGTGTAATTTTACTTTAACTTGGCAAAGAAGTGTTACATGTGTTTATGCTGCTGGAATATTACTTTAACTGTGTAAAGGTGTGCTACTTGTTTATGCTACATTTGTTTCTTGCATTTGTTTCACCTTGCCTAACTAAGACACCTAGTTGATCTAACGAAAAGCTAAATGGCCAATATGGAGGCAGAGGAGGGATATATGCGACTGGCAGGCAGAGGGAATAAGTATGGGGAGAAATCTAGCCTTGGAAAGAAGTGAGGAGAGAATGGGGATGAGAGGGAGATGCCCATGGCCATCTAGGCAACCTCCAGCATGCCACAGAGAAACAGAACACATAGAATGAAAGAAAGGTAAAAGCCCTGAGGCAAAACACAGATGAAGAGAAACAGGTTAAATCAAGTTATAAGAGCTAGCAAGAAACTAGCCTAAGCTAAGACTGAACATTCATAACTAATAATAAGTCTCCATGTCGTGATTCGGGAGCTGATTGGTGGCCCAAAAGGAATCTTGTTGCAGTTCAATATAAATTCATTTACCTTTTATTTGGTCCAGGGATATAATGTAGTATATGAGGGGTAGTCAAGCTAAATGCAATTTCCCATGAATAGTTTTTTATGAGCACAGAATTTGACAAAATCATCTGTTGTAGTTAATTCTAACCCTTAATATGAACCCAGACGTATTTTGCCATTGTTTCAAGGAAATAGTGTAATATAAGTAGTTGAATTTAGTTTGGTTGTCTTGGTTAGGTTTTGCTATTCAGTTTTCAACAAAGGAATGTTTATTTCTTACAATAAACATTCTAGATGTTAGGAAGAGAGCTATTATACACAGATCCAAATATGCTTTTATTAAAAAATAATTTAGAAAATAATGGTGGACAAATAAGCATTACTGGTAACTTCAATTAAAAGTGTATGTAAGACATTCAAGTGCGAGCTGGGCGGTGGTGGTGCATGCCTTTAATCCCAGCACTCGGGAGGCAGAGGCAGGTGGATCTCTATGAGGTCAAGACCAAGCCTGGTCTACCGAGCGAGTTCCAAGACAGGCTCCAAAACAATACAGACAAACCCTGTCTCGAAAAAACAAAAAACAAAAAAAGACTTCCAAGTGCACAGATGTGGATAATGAGAGGTTGATAATTTTTGGGGTAGTTAAAGGTGGAGAGAAAGACACTAGAATAGTCAGAAATAGTTTTAAAGGTTCATACCCAAATCATAACTCTATATTTTGAGTTATAATTAGCTTTACTTCCGTCATGAAGTAATCTTGTGACTTAAGATCATTAAAACAATGTGCTTGACATATAGAAAACTGTATATTGTTTAAAGGAAGCAAGAGG